TACTGCCATCATTAAGTGACTGGCAACACACAGGATACCACGGTGACCACAGAGACTAAACCTAGTTAGGAGGTGAAGAATCAGTCTGTGTCAGTGGGTCTCTGGCTGATGCAAAGAAACTGTTGTTGTGATGAGAGGTTTTGGTCCTGATGGATTGCAGCCTCCTTCTGGAGGGGAGTGTGTGAAACACTTTGTGTCCAGGGTGGGAGGGATCAGCCACAATCGCCCTCTCTGCAGAGCAAATGGTATGCTGGTTTAGAGCCACTGGTCCAGGTGAAACATGAGGCCCTTCAGGGGATGTTGATGTTCATGCAGCTCCAGTACAGCATGGGGGCATTGATTCAGCAAGATCCAGCATATTTTAAAATGCAGCAACGGGCCATCTACACATGCCACCTAGAGAGAGGGAGAGAGAGATGTAGTTCTATACAGTCTCAGTCAAAAAGCTATTTACTACTGCAGTTTTTTATAGGCCTACATAATAACACACACCTCTCTGTGTCAAAGGTTACTGGCAATCACACCTTTCTTTTAGCTACCGGTAGAGAAGGTTAGTTGACAGTTGAAAATTAGCATGCTTGCTAGGTAGATAGGGACAGATTAAATGTCACTGCCAGTAACTAGCTAGCCACACACACAAGCACATTTAGCACAACTGTCAAATCACGTTTTTCTTATCAAACTATTTGTAGGTACAGTACCCACCTACTTTGAACAAGTAGCAAAAACATTACATTATGGTCAATAAATGACAACAAATATTGATGTTTCATCTAGCTACCTTTTGAATAAATGCTACCTAGCCAACAGTAACACGAAATTGCCTTTCAAACGAGACTGCCTTCTTGGTCCTCGTTTCTCAGAGTTGCTTGGCCTATCAAAGTTAACATTTATCTGTGATCCTAAACTTATGAGATGTAATCTGTACCTCTGGTCTGACATGGCTTGTTTTTCTTGTAGAACAGGCTGAGCGCTGATCTTTGTCCACAATGTCTTGCGGTATGTAGCTAGCTAGGTGCTCTATGCAGACCACGTTTTTCCAGCACCCTGTTTTTTGTGATGGGGTTTCACCAGACTCAAGTAAAACATTTCATGTAGAATTATATGGTTATAATTGCAGGATATTATACCTATTAGAAATGTAATTTTCAAGACTAATAATATTATTATGTTTCTGTTCATCAGCTATACCTTTAGCCTTTTTAGCAGCACTTATAATCTTTTATTTCCAGTTTATCATCGTATAACATATAAAAAAAATGGTTATGTCACTTGACTCCTGTCAACCAGAGACCACGTGGGGCTGCAATTAACATGGTTTTGAACCACAAAGTCACACTCAAACAAAGTAAGCTACATAAAATATTCTTCGATGACGGATATTCATTCATATGTAATTGTATTTATTTACACCCCCCCATCCTGTTTGAAGAGGGAATAACATCAGTTTCAGAAAAGTCAGAGGCTCTCTAAATGTTAATTCACTGTGACTTAATAATGCAATGAATGAATTAAGTTTTATTATTGTGTCGTGTGTACGATTACACCCAGCCTCCATTGGCTTACAAGACACCAAAATTAATATACAAAAAATTACTAATGTACAGATTTGATTTCAAAGTGATATAAAACAATTAGATCATGGGATTGGGAATGTTTTATAATATAATCTGAACAAAGCACTAGAAATTTGTCATAAATATACAGAATGAAGTATTCAGCACTAATTGCCAGGAGAAGAGCCTGGAAAATGTGCAACATATATCCAAATGCAACCCGTATTGGCAAAATGGAAGTGAATGCAAATGGCAACTTGCTCACAAAACATGCAAACAGTTCAACGCTGTTCAGGACTTGAAAAAGGACTGAAGCAACTCATTTGAGACCAAAGGGTGGCCTACTCCTCATTAGTCAGACTGGATACTCTGAACTGGGTTGTCTCCATGTGCAATGTCCCCTAGCCACTTAGGGGCATAACGGAGCCATTTTTACACTGTCACAGCAAAGACAAGACAGACACCTCCTTTTTCTCTGCTTTCTGTTGTTTTGTTAAGGCATCCAAGGAATAAAAAAGAAACAGAGTTAGAACTGCACATTTTGTATGGGGTGTATCAGTTGCAGAGAACTGTTTGAACTAATTATCTCTGTTGTAGTATTCTGTTTATTTTGACAGAATTTATAATTTTTTCCCCTAAGTTCATGCATTTAACTACATTTTAAATATATGTTTTGATCTCATATTTGCAAAATATGAATATATTAAATATTAGAAGGTATTCCCACTAAAACATATCCCTTAGCAAAGCGGAGGCAGGTGGAATGAAGCCTGGTTGCTGAAACCAGCAACCTATGCTGGCACCAGCCACTCAAAGAGTGTCCTTAAAGGTTCAGTGTGTAAGTTTTAGTGGCATGTAGTAGTGAGGACTGCGAATTGCATCCTGTAGCTCACTGTGCATTCATGTGCTCCTCGGATGGTCCCATTTCAAGAGTTCTGAAGTCGTTCTTCTGACATCAGTGTGTGTTCATGTGCTTTTAAGTTGGAATGTGAAATCAACATGGGCGCTACTTCAAAGATGTGTTGGATTAGCATTATCAGAGCATATAAACAACATGCAGACATATTGTTCACTCTGCATGGTCAGCAAACTAACAGTTAATACAATATTACAAATATGTATATGCAATAAGTAATTTTGTACGAATCAAAGTTCTCTATTTCTGTACTTTGTTATGTCCCATGTACACTTTATTTCTCTTTTTGCAATAAAGATTTAAGGGGTAAAATAAGATTCAGATTATTCTGACACCACAAGAAGGCACCATCAGTCACCGCTCACCCCTCCCTTTCCAAGCGCACAGGAGAAACTACGGTGGCCGACGCACTCTGTCGGCTCTTGTGCAAAATAATACGTTTGGTCGTTCATTTGTCTAAATTTCTCTTCTTTTCTTACTTATAATAAACCAGTACGTATTCAATGTAGTGACGAAATGTGCTCTGTATAGCAGTTTGTCCGTATAGGCTTATGTACAAACATGACGGCGTAACAAGCGGCGATTTGCGGGTTCATACCTTTTTTTGCAATATCGCCATCAAAAAACTTTCACACACGTGGTTCAACATTGTTACGAAACACATTCTGCAAGTTTTGTAATGATTGGACAAGCATTTTCTGATCTATAGCTTGATTTGTTTCATTCTACGTCCAATTATTATGCATTTATAGCGCCTCCTAGTGGTCGATTTGAATGAGACTTTCAGGGTATGTGTGAGGTGCTGTAAACATATCCTGCAAGTTTTGTGTTGATTGGACAAACAGTTTGTATTTTGTAGCCTGTTTAGCGTTTTATCACCTGCAGTTTGTTTGCATTTATAGTGCCCCCGGGTGTTCGATTTGAATGAAACTTCCTGAGAGAGTTGCGATGATTGGAGAATGAATATGGGATTTATAGTGTAATTTGTGTAATGCTAAGCACCTGTCTTGCACTTGTAGCGCCCCCTAGTGACTTTGTGAATTTAAGCCGGCGCGGCAGACAACACACAAACATAGAAGGGTTCTACTGCTACGCGGTATGAACCCTAATAAAATCAGACACAGACTTCAGTGTAGACAACACAAATATACACACTATTAACAAAAACAATATAGACATATTGACAAATAGTACCGTGAGCAGAGTGCAAAGGATGCAGGAGTGTGTACATGTCGGAGGTGGATGTGATATACAGCTACAAATACATGCATACATGTACACAGTGCAATGAAGCACAATGCAAAGGATGCTGGAATAAATCTTCTATGTGGGCAATATATTTTTTTGTCATGCTCACGTTTATTTACATGCCCCCTCTGCTTTAATCATTTGCGACGGACCGCCTGTAACTACAAACAAGCATTTACCATTACTTTATTTAGGCAGAATATTAAACACTATAGTTTAACTGCTCAATAACGTTGGCACTCTTCCACTTATAAACATGGCATTAGCTAGCTTTTTGGCTCATTTAATTTAGCAATGTGCAGCATTAGCTGCTGTAAGCGATGTTGGAGAATATTTAGAAGTGACACACTAGGAAGAAATGAGAGGACCGTATGCTAGAACTGCCACACTATTTAAGAAATAAATCTACAATCAAGTCTGTCAGCAGCGTAGCCTCCATCATTCAACTATTGTAACATCAAACATATACTGCTGTGATCCGGGAGGAAGCCAGGAGGAGGGCAGTGAAAAATGGTGAGTTTAGTATCTCCTTATTTGGGCTATGTGTTGAGGGCTACTTTTATTATTTAAGTGATGTATTTCACGTGACAAATGACTACCTCACCATGAACACTGATAACCTTTGTCATGTGTTTTGTATGCGCAGCTTGTCTCGGGTCAATTGATTGTTTCATTTTCTGGTGCATTTGAAGTGATGTTGTCAACAAGGGAGTATAAACACATAAACTCTTATCGGCTGATAAATCTAGCCTGCCAGCTGCAGTGCAGAGTCCATCTTAAAAGCTTCCTCCTGATGCCCAGCTATAACTCAACACTAACTGCGCTGTAGGATCAGCTCAAAAACAGACACAAAGGGATTGAGGGTCAAAAGACAAAAAAAAAAATAGCGTTTCCATTTTTAAAATGAGTGGTTTCAGTCTTGCCTATGAAGATTCTCAGTCATCCAGGTCATAGTTATCCAACAAAGGTTAAAGTCAAAGGCAACTGGACTTGGTTTCAGTCTTGCTGATGTGTATTTGCTACAATGGCACACAAATAGTAAATAAATTATTCTTTATTGCATTTTCTTTAACTCTAAGCATCCTGTTTGATAGCTTTAATAGCATAGACTGTATATAAAAAAAAACATATACAATCTATGGTTTAAAGCTCTGGAAACCAAATGACAATAACAGTGCACTGTAACAGACAACTGACAAACAAATCTCTTCTCCATCAGATCCTTGAAGACAGGCTGAAAGTCCTTGTAAAATATCCAGAAATTATAAACTCACCTTGGAGTAGGTCAACGTATTTTATTATGATAGATAAAAAAAAAACCGTTTAATTAATACATTTTTGTGACCCAAAAAATCTAATTATGAAATATTATAGTGATGTTAATGTAAGCTCACTGTCAACTTACTGAATGTCTTTATGTATTAGATTGTACAGTATGAGTATTGTTGGAGGGAGCCTGAGACCTGAATGTCATTGCTGACTGCGTCACTGTAATTGTTTTGGATATGACAATATAAACCTTTAAACTTGCTCTCTGCTTTCACTTTTTATGCGTCGTCAAACTATATGGTTCATGGCACAGATGTCATAACCTTATTTTAGCTGTAAGTACATACAAAAATCAGCAAGCCACGTCATTTACAAAAAACGTCAGTATAATATTTTCAAGACCATTTAGCACCACCTTTGAGGCCCACGCTGCCAGCAGTCTACATAAAATCTTTAAAAGTGATCGTATTTCTTGAACTGTTCAGTCTGTATTTAGGAAACGATTAGGACTATTTACAGATGTGCAGCAGATATTGTAATTGTATGTTCAGACACACAGGAAGATATTTTGGAATATTCTAATAATAATATTTGTAGATGCAAACAGCTCAGAAATAGTAAAAGTACCAGCAATTGAATCAAACATTCTGACAAGTCCTAATTAAGAGACAGGCTTAAGTATATCTTTGATCATTTGTTAATGGCATCAGTTGTCCTTGTTTCCTCATTGAATGGAATGCCCTATAACACGTGTTTATTCTGACATGAACTGGTGTCCTCAGTGACTGTCCTCAGCTGAGCAGTTGACAGTAACAGGAGGGTCTGATATGAGACAGAGCTAATCTCTCTGTTCCATAATGAGAGTGTCTTCCCCTCATTACCAGGAACAATATCAGCACACAGAGGACACAGTCAAACCCTTGTGGGTTTTGGATGAGTGAGTTTGAAGTTATACACTAAGAGGATGTGGAAAGAACACATTCCAGCTGGTTCATCTCAAGAATTTAAACCCCAGGTCACTCACCACTCTCCATCCTTGTGTGTTTTCCTCTGGAGCACTTCAGACCATATGGGTCCTTGAAGACTATAATATTCACGGTTTAACTCTCCATCCTCATCCTCAACAATTTATTTTAGTATTTTATTGAATGTGGTAGTAGTACCAAAACTGATCAATATTGATGTTAACATCTCAGATTTATCTGTGGTGTTTCAGCAGCTTTTCAACCTGACAAAAAACACTTGTAGGTTGCTGTACTTTCCCCCCTCTTTCCTCAGTCCAGATGGCTGGATGTAAAATATTTGTGTGATTAGTGCAACAAGTCTAAACAACCAACTATATTGTTTACTAGTGCATTCCAAAACCAACTTTTGCTGTTGGCAGGATGAAGACACACTCACAATAGCTCTTTTCAAGTTTAGGCAACTAAACCAAATGGTGGGTTTATCAGAGCTTTTTAATTGACAGCTAACAGTGGCCTGCTGCCGCTGGTAATGACACTGATGAGAGCAGTGAGAGTGAACAAAACAATAAAGTTGTCGGCTGAAATACACATTGTTGCAAGCACATTCATTATAATGCAGTTTTGTACATGTTCATTACAGAATAATTGTACACATTGTCCACACACAGTTTATACAAAAGTCCATTCTATGAAGTATGAAAATGAAACCTGCCTTCAGCAGCCTGCAAAGAAACAGCTGAAGAGTTTCATTTTAAAAGTGAAATATCCTACCATTTTACCACGTGTATAAGCCGTGTTGTGATGAATAGCACGAGTTAGTTGTTTATAAATTATTGTAACTGAAGTAGGTTTGGCCAGATGATAACACTTTAGTTGTTATCACTGATAGACAGGTGGAAGGAGGTGGATGGCTCCTCATCCGTTCATCAGACAGGTACGGCAGCAGAACTGACGGTAAAGCTTCTTCTCACAGAGACGGTTGGACTTGACCATCTCACAGAACACCTCATCAGCTGAGAGACAGATCAGAGCAGAAGCAGAGAATCAGCATAACTTTACTGTCTGCTCCCTGCTCCATGTGGCAAGTTGGTTTAACGACTGTATTTTTCTTTTTTGCTTAGATGTGCTTTTTATATTTTTTTTACCTTAGTCTTGAGAATGTTATTACTGCTGTAATGTAAAATGCTACCAAAATATGATTGATAATTAATTTTGGCAAACATAATCATGAAATTATACTTGACTTAAGTGAGGTAATACACGTATAATACCAATGCCAATACCGGTCTATTCTAAACATGATCTGGAACATGAGACCCCATTTTCACCTGGTGTGTAATACTTAGGACGATCTATTGACAGAAATGCAATTTAAGATCCATAACTATGTTTTCAGTGGTGTTTAAAGACCTTACATAATGAAATGTTTTTATTACCTTAGAATGAGCTATTTCTATCTACATACACCGTGGGTTCCCTAACATGGAAGCCGCCATGTTTCTACAGTAGCCCAAATGAACAAACTGCTCTATAGAGCGCATTTCATCACTACGTTGAATACGTACAAGAAGAAGTAATAGTAATAGCAGTAGTAGTAGAAGTAGTAGTTGTAGTAGTAGTAGTAGTTGTCTGGTTTGCAGTGGTGGAAAGTAACAAAGTACAAATACTTCGTTACTGTACTTAAGTAGTTTTATTCGGTATCTGTACTTTACTTGAGTATTTTTAGTTGCTGCAACTTTTCACTTTCACTTCGCTACATTTCAAAGTCAAATACTGACTTTGACTTTTTTACTCCGTTATATTCTGCACGAGACCTCGTTACATTGGTATTAGTCGTCTATGCAGCGCACTTGAGTGGAGCAGCAGTGAAAAACAAATGTAAAACTGATAAAGCTTGAGTGAAATACGTTTGATAAACACAGACGGTCCACAGTGTTTACAAACTGCAGCAGGGAAAGATGACTGTGTTGCGCGTGGAAATGCGTTCATATACACATGCACAAAATTAAATGCATTTGAGCAAGAAACATCTGTGGGACCAGTCCACACAGGATGTGAGACAGTGAAGTTTAGTTACAACTCTGGACTGATGCAAGATGGGAAGCAGTGGATTCACATTGAGTATTAAAATGTTGATTAGCTGGGCAGACTGGCCAATATGGATGCACATCTCAGTAAATAATAAGCATCACATATTCAGCCCAGTCATTTTATAAATAGTAAATAAATAATAAATTGATATAATGAACAACCTCTCGGAGAAAAGGTACAAAGTTTTTACTGCCGAATTTACAATTGCCATTAGAATTAATACACTTAAGCTATTTACTAAGTACTTATTTGGACTTTTCCGTAGAGAGTGGCATTAAGCAACGTTTTATGTTTTGTAAAAACACTGAATAGTGTATTTGCAGAAAAACAGTAGTTCAAAAGTTCTTATGAATATGCTATTAGTTAAAAATTCGGGAGAGACTTGCTTTGTTTTTTAAAATGTTTTTTTAATATATACATAGCCTATACTCTACAGCATCATCTAGTTTGAAAGGCTGCATGTTTTCAGTTTGTCTAGGTCCTTAGGTTAATTATTGTTCTTCACTTCTAAAATGAGCTGCTGAACAGGTTGTCCATCACGTTTTAGGAAGGGGGAGTTGGTGAAAGTACAATATATATAATATAGTAATGTAACTAATAACATACATACATATATATATATATATATGTATATATATATATATATATATATATATATATATATATATATATATATATATATATACATAGCTATTTGGGTCAGAACTGGATCGGTGCCACCCCTAATTCTTATCCTAAACTTCTCTTACCATTGTTTGTAAGGCTTGTTTGTAAAGTCAGATTCAGCAAACTCTTAACTGGATAAAGCTTTGATAAGTTGCTTGTTTCAGCCTGATGAAAACCACCTGTTCATGAGGTTTCATTATTTGCATTATCTACTTTTCTTCAATATCGCCATACAAGGCTGTTTGTTCTGCTCTGTTTGTGTTTCAGTCACAAAAATGTTAAAAATTAGCAAAAAGAAAACTTTCACACTGCAAAGCTTCAAGTCCTGCTGACAAAACATAACAGACTTAGAAGTGTCATTAGTGGTGTTAGAGGCTCTGTAACAATTATATAAGTGGGACAGCTGCCAACGATGTGTCATCAAAGCACAGCTGTACTGTGACATAAAGTTAGATACAAAAAACGGTGCATGGCTATTATGAGAGGTGTGACAGTCGTGGAGATTTTAAATATTTTCCAACTACTTTGTCAGTTACCTCAGTGAAAATTCAAGGTAGGAGAAAATTGGTAAATATTACAAATTGGGACTTATTCTTTGTTCTTAAGTGTCACTTAAGAATTTGCATTGTTTACATACATTGTTTACATACATGTTTGCTTGCTAGCAGTCTTCTTCTTCACCTACTTTTGACTGACAGAAAAGTATAGAACCAGCATCAGGATGTGAATCATTAACTTGTGCATTTGCGCAATACAAAGTAAATATGGGGCGCTATAAGTTGTCGAAAACTCCATCTTGTACCTTTAAGTACGATAAGGTTCAATTCAGATGGGTTTGCAAGACATGAAGGTTAGTTATGCTAGGCTTAGTTAGCTGATATTATCTAAACCTAAAAATATTTCCATTTTTTGAAGGTGATAGGGTTTATAATTTCACTCACCATTATTACAGGATGCATACACAATACAAGTCCTGCTGACCAGACTATAACCCTCTTTGCATTTGGTGCAAGTTGTTCCGGGGCCACTGCAGCTCAGACAGTTTTCCTCACACCTGGAGAGAGAAAACAAACACCTATTTCTTCCATTTCCTTTAATAGGAAAAAAAAAGGCTGAGATATGGGTAGCAGCAAAACTAACATTAATTTTACTTTTAAATGAAAATGCAACTGAAGTTGATGTGTTATTCTCTAATAAAATGTTATTTATAATTCAAATGTAACTGTGATGAAAGATATTTGGATTTTACAGCAGATTTAAGTTTACATTTAAGTTCTACAGAGAAGCATCACACTCTGACTAACTTATTATAAGAAAAAGATTTTTTAAATGATCCAGGTATAAACAAGTAATGTTTTTAAGACTGAAAATCACACACCTGTGACACATCTTATATGGGACTCCTGCTGCCTCTCCAGAGTAGTAGCCAGGTGTACAGGTCTGCACACACTGCCACTCCTGCTGCAGGTAGCCCTCAGCACACTGGATACACTCCTCCTTTCCTGGCCCTGAGAAACATGCAAGTTTAAAACCTTAGCACATAGTGCTTTGGAAAGATGTAATCAAAATATATTCACACCTATACCTGAATCTCTTCTTCTTTGTTGTCTGCTGCTGTTATTTCTGTAGGAACTGCACATACCTGGCAACACACTGACCTGCACAAGTCCTACAAGAAGAATGGCATGGGCTGCATGTCATTTCTTCCAGATGGAAAAAGGTTCCATTGGTGCATTCAGGAACACAAGTCATCCCCGCCAGACTATAAACAAAAAAAACAGCTACATTACAAAACTTTTTTTCAAACCAAAGTTCAAATATAAATGGTGATCTAACTGTCTTTACACACCTGTAGCCTTCTCTGCAGGCAGTGCATCTGTCTGCATACCCCAGGCATCTCATACAGGTGTCATGACACTTCAGACACTGCCTCTGATCTGGCATAGACAGCAGGCACAAGCATCAATAGTGGTGGAAATATCAACATATAACACATACTTATGTAAATAAAATAATTATCTTGTGCCACATGCCCTTTATTCAGCCAAAACACTCCACAGTCTATGGGTTTATGTAAGGAACAACTGGAGACGAGTAATGATACAGGTACCCTAAGGAGTTTCCTTCCGTCTTCATTCACTCTCACTAAAACACATTGTGTGTATCCTTGAGGCCTAACAAACATGTTGAATGCATTTCCTTCCTCATAAAAAGCCATGTTTTTGAATATTTAGAAACCTACATTGTTTACATCTATTATGGATAGCTGGCAGTCTTTTTCTTCCCTGCATTTTGTTGGCACTTTGCTACATTTCTAGGCACATTGTTAGGACTTTGGTTTTGTGTTCATGTTTTTCCTGTTTTAAGTCTATTGTCATGGTTTTGGGTTTTGTGTTTCTTCTGTGCAGCCTTGTTTATTCTTATGTTTAGTTGCATGTTCAGTCTTTACCTGTTCTGTCTCTTTCCTTTTCTTATCTTAGTTCTTAGTTTATGTCTTAGTGTGTAGTCTTGGTTCTGTGTTTGTTTCTGTGTCTTAGTTCTTAGATCTGGTTTCTATTTCATTGTTTCCCATTTAGATGTTACATGTGTTCTGTTTTATTCTTCCTGGTCCCTTGTCATTTGTTTGTTTTTTCCCCCGCTTGTCAGTCTATCTTGCCCATGTCATCTGGTTCTGTATTTTGTGATTGGTATGTTCTTACATAAAGTTGCAGTTTGTCTTTGTGCCCTGTCGGTTCTCTCCCTGTGTCTGTGTCTTGCTTTGCTTCCTGTTTATTCCAAAGTAGTCTGTGTCTTAGTCCTTAGTCCTATGTCTCCATGTTTAGCATGTTTAGTGTAGTCCTGTTTCTTGTTTGGTCCTGTCTCTGTTCCCTGCCTTGGTTTTGTTCTGTTATGCAGTCGTTCCATGTTTTCTGTTTTACTTTGGTAACTGTGTGTTCCCATGTGCTTTACTTTCTGTGTTATTTTGTAGTGATAAATGCTCCGTATTTGTATAGCACCTTTCTTTCACCTTTTCGACCATTCAAAGCGCTTTTACACTACATCTGCATTCACCATTCACTCACATTTATACACTGAGCCCAAGGACACTTCGACATACAGCCTGGAGGAGCCGGGTATTGAACCACCTTCCAATTAACCCGCTACCGCAACCCGCTCTGTCTCGTGAGCCACAGCCGCCCAGTTTTCATGCGTCCTTGTCTACCTTCGTTTCCTGTTGTTTGACGACCTGATGTGTTTCATCTGTGCACTCTCTCCCTGCACGTTTGCTTGTGTATTTAAGCCCTCATTTCTGTTCTGTCTTTGTTGTATCCTCGTCTATGTTGAGTGTTCTGTCCTGTCCCTGTGTTTACTGGATTAACTTGCTTCAGGAAGTTCTGTTCTGTTCTGTTCTCCTCTGTTTGATTTTTGTTACATTTTGGATTTTCGTTTCCTTTGGATTACTTCTTTGTTTGAACTCTTGCCCTATGCTCTTTGGAAGCCTGTTTCAGTTTAGTTTTAATAAATCTTTTGAACTGCGTCCTTCTCGCAAGTCTCTACATTTGGGTCAACACCTCAGTTTTCTTGTCGTGTGAGCTACAGAGAGAGCTGGTAGGGAGTAAAAAGTGTTTTGTAGTGAAAAAGTAGCTGCCTGCTCTGCCAGCTGCCTGCTCTCATTGGCTGGATGTGGAGTTGGCTGACTCTTCCAGATATTTAGAATGCTAGATATCTGGCAGACATCTGCGGTGTGTCGGAAATGTGTTGGGCAGCTGTTTTGATGCGTTGTTTTGTAGTTCACACATAACGACTGGCGACCGCCGATCTACCGCTGATTTACCCCTGATCACAGCCTGACAGTCGCCGAACTCGCCGAGCGGCAAATCAGGCTAAAAATCGTGTAGTGTGAACTAGGCTTAAGTCTGCTCCGCTTTAATCTTGAGAAGCTGCAGAGCTGCAGTCTCTATTCATTAGTCACTGTAACTTACACTTTACATTTCCAGCTAAACTGAGACTTAAAGAGGTGGTATTATGCTAATTTTCAGGTTCAAAATCCTATTTAAGGATTGTACCAGAACAGGTTTACATGGTTTCATTTTCAAAAAACATATTTTTTGTCATACTGCACATTGCTGCAGCTCCTCTTTTCTCCCTGTGTTGAAGGCTTTGTTTTAGCTAGTGATGCATCTTGCCTCTACATGATCTTTTTCGGGAGTTGCACATCCACAGTTCCTAGTTAAGGACTACTAGCCAATCAGAAGCAGAGAAGGGCGGGTCAGTGAGAAGCCGGTAAACACGGCTTCGGTTCAGCTGTGTTCCCCTTAGCAGCTTAGCAACATGGACTGGAGCAAGGGTTTCAGAGTGGTGAGTTATTAATCTGTAACAAAAGGATCTTTCATCCATAAAGTTTTAACTGAGCTCTGTCTCTACATCACAGTAACAACTTCATGTCCACTGACTGCCTGGAGGGTAGCTAGTGTTTGGAAGGGAGAGGAGTTGTGTGCTACGGCTCAGTGTTTTTATACCGGTGTTTTTGAGGGCGTGTCGGAGTAGCCGCTTGGCGAGTGTTATATGATGTGCAGTTTGCTTTCATCCCTGTGTCGTCACAACTCAATAAAGAAGAGGGAAAAAGCCAAAAAGCATAAAACCACCTCTTGAATGTAGACCCTTTTCTCTGCCGAGTTGTGCATGCCCGCCGACAATTGCATGCACATTGCAGTTCATCGCAGGTCACTTCAGAGTACTGTTTATAAACAATATTATATTGTTTGTGTGGTTCATCAATGGTAATTAATGATTCAAAAGTCCTGCAAAGTTCACGCACAACTCAGCACAACAACTTACGAAAACCTTAAGAGTTAGGGTTTCAATTCCTCAGCCTTTTATGTTGATATTTATATCATAATAGGCTGTATATGAACTTATTAGGAGAAAACTAGTAGTCCTATGTACGTGTTGACTTACTCTCATCAGCAAAGTAGCCTGGGGGACAGGTATCGATGCAGCTGGAGTTGAGTGCGTTGACGTAAAGGCCTCTTCGACAGGAGAGACAATCGCTGACTGATCGTCCAACACATCTCTCACAGCCTTTGTAGCAGCGTCTACAGCGACGAGACGCTATGTCCTCATAGTGTCCCAATGGACAGTGGCTCACGCAGGTTCTACATCCACACGTATAGAGAGTATATATAGAGTATAGTATAGAGATAGACTTAAGATCAAACTAAATGCTAAAGACCACAGTGGAATGTATCATGGGCTGCAGGAGATCACTATATTATAATTCTAACAAACTCCCAGCTCCTGGTGATTTACAAACATGTTAGCAAACAGTTGCCCATTTAGACATCCAACAGACAAGAATCAAATGTATCATTTATTTGGACTTGCACTCTCCTTTTAACACTAGTATATCTTTGGTCTCCACCAACTCCTGATCATTTCCCCTGCCAGTCTCAAACATTCTGTCAGCCGCATTTGGCAGGTCTGGAAACAAGGTTACGGAGAGCAGGGAGACACATTCAAATTTAAACAATCATCGGAGAGAAGCTAAAACAAAAAGCTGAGGGGAACTGCAGAGTCTGTGATAATTCTCTGTGGGTTCGTCATTACGAGTGACGCTTTTCACATTTCACATTACACACAAAAAATGCGGAGGAGTGCAGCTTTAAATTTATGACTTTCCACTTTATATTGTCTGGTTCCATTTCCTTCCATCAACTCTTACTTGCCACTTTTCAAGCTGCCCGAGCTGAAGTGGACACAGTTGAGGCAGTGGTCAGCATCTGGTCCGTCACAGCCCTGGTCTCCACACTCACTGTGGCATGGTCCTTGATGAACACCACATTGATTATGATCAATATCATCATCACCAGTGCAAAGAGCTGATAAATCTCTTTCAGCAACATGCTACAATCATTATTTTATCACATGGGAAAAGAACATTTCCATTCTTGTTCTACAGGGAGAGGCACATTGCCAGTTCTTACACATTATTTATAACTGAACTGTACAACATCTGCCTAAATTCATAAATGTCCACCTCTTGTTCATTTTTGAAATGTATATTGATTCCTGCTTTTTTCTAGTTTTATTTTTAATTCCACATATCTTACCAACCAACCTTATTCATACATCTGTATAACATCTATATGTTTGATACATTTTTCATTTCATTTTTTATTAATGAAAATAATCTCTCTCTAAAAAGTGTACGTCTCTTATAGGGTATACTTCTGACTGAGTGCATACTCCTTGAGAAAATGTGTTGGAAATTGGAAAAAATAATTACTTTTTGACTCTCACCATTGTATTGGTCTTCCTCCTCCTCCTCCTGCTCTGGCTCCTCCTCTGGGGCTGGGATCTCCAACATCCTTGAATGGGAGTTCTGAGCACTGTAGGGCTGGTAAGGGTCCTGAGATGTGCCATAAAGGATCAGTGTCCATTCTTTTAGGTTGCCTGTGCCAAGTAACAATAATATTTTTTTAGTTTGCTCTGGATAAGGGCATCAGTCTCAATTGTAATAGTAAATGTGTTGTTGGACCTTACCCAGCACCTCAGGGTTGCGTAGCTTTGACAGTGAGTCAATAATCTCCAGAGTCCATGTGCCCTGTGATCTCTCACCCCAGAAATGAACAGTCATGAACTCCCAGTTCCTGAAGCCCTCGTTGGAACTGTCAAACAATCTGTAAACATAACAGTGAGGTTAAATGAGACCAAAGGTGTACATTTGGTTTCTACTTTCAAGGGGACACGTTAAGCAGGGATGTGAGTCCAACCACAAGAAAATTTTGAGCTCACTGCTTCTAGCAGTTTTACAAGCTGTGGATTCACAAACCTGAAAAAACAACTGTCTGCTGCTCACTACCAAATACCTACGTTTTGTCATGTCCTTCGGTCTGATAACAATGCACATGGCACCCTTTAGCATCATAGTAAGTCAGTAAGGAGGTGATTGTTAGTGTTGGATGGTTGGCTCAGAAACCAGACTTTGGCTGACAATGGCTGGCAAAAAGAACAATGGCTGATCTCGCAGCATTTGCAAAGGTGGTTCCAACTTGGTGTAGCCAGAGAAAAGCAACTGCAGCCAAGGTTTTAATGTCATGTGACATGGTGACGTTTTGCAGCGCCGTCGAAAGTCAGACAAAATTTCTAACCAGAAAACGATGTGGTGATATAAGAAAGTATTTATTTGTTTGTATAGAGGCCTCACTGAACATGTCCTTTTCCTTCTTCCATAGGTTTCAGCATACATTTCAGTATAATACTGCCACACATGGTCTTCTAGTAGAGCACTGGACACTAAATTCCTCTTCAAAACATTTAATACGAACATTCTTTCATGTTTGTTTAACAGATGTAATGGTTAGTTTACACTGTAACTGGGTCGAAATTGATTACCTTTTTCAAATTTCTTCAACATTTTCTGTACATTCTCATTTGCTAAATATGACACAGCTTCCTAGTGGACACACACTTTCTACCCCTGATCCTTTCAAGTTTAGCAAAAACACATGCCAACATCTCCTCACTGTGGACAGTTTTTAAATGGATTCATAAGGATTACTTCTTCAGGAGGAAGAGATGCCTGAATACATATCAATTTACTCCTATTGTATTGGCCACTTATTTTAGAAGAGGATCTGAACTTTTAAAATACTTTTTGAATTCTGTGAGCAGCACAAACCTAATTCCGGTAGGAAAGACGGGATGAGAGAGATTTTAGCATCTGCATGGACAGATTATAAAACTCTGCATGGACTGGCTCTCACCTCTTGGCCAGAAGCTGTGATCTCGTCCCAGCTGGAGAGATCAGGTTGATCTCTAGGTCTCCTCGCCGTGGGTGGACTATCTGGACCTTGACCACCACATGTTCCAGGTAATCCACATGCAGCTCAGGTTCTTCTGAACACCCAGAGGCATTTATGCTGCAGTTCAGGCTTTGGCCAGCATGTATGTACCTGGGACAGCCATAAGCAGAAACATTATACAATTGTATGAAAACTATTAGAGTAGATTGCCTTCAATATTAGCATTATGTAAGGCCGTAAGATCCAATAAAGCACATGAGCATTATGACATTATGTCAGAATGTGAGGCAGACTCTGAACAAACTATAACAACAATAGTGCTGTTGGTAGAAGATTGAGAGAGACAGAGCACCAGCTGCGCTGAGTTGCAGGAGGGACATTTATCACCAGAGACTGCAGCTCTGCAACTTCTCAAAATAAATGCGGAGCCATAGTAACCCATGCGTAATGCAAATTGAGACGCAGCCACACAGTTTGAAAATGATGAATACAGCGTGCAAAGACAATACACCAGTCAAAGTTTGGGGTTACCAGGTTACTTAATTTAATTTCTGAAATGTACCACAGTGGGGTCATGCACTTTTTAGTTTGGTTTGTAAATATGTATTGTGTTATTCTTTATACATATACATTTATAACATTAGAGTCAATATGTACATTCATGCTCAGCCTCCTCTAATTTACTCCAAGTCCTCATCTAACTCTCTCTCCCCACCACTTAACTGTAAACTGCCCCACTGGAGGTCAAGGTCTGATGAAGCCTTCAGAACCACATCATGATGTGCACTAATGATGCTTTTTGTGCCCACTGAGAACCTACTTGACTTCCTGTCAAGAATGCAGACACGGCTCTCACTCCAGTTATACAGGAACGTGGGTGGCTTATAATAATGGTCCTAGTACCCCATACTTCCCCAGTGTCTCCCACAAGATACTGTGGTGGGAAAAAGCATGTTTAAATAAACAGCTCAGGCAAACACCCAGCACACAGCCATAAGACTTCTGCAAATCATTAAGTCATTTAGCTGATGCTTTTATCCAAAGCGACTTACAATTGCTATATATGTCAGAGGTCGCACGCCTCTGGAGCAACAAGGGGTTAAGCGTCTTGCTCAGGGACACATTGATGGATGTCACAGGGGGAATCAACCCCGGGTCACCCAGGCCAAAGGCATGCCTTATCCACTGCACCATCACCACAATGAAATTTTAAATTTAAGGCTTTTGATTAATACCTTACACTCCACTGTAACATTTACTGTCCTATTTTTATTCTCTATATAATTTTTCAAACTTGTGTTTAAATTTCTTTTTATGTTTCCCTATGTTTCTTTTATGTTTTATGTAAAGCACTTTGAATTGCTTTGATATACAGATATAAAAAATTACATATTGTTATGTTATCTCCAGCACTAGTTTTAATATTTAATTCACTAGAGTAGCTTTGCACGATTCACAAAAAAACCCTTTTAATTTAACACTGGCCCTTTATGCAGCCCATCTGTTCATCCAACCAAGCCATTTTAGCTCCTGTCTCTTTAAGGCCCCACTTCCTAAAAAGCCCACTTTCTTTTGATTGGCCAACTTCCCGAAAGCCTGCCAGAGGGCTTGTGAGCCCCTGCAACCCAAGTATATCCAGCTGAAGCCTGCAGACGTGACAGAAGTTGATGGATGTTGAACTTCCAAATATGGTTTGTCGCAGAAGACACCGCGCACAAAACATCATGACGTTTATCTCGGCCCACGTGCAGTATATCCTAATGCAAAGCGCGTAACAGTAAGTAGTAAGTAGTTTTTTTCTTTTTCTTTTCCTTCTGTGATGGTTAGGGTAAGGGTAAAAGGCTTCAGGGGGCTGTATTATAGTTTAGTAAATATTAACGAATAATGTACAGTGATTACCATGTTGACACTTATCTTATTTAACGGCTCTGCGTGGGCTGAGTGGCGGAGATAAACGTCGTCACATTTTGTGCGCAGTGGCTTCTGGGACGAACCATATATGTAAGTTCAACTTCCGTCAACTTCCGTCACATTTGTCTGCGGGCTGCAGCTGGACCCTTCTCCTGCAACCAAGCCCCCAGGAAATGCACTGCGTTTTCAAGCCAAGAATTACAACTTTAAGGTTCATCATGTGATGCACACTGACCCCAGGACTTTTCCCCATAGACTTACATTGTGAAAGAAGTGGTTGTAAAACAGTGGATAATTTTTTTTTTGAGAGTCACAACCCCCACGAAATCAGAATTTGATCCATTTCGTCCTCTAACATTTAGAAAATTCAGAAGAACTGTACCATTTAAATTAGTGGAGGGCTGTGTATACACCCAGGGATTTGAGCCCGCACCACCTCATCCTCTTGCAGGTGTACTCGTCAGCATATAACAGCTTTAACTATCTTGGAAAATAGCGATATCAGGGACTGAATGTGATAAATTTACTATTTATCAGGCCACAAATGAGACAAGAACGGTATGCCGCCCGAGCTGAGTGTTTCTATAGATACAACTTTTATAACTTTATAAATGGGATCTTCAGCTGCACAGCTACCTGAGCTAATTAGCTAACGGCAGCTACTTTTAGCAGTTACATTAGCAACAAGTAAAGCCATCTGTCCATCAGGAAACTACCTAACTTTCCTTCACAACTGAAAAGGCATTTTCTGCAAGACATACTGAACAACCTGAGAGTAGTCCTCAGCAGAGTAGCCTTGCATAGCCAGACCTTCGTTCAGTCTGCGACAGTGCTGGAGAAGGCGATATTCGCCATAAAATACTGAGATGGACTGAGTAGGTGCATGGGCGTGTCCCTGTACTTTATGGTCGTGCTGTACCTGGAGAAGATCATGAGCAGAAGACATCAACTTGGCAGGAAAGAAGAACAAGCATTTGGAAACCTAGCTGCCTTTTTGCTCACAGGGATTACTTTTAAATTTGTTTACCTCATTATTTGAAACTTTGGCTATGTTTAATATGGACATCGGCCATTGTAACATCATATAAGTGACAGAAAATTAGGGAAAGCATAATAGGTCCCTTTGTCTTCAACTATTTGCTGGGCTCTTGTGGTATTTTTCAACAAGACATGGGTAGTCAAGGGCAAAACATCTGTTATCCACCATAATGATCACCGTAATGACTATGTACATCCCATGTCTACAGTTTACTTCACCTGGTCCGTCGCTCAGGCATCTGACTGCAGGTGTGCTGAGGAGGAACAGTCCTCCACTTCCTAGCCTCCAACACCATGGCCTCTGCATCCACCAGGCCAAAACCATAAAGGTGGCTGACTTCGAGAGAAAACACAGAATCATCACAAAAGAAAAGTATTTATGCTTCTACAGTGGGTACGGAAAGTATTCAGACCCCTTTAAATTTTTCACTCTTTGTTTCATTGCAGCCATTTTCCAAAAATCAAAAAAGTTCATTTTATTTCTCAGTAATGTACACCCAGCACCCCATCTTGACAGAAAAAAACAGAAATGTAGAAATTTTTGCAAATTTATTAAAAAAGACACCTGTCTATATAAGACCTTACAGCTCACAGTGCATGTCAGAGCAAATGAGAATCATGAGGTCAAAGGAACTGCCTGAAGAGCTCAGAGACAGAATTGTGGCAAGGCACAGATCTGGCCAAGGTTACAAAAAAAATTTCTGCTGCACTTAAGGTTCCTAAGAGCACAGTGGCCTCCATAATCCTCAAATGGAAGACGTTTGGGACGACCAGAACCCTTCCTAGAGCTGGCCGTCCGGCCAAACTGAGCTATCGGGGGAGAAGAGCCTTGGTGAGAGAGGTAAAGAAGAACCCAAAGGTCACTGTGGCTGAGCTCCAGAGATGCAGTCGGGAGATGGGAGAAAGTTGTAGTAAGTCAACCATCACTGCAGCAATCCACCAGTCGGGGCTTTATGGCAGAGTGGCCCGACGGAAGCCTCTCCTCAGTGCAAGACACATGAAAGCCCGCATGGAGTTTGCTAAAAAACACCTGAAGGACTCCAAGATGGTGATAAATAAGATCCTCTGGTCTGATGAGACCAAGATAGAACTTTTTGGCCTTAATTCTAAGCGGTATGTGTGGAGAAAACCAGGCACTGCTCATCACCTGTCCAATACAGTCTCAACAGTGAAGCATGGTGGTGGCAGCATCATGCTGTGGGGGTGTTTTTCAGCTGCAGGGACAGGACGACTGGTTGCAATCGAGGGAAAGATGAATGCGGCCAAGTACAGGGATATCCTGGACGAAAACCTTTTCCAGAGTGCTCTGGACCTCAGACTGGGCCGAAGGTTTACCTTCCAACAAGACAATGACCCTAAGCACACCGCTAAAATAACGAAGGAGTGGCTTCACAACAACTCCGTGGCTGTTCTTGAATGGCCCAGCCAGAGCCCTGACTTAAACCCAATTGAGCATCTCTGGAGAGACCTGAAAATGGCTGTCCACCAACGTTTACCATCCAACCTGACAGAACTGGAGAGGATCTGCAAGGAGGAATGGCAGAGGATACCCAAATCCAGATGTGAAAAACTTGTTGCATCTTTCCCAAAACGACTCATGGCTGTATTAGATCAAAAGGGTGCTTCTACTAAATACTGAGCAAAGGGTCTGAATACTTATGACCATGTGATATTTCAGTTTTTCTTTTTTAATAAATTTGCAAAAATTTCTACATTTCAGTTTTTTTCTGTCAAGATGGGGTGCTGAGTGTACATTACTGAGAAATAAAATGAACTTTTTTGATTTTTGGAAAATGGCTGCAATGAAACAAAGAGTGAAAAATTTAAAGGGGTCTGAATACTTTCCGTACCCACTGTATAATTAACTAAGGCTTCAGTGTTACTTAAATGGCCTGTGTAACAGGTTGTAAATAGGTTCTGTTAAAATTCTGCAAAAATGGGGACAGCACCGACTGCTGGCGTTACTGCCATATTGCGGCGCGTTGCTAACGATGTTGAATTATGGGTAATCCACAGTACAACTCCCGATCACTGCTGTGGTAAGTAACATGTTGAACGAAGCAGAGATGTTATGAACCAAAATGCATTTAAACCCACAACAAAATGACTTTTTCTGCTTTATTTTTGTTGTGATGTAATGAAGAGACCATTGCAGTTTATTTGCCGTCTAGCGAGTCATTAAATTCAGGCTCAGAGTTGAATGCTAATCATAGCTTAGTTTGCACTGCTTCTGATGCTATTCCGTTCTGATTTACTGTGTGTTGTGTAGGGCTGTGTCTCTTTTCACAACGTCGACATACCCATCCTGATTAAGACTGGTTTCCCCATATGCAGGTAGCAATGTGTTGTTATTATTTTTATAAAGGTGGAGAATGTAATGCAGAAATATTTATTTTGCTATTTTTATACACCATATTTTAGTTCCTATTTGCCTTAAGAGGCAGAGTGCTTTCATTTAATTTGATTTTGTATCTGACAACTCATTGTGAGACGTGTTGTCAAATTTGTATTGAAATAACACTATGCGATCACAAAGAGAAAAAAAAGGAACAATTAATAATAAACAGTAGAACTCCTGATCACTTCTGTGGGCTGTCTCTCTGTTCACAACATCGACATACCTATCCTGATTAAGACTGGTTTCCCCATATACAGCTAACCCTATTCACAACGTAGCGAGGCTGTTCCATAGTGGACCGTCACACTGATGCCGTGACATTGTGCCATATTGGATGACTGGTTGTAGCTGTGTCTTCGTTTGAACGTTGTGGACTGTGGTCTTCCAACGTTGGACGGCCCTCGGCTTTATGCTTTGCGACATGGAAAGGGCACTAGTTCTGCTCAGATTTCTTTTGTTTTTTTTAAGACCTGGTTTCCTTTTGTGGGTTGATATGTTTTTATTTTCTTTGGTTCTTGTTTAGACTGTAGCCATAATGAGTAACACCACACTTGACTCGCCTACTCATACTCCAGCTTCTGTTGGTAGGGGGAGGGGTGTACTGCAATTACCTAGCAATTGCCAGCTGTTGCTGGCAGTAACGTTGACTTGGGGCTGACTTTTCGACGGGTCCCCCTGACATTACTGATATGCGTAACCCACACAGGCAACCAGTTACTACCTCAACGCCACACACTGAACATGGTGCCCCTGATTTGTTAGGCTAGGTGGGCTCAATCGCACACATTATTGGACAGCACACAATGACCTACAAGCTGACAGTCACAGTCTCAGCCACCCCTCCAACACCGTGGATGTGTCCCAGACCCACTTGGTTACACACAGAAACGTCAAAGAGCCTCCTTCCTTCAAAGGGGATGGTTCTGATGAGGGCCTTTGTAAAGAAGGGAAACATGAATACGAACGAGCAAAGGTGTCTCTTAGTGTCCTCAAGCTGCTCAGGCACTGGAATAAACTCACGCTTTGGGATGGAATGCTGTACAAAGTGAAAAGGGATCAAAACATGAACAAAAAGCTTTATCAGTTCATTGTACCAGATGGCCTTAAACGTCAGGTGCTCCATGGTATACACGATGCTGCAGGCCACCAAGGCTGTTCACGTACACTCTCACTGGCTAGACACAGTTTTTTTTGGACTGGCATGGCACGTGATATTGTACTTTATGTCAGAAACTGCCAGAGTTGTATTGTGGGTAAGACGCCGGAGCCCCATGCTCGTGCTCCTCTGGCGAATATTCACACCACAGAGCCCATGGAACTGATCTGCATTGATTTTTGCACAGCAGAGCAGGGAGATGATAAATCTGTAGATGTTCGCTTTTCCTTGTAAGAACCAGTCAGCGAAACAAGTGTCTCATCGCTTATGGAATGACATTGTCTACATATATGGCTTCCCTAAGTGTGTGGATTCTCACCAGGGGGCTCTCGGGGGGGCTGTGAGCGCCGCCTCGAGTCCCAGGTTTGCTGAGGGGGACCCCGAGAAGCGACACTGCGCCTCTCGCTCTGCCGGTAGGAGCTGGTCGGCTGAGACCGCCTCTCTGCAGGCTGTCTCCTTGGTGACCCGGAGCGACAGATCCGTAGCTCCACAGAGCTTCCCCCCCTAGCCCATGTCCTTCAACAGGTCAGCCTGGTACACCTGCAGAACAGCCATTGTGTGCAGGCTCGCACCAGCCCGGCCCGCCGCCATGTAAGCCTTGCCCACCAGAGCAGACGTAACCGACAGGGCTTGGTGAGCAGTACCGGCTTCTTAAGGGACGATGCAAGGCCGGGTGAGAGACAGCTGGCCAAAGCATCCTCAATCCGGGGCATCGTCCCACAGCCGAATCACTTACCCCCGCAACGTTGCTGTAATCCAAGAGCGGGGGAGTAGTCAGGGCCCGCTCCAGGATTTGCACAACTCATTGTGCAAATCCAGGAAGAACAGCAGAGACCGGCGCGGAGGCAGCGCGCAGTGCTGCAGGAAACGCTCATCAAGTTTGCTCCCGGCATTCCTTCACAGCCTGCGGCCAATCGATATTGAGCTTGGCCACTTCCCTCGCCCAGTTCCCGGAAGTCCTCCTCCTCCACAACGCTGAGCACATCCAATTCCTCAGAATCAGACAGCTAGAGCCTTTCCGGGCTCATACCTCGAGCGTGAGCAACCGAGAAGCGGGCTCCCGGACGGGGAAGAGGCGAGTCGGAGCCGGCAGATGAGGATCGGGAAAAAGCCACGGCAGTCCCAATGCCCTCGGAGATATCGCGCTGCGAGCCCCATGACCGAAGACGCCGCGCCGCCTCAGCGACTGCAGGACCCGAGCCACGGGGAGAGCGTTTCTGGCCATCTTCAGAAAGAGGGCTCAGCACCCTCAGGGGCATGGACTCGCAATGGCCGCAAGCAGCCCCCTCGAGAGCTGCCTGGGCATGCGGCATCCCCAGACAAGACACACACAGCACGTGAGTGTCCCCAGCCGTGATGTAGCGCGGGCATGGAAAGACACAATTCTGGAACTGCTCACCAGCCATGATCTCCTCTGTAAAACTTCCAGGTAGGACAAACTTCCGTGGTTGTTCGTGGAGCTTTCGACCTATCAAACATATCAGAGCGCCTGCTGAATAGAAAAAAGCTGGTTTGTCCTGTGTGCCGGCGTGCTTTATACGCCTCCAGTTACACCGTCCCACGCTAATGTTAGAGCAACGCCAGCAGGATTGCAGTTCGAGTTCCCTCGAAGGGGAACGTCACACCTGCACTCATTTTTCACTGCACTCATAGTTCAAAGAATATCATGTAAGAAACAGTCAATGTACTATGTTAGAAGTAATATTCAGTGTACCTCTGTGTCCGGCAGCATTGGTCTTCCAGTCATCAGCTTTCAGGTGGACTGGTCTGGATGTCTTCACCAGAAGATGTTGCACATCCCTCCATGTCAGTAAAAGGCTGCAGAAAACAAAGACGCCGCGCATTTCATTTGGCCAGACAGAGAGACCGTGACTTTAACTTTGTTAGCTCTGTTTGGCCTTTGAATGTTATGACAACGCAATTCCCTTTCCTCAGGTTTGAAGAAATGCACAAGTGTTCCATTGGTCAACTTAGAACAAATACACACAAAGGTGCAGGAATAGGCAAGATATCAATCATTGTTAACCGAAGCTTAAAGGATTAGACTGGTGATATCCCATATTTTACTTATTCTCGGCACACCCCATGAAAAGACACAAACCAACAATGATTGTATCCTACTAATAAGTATTGTGTGTTTTATCCTGAGCCTGATCTTATTCCTCTGTGCCGTAGAGCTCCATTGTTGTCCAAAAACTATTCAAACCATGTCAAGGATCCTAGAGCATCAAATGTCTAGTAGTCCGAAGAAGAAAATAGGCCCTAAAAACCTGTTCCTCACTGTGTCTAAAAGCACATCGTGTGTTGCTGCTGTAACCTTCTTTTATACAGTCTATGGCTGTAACATTTATAGCCTGCAAGTTCATTTATTTATATATTAGGACAAGCAACTTACCTGAAAAAGCTTAATAATCTGAAAAAGCTAACTGATCAAACTGTCTGGCTTGTTTATCAAGAAATGTGCAAACATGGAGCTGCTGATGATGCAGAGGCATCTTGTCTTTACAGATGGTAAACAGTATGCTGCCTGCAGACCTGCAGAACCCCCGTACAATACTCTGCTTTAGAAGTCTGAGCATAAACTAAACATTTTACACTTCCTATTATCTCTAGTCACCCTATAATAAACATTAATTAGCAATCAGGACAGAAGCTCTGGAAGTTCAGAAAGAAACTGGGAAAATATCCTACCAACAAAAAAACTATTTAGTCAATTAATGATATGTTTGCTGTTAGGATTGTGTAATATGACGATTAATATTGTTTGACAGTAGCAAAACATTTATTGTTTAAAATTATGCTCTATTGTTTATTTCGTTGTGTCCAATATCCAACTTGAAACTAACTTCATCGCAGTCCGTTCTTTCACACTTGCTGGTGTTGCAGGAAAAACTGTACAGCGCCCGGGGACCAGATCCAGATTGAAATGCCATGCTGGGTCAAACTGCACTGACTGGAGAACATACCTAACATGTTTTTGATGGTGGGGGAAAGCGGAGCACTCGGAGAAAACCCACGCAGACACGGGGAGAACATGCAAACTCCACACAGAAAGGCCCTGGAAACCGGGGTTTGAACCCATGACCTTCTTGCTGTGAGGCAACTGCGCTAACCACTGCGGGAGGGTTGTATCGCTGTCTGGAAACGCTGTGCAGCTCTGGGACCGTCTCATCCTCTCATGTTTACTTTGCAGCAGCATGTAGCAACAGTTTGCTAACCCACAACCTAGCTAACATTAATTACATTACTTGCTGTGTCGTTTTTCACTCTACATCCTGGTATTTGATTTCTCCAGAATAGCTGACCCCACCTTTATAATGCAGAGAAATATCCCGCAGTTGGAAATGCCATGTTTCATTAAATTTACAAAAAATGTTCTATATCGGGATATGTATCGTTATTGGGATATGAAATTACCTATATCGGGATATGAGATTTTAGTCATATCGCACAGCCCAATTTGCTGTGTATATGCAGTAGGCTGACACTGAATAGTTGGAGATTTTATACTTCGATGGGCAGAGCCTGATTCAACTGTCAATCTCACAGTCAAAGCTTCGCAGCCGGTGTTATTAAAGGAGGATCGTACCATTTTGGAAATATGGGGGAGGGGCTCAAGTAGACGCATGTAGTGGCAGAAGAGACGGAGCCACAGCTTCACCGGTGTTGTGCCGAGTTGTCTGCACCTCGTGGGACGTTCAGATCATTTATCACCACTGATGAACCACACAAACAATATTATATAGTTTTTTTAAACAGTACCTGAAATAGACCTGCGAGGAACTGAGACATGCATGTAGTTGTCGGCCGCAGGGCACGCACGCAAAACACGGCAAAAGTTGAATGGCAGGTGAGCAAAGAGAAAATGGTCAACAATAAGCCTCAGTGTAAATGTAGAGTGTAAGTTACACTGACTAATGAATAAAGACTGCAGCTCTGCAGCTTCTCAAGATTAAAGGCTATCAGTTGACTATAAGCAAGACTTGACCCCTCTGATTCGACTATGTTAATCCTTAGTCGGAGACAAGACTAATATGCAGTACATAGAATTTCTCCCTGGGCATCAATAAAGTATTACTGATTCTGATTTCTGTGTCTACATAAGAGTGTCTTGATACAGCACCCACAGCTTAGATGGCAGGAGAGGACCTAACCAAATGTTAGGAAAGAGAGATGTTGAAGAAGAATGTGAGGACAGAGTACTGAGATAATTTATGACGATGAGTAAACAGTAAAACTAGACTGACTTGGCCTCCAGGGCGAGAGCTATGATTCCAGCCACAATGGGAGCAGAGACAGAAGTGCCAGTATGACCATCAGTGCAGCGGTGCCTGGGGTCAGTGGTTACCTGCAAGCGAGCACAAACACAATATAGTTCTCATTTGACTGTTTATAAATCTAATTTCATATGGATTTCCTTCTATTAATCAATGCTTTATTGGTGGTCTAGAGAAAACCCTTAAATTGTCAACATTTTGATCAGACATTCAGTCAATGTGCACACTAATGTTCAAACAGAGGTAATCACAAAACAGCATATCTCTGAAAAAAACACTGAATTCTTCATTCAGGCTTTCTCTTCCTCCCCTGGTTTTGCTTAGTTCACAACCAATAATCTTGTAGATAATTTCAGTTCTAAAATTACTAATTTCAGTCCAAAATTCCAAATGTTATTGATGCCATTGCCCCAACTAAGGTAAACGTAGTCTCTGGTACAAAAAGCCCACCATGGAGAAATTTCCATAAATATTTAAAAAAGAGAATGTTGAAAAGCTGAACAGATGTGGCAAAATCTCCATCATTGCCAAAAGCAATATTAAAGCACATGCCTTATTTGCTACTGCATTAGCCTCATTCTTTACTGACAACATGTTTTTAAAATTAGACAAGCGGTTAGTTCCTCCATATCAGGTAAAGAGTGTGTATTGTCCTTGTATCCACTTCTTACTAATACAAGCATGACACAATATATACTCTCAGCTATAAAACCTAGGAAGAAATTATGCAAAATTTAAAATCCAGTTCTAATCCCATACTCAGTACCCTTTACTTAAGTATCAATACAAGTTCTGCATCATCATACTTAGTAAATGTACTATGGGGGCAAATCAATGTCAATATCATTGTAAAGGTACAGACTATGGGTTACCAACTTTCCATGATCTACAAATATAAAACACAATCTACAAATAGTTTTAAAATCCACAAAGTCTTTATGATCCATAAATATAAAACATGACATCTACAAATAAATTCAAATTCCACAAACAAGATCCACAAATAGAAATCAGTGACTTGTAAACCAGAATTTCAATGAATGCAGAATGATTTGTCTGCTTGTGAGGGTTATATTTTATTTGTAGACTGTTTAGCATTTCTTTTCAGAATTTTAACAATACTGTATTGCTGTTTAACAAATTAACACAATTTGCAAACACAGTCTAACTTTTAAAAAGCTGTTTCAAGACATGCATACAAATTCTGTGCAATGCTCAATATTCAACTGTTAAATTTGTGTTTGCGGATCACAGTTAACTCGCTTCATATTTGTCTACAAATCATTTTGACACTGGTTTACCGTGGAGAGTGTAACTATGATCCACAAATGTAGTCAGCCAATCAGAGGTCTACCCTGCATCTTATCCAGGGTGGACTATTTGTGTTCATGTGCTTGATAACTTAAGTGATGAATAATTATCCCCCTTTTGGTTGGTGAAGTGTGCCTTTGTAATACAGTTTAATATTTACATTCTACATATATGCTCTTGGCTTTTTGGAAATGTGACCTCAGTCCATTAACTTAAAATACAATTCATTTAGTTATAGCAGTCTTCTCAAATTCTGTTGTTGTTCCGTAACATTTTTGGAAATTATCAGCAGCTTTTAACTGACATAGCCTAGAGGGGAGGGGATAAATAGATCCCTACAAGTCATACCTTAAAACAACCATTGTACACGTTGGCTTCATGCCTTCATTGCAGAATATGAGAGGAAAGAAGAGGAGATGAAAAGAGATGGCTGCATGTTTGGTCTCCACCAAAACCTGTGAAAAATATCTAGCTCTTCAGCTGCCAAATGCTCCACTATGTTCACATGCTAGTAGCTCACTTTAACTGTCTACGGGAAACTATGCTGATGAGAGTTTGTGAGCTGTAAAACCAATGAGCCAAAAGAGGCAAAAAAATATTTGCAGCTGTTTTAAATCAAATAATTGTTTTCATTTTGTTACCTAGTTAAGCCAATGTTAGGGCTTACGGACATTCAACAGTCACATGCTACTGAGGTAAACTTGTCTGTGGGTTTTCAAACACGTTCTGAATTGTCATCTGTATTACACATATTTTACTAACATCAACTGTCTGAGCTAGCTACAGTTGACAGAATAGCAGTTTATCCAGCACTTACAATCTTTCTCTCATTAAACTCTCCACTGCTGTAGGTTGTTGCCATTATCGAGCTGCAGACCTCCAGGTACCAGGGTTTGTTTCCATTCTCTGTGGTGCTGGAGATTGAGATGGTGTAGATACTGCTGGTGTAACCGTCACAAGAACAGTGATCACCCTGCCGACCACCGTTACCTGATGCCCAGACAAAAATGGACCCCAGGCCTTTGCGGCCCTGTGTGACATAAATACATAGTGATGTGGCGCTGTGGTTCCACTAAACTGTCAATCATGATATAACAGAAATTCTACTCAGAGAAGTTGTTTTTTTTGTGACTAATCAAACCTTCCTGATGCCTTGTTCAAAAGCCTGCTTTGTTAGTGGCCCTGGGCCATCCACTGTCTTGCCATCGTCTTTAGGCCCCCAGCTGGCACTGTAGATGTCAATGTAGTCAGGTCGGATTCCCAGGGACTTGGCCTCTACTATGTCAGTCACATCACCATCCAGCATCCGAATCCCTGTGTCCAAGGCAACATCAGTCTCAATACATCAAACTCATTTCAGATGGAATGAATGTAAGGCATCCAGTTGTCCTTTGATCATGCAGTGGGTGCCCTGCTGCTGTAGTGGTAGGAAGAGGTGCACAACATTGACACGTCTCTGGTTCTGGCCAGGGACATTTTGCATGCCATGCCTATGATTTATATAAAATGCCAAAAATCATGCACTTTGCTTGCCAAGAGTATAATAGGCAAAAGGGATTTTACTTGACAAGCAATCAATACAACAGTAATTACAATAATAAATGTATATTTAACCAGGGCTGGGAGATATATTGAATATATTCTATATATTTGAATATTAATTAATGTGCAATATAGCAGATGACCATATTGTCATATTTCAGTTTTTACTGCTTCCACTGTCACAGTCAAGTGTGTACATAAGCTCAGGTTTTAGTATAATAGTAAGTGAAAGCTGCTTACTAGCTAACTTTTAACAGTCTGGACCAACTCTGCTGTGAAGAGCAGAAGATGTAGTAAGATTACATCCACAGGGACTTTTCTGTGGTAGCAAAACATAACACACTATACTGCAACCTGAGTTTATCTACAGACGGTGTTATAACAAAATGTACTTAAAAAAAGTCATTGTGCAGTCAAATGGTCAAGGTTTTACTATCATACATGATGTTTTTGGATTAATATTACTGCTGCATTACTGCTGTAGATGTATAGCCTTGTCACGACCTCCTGGCTGGTGAGACCATGTTTGAGTATGAGTGGGTTTTGTTTATTTCTTGCCTTTTGGGTGTATGCTGTGTGCTTGGTGTGTTTTGTTTTTTGTCTGTCTATTGTTCTCTTACGTGGGGTGCTTCCCAATTGTCTTAATTGCATCCACGTTTCCCTCACTTGTGTCTCATTTCTCATTTCTCTAAAAATATATATCCTCCTTTCTTCTCTCCCTGCATCGTTTCCGTGCGTCTCTCCATGCATCCCTGGTGGGCGGGACTAAGCCGCAAACCATGCAGGGAGAGAAGAAATGAGGAAATGTGTTTGGTCAGTCTCACTTTTGACTGAATGGAAATTATGACAAATTATGTAAGATGTGTTTCCTGACAGATTATCCAACTCTCTCTGACTTTAATTGTCTCCATCATAAAAGTTAATGGGGTAAATAAAAGGAAAGAGAAATCTGTTTTAATGAATGAAAAAAGCTGTGTGTGGGGATTTTGTTGTTCAGACCTACAGTGAACACAGATTTTAACTAGAAAGTGAATCATAAAACAACTCAAATATAAAACTTGGCAGTGATACACTTTTAATCTGTTTGCCCTCACTTGGTATGAAACTTCGATGATGGTATGATGTTTCAGATCAGTACGATCAGCTGTAGCGTCCAATCAATATGACGGCTACCCACGGCTGGTTATAATGTACTATGGAACACGGTAATAAACTGGTATTACTGTTATAAAACATTAAATCAAAAGGTCATAATACGTAATGAACTTTGCTATAGCAAGTGATAATAACAATTGTTATAATGTCTCATGGAAGCATTATATTGTTTTCTAAATGTATGCATAAGTCATTACAGTGATGACCTTTATAGAAATAGTTCAATATGTATTGTCTTTATAGTCCACAATGTGGAAATTTGTCTTTAACTAAACACATGGCGAGATGAAGCAAACTGACACTTTTGAGCTAAATGCAATTGCCAGTATAATAAAATTCTTACAATAACAACGTTATAATGCTAATGTTTAGCAGGTGCTAATGTTTAGTATTTGCCATATTCATCTTGGTTTAGCGCGCTATAGATGAATGTTATTTGCAAGTACTGGCCAAATTAAAAATTTGACTTGATGTATAGTAAGATCAACAAATCATGAGGATTCATTGTCTGGGAACCATGATCTATACCAGGGGAGACTGCGGGACTCCCCCCAGACAAAGCTTGGGAAACGGCAGTCTTTAAGCAGTTTTTCAAAACGCTTCATTATTTGATCCCATAGACACTCAACATCTTAGCCAAAATACCCTAATATTGCTGTTTGACTACACCAAATAGTTTTAAAAAGGTCTGTCCTAAGCCATTTATTAGTTTCTGACTCTGATTGGGGGGAAACTGTTCCCCAAAACTACTGTATCTTTGAACTCTCATTCTATTCTATGTGATCTCCTTTTGATAACTAATGCAATAAGTAATGTAATATTGTTTCACTTCCATTCACTGAGCCTCCCCTGAAACTGTTTGGAGCCCCCCTAGGGAGGTCCGCCTCACATTTCGAAAACTCCTGATCTATACCAAACTTTGTGCTATTCCATTTAGTTACTGGACTACTGGATAAGTGAACCTCTGACTGCTGGTAGTGCTCTGGTGATGAAGAGACGAACTAACATTGTCACCCCCAAAGCACACTGCAAAAAAACTATGTTAGTGTAGTGACTCAAACACATGAATCTATAGGGAAAATATCTTTAAACCTACATTGATTCTTGCAAGTGTTGAGAAAAGGACAGAGAATAATACCTCCAATATGAGCGTTGTAGGCAATTCCAATGATGCAATGGGAGTTATTGGCCACTGCTGCAACTTCACCTGCACACCTAGTTCCATGTCTACATGTAAACAGAGAGCAAACAGAAATTACAACCTGACATACAATAACCTGACCATGTAAATACTGGTGCTTCTTTTACAAATCACACCAATGTTCATTTTATACTGTATGTCATTCAAAGAAGAGATGTCATCACCCCACCTGTGGAGACAGCTTCGTCTCTTTACAGGCTCATCAGGGAGTCATTATTCAGAGGCTGACACATTCCATTACTTTACCTCCCTTTACAGAAAGATAACACACCTGAGAACAGATGCTATTCTTAAAGTGGTCGAATTGTTCTAATTTTACAGTTCATAATTTAATTTAGGGATTGTACCGGAACAGGTTTACATGGTTTCATTTTTAAAAAACACCATATTGCACATTCCCGCAGCTCCTCTTTTCACCCTGTGTGTTGACCATACTGTTTTGGCTACTGAGTCAACTCACTTCAATTTGATCTTTCTGTTGAGTTGCGCATGCGCAGTACCTAGGTAAGGACTACTAGCCAATCAGTAGCAGAGTAGGGCGGATCCCAACAAGCCGGTAACCGGGGCTTCGGTTCAACTTTACATGTTCCCTAACCAGCTTTGCAAACTAGACTGAAACTTGACTGAAGCAAGAGTTTCAGAGTGGAGAGTTATTCATTTTTTTAACTGAGCTCTGTCTCTACATCACAGTAACAACTTTATATCTGTTGACTGCCTGAGGGGTATCTAATGTTTGGAAGAGAGAAGGGAGGCAGCCTCACTCACTGTGTGCTGCAGCTCAGTGTGTTTCTCCACTGGTCTTCTTGAGGGCTTGCCACACTTGCCGCTAAGCGAGCATTATGATGCATGTTACAAAGTGAATGCAGATAGGTTACAGAAGTAAAGGCTGGACTACAATCCAGCTGTTTTCAGGCAGTTCAGAGCAGAGTTTTCTGTGAGAGATGGGAACTCCCTTTAGGGTGGACTTTGGGCTTTTTCACTTTGTAAACCTATTACATGCACAAAAAGATATATAACACAATAAAGGAGAGGGAAAAAGCCAAAAAGCAGTGCCTACAGGAAGTGAAAACATAGTGGAAAACAACAGACATCACCCTCTGTGAAGCCAATATACAGAGGACAGAGAATATGGTGACCATCCTGAATCTTGACCAGACTGATCATTTAGTTGTTGAGACTGCCCAGATACTTTTTGTTTCTACAAATCCTACCACCTGCCCATTCGTGGTAGTGCTCTGAGGAGTTGATGGCTTGTGCCTAAAATCAATCAGCAAGTCCTTCATCTTTTCTACATTTAATTGAAGGAATGCCCTGTCACACCAGTGTACAAAATCATCAACAGGACCGTGGTCATTTTCCTCAGAGTAGAGGAGATAACAGAATCATCTTCACATTTTAAAATGTGTCTATTATCATGCCGGCTCCAGCAATCGTCAGCATAAAGAATGTTAAAGAGTGGTGAAAGGATACAAACCTGAGGAGACCCCGTGGATGATGACATCTCCTCCGCCAAGCAACCATTTACCCTTACTCTCTGAGTTCTGTTTGTTAAAAAGTCAAGAATCCAGCCCACTATATTAAAATCTGGGTCAAAGTTCTTTAAGAGCGTGTTAACTAAAATGTGTCCTTGGATTGTATTAGAAGCAGATAAAAAATCAAATAAAATATAAAATCTTGCATGTGTTTTACTACCTCCGAGGTGTTTGAATAACAAGTTTGAGTAGCAGTGACATCATCTACCCCTTGCTTAGCCCTATAAGCAAACTGTAGTGGATCAAAAAGATTGTTTGTTTTGTAAGGAGCTCTTATTTAAGCAACACTTCATAACTAAGGAGGTCAGGACAACTGGCCTAAAGTCATTTAGTACTTTGTGGTGATTATGTCTGGCCACTGGGATGACTGTAGACTGTTTCCAGATGTTTGGCACTCTCTGTTGATTTAGAGACAAACATTGGAAAATACAATGAAAAATGGGGCCTAATTGCTCTGCACAAGAGATAAGCAGGTGGCTACCTATATTGTCAGGCCCGGGGCTTTTTCTAGCTCTAGAGTGTTTAAACGTATTGACCACTGCACATTCATCAAAACAGGGGCAAGGTCATTGTCAGATAGGTGGGATTTCTGCTCTAGAATGACATTCCTGAAATTGGATGTGTCAAACCTCAGGTAAAACTTGTCAAACTTGTTGCTAGCTGTTTGTCATATCTGAAACCCTCCAACACAACCTAGAGTTCTTTTGGCTCCTTGTGCCAATAACAGAGTCCATTTAATTTAACACCATTCCTTGTTTTCACTGCTTGCGCCTGCTGCACTGCTGCCGATGAGAGAAGCTAGATGTGGTACCAATGCCAAATCTGATTCAAAAATGGACTGGACCAAATTATTGTTTTTTTCATCTGCATGTATGTTTACTCGGCAGGGATGATATTACATGAGAAAATTGATCTATAGGAGAACCATATCAGAAAGTAACAGACTGACTGAGAGCTGCACTGACTTAAGTTCTGCTGAGTTTTCGATTTTGAATTGTCACCTGCCACCTGAATATTGTGTTTCCTTTTACATAAATAAAAACATTTCCAACTAAAAATTGATGCAGGGAAGACAGAAACTGGTGCAAAATTCACTAGAATGCAGGAAATGAAGTGTTTAATGCTCAAAGACCCCCCACAACTAACAGATTTCAGGATTCATAATAGAGACTCTATTGAGATTATATACAAAATACAATGAAATGCAGTTTAGAGCAAAACATTGAACTTAGCACCTTTAAAATAGCTTTAAGCAAAGAGGATTTCTATAAAACAGTGTTAAAAAAACATCTTGTTCTCTTTATGTAAATGCTCCGTACTTGTATAGCGCCTTTCTAGTCTTTTCGACCACTCAAAGCACTTTTACACTACATCTGCATTCACCAGTCACACACATTCATACACTGAGCCTAAGTGCTCAAACGGAAACTAACATTCACACTCACTCATACACTGGCAGAAAAGCCACCAGAGGCAATTCAGGGTTCAGTATCTTGCCCAAGGACACTTCGACACGCAACCAGGGGGAGCCAGGATTGAACCGCCGACCTTCCAATTAACGGCCAACCCGCTCTACCTCCTGAGCCACCTATCTGACAATGACCTTGCCCCTGTATATATGTATATATATGTATATATAAATCCTGAAGAAGGCTGCACCCACATTTTTTTGTTTCTGCCATGTAACATTACAGTAACTTTTGTTCAACAGAGGAGAAATGGAAGAACAGAGTCTGTCGCTTTTTATTTGTTAACATCTTGGCTTCTTCACTGGTTGTGAAGTGAAGTGTGGTTCTAATACAGTAACAAAAGATGCGAGTGCAAAGATTTTGCAAATGCAAGTTACGCACACCCTGGGGGCTAAGCCCCCCTGTCTTTCAGTCCTAGTGATGTCCCTGACAGGACTCCTTAAACATACCACAGTCTGTACAGTCAAAACAGCCCTGTAGGCTCAGGATGGTATCATCACTCCAGTTCTTAGCACATTTAATGAGAGTTTTTCCACTCCTTAAGGCTGTGCTATATGTGACGGGATGGGCTGGAAGCAGTTGTGGTCAGCCTTGCAGAGCGGAAGAAGAGGAAGAGCTGTGCACGCACCTTTGACAGAACTGTAGCACAGGTCCAGTGTCTTGTTTTGTCACACACACACTATTTTTAAAATACAAAACTACTTTCGCATTTCTGTATTGACATTTCTTGTTACCTATCAGTCGACATAAACACTAATACTGATGTATCTGTAACATGCTAATAGTGGCCTTAAAAAGACCCCTAACGTCTTTGGACGTGAATGTGAGTTTGAGTGGCTGTCTCTCTGTTTCAGCCCTGTGATTGATACAGGTCTCTATTGTACAGTGGTCCTTCAGGAGCAGTACAACATCTACCAACATATACAGAAAAATAGCAAAGACATGACTTTGTGGAAAAATCTCAACTTCTGACTTATTGTCTCTCATGTAAGGCATCCATGGAGTTGTGTGAAATGATGAAAACAGAGAATTGTGTCAGCTCTCTCACCTCTCTACAGCTGGCAAATCATTTTGTAAAGTACGTGAAAGTTAAAAAAATAACTGTCAGATGTAGCCTCTCTGATTCTGCTGTCGAAAAAGGGGTTCCCGATGCTGTTATATATGATCCAACAAGCACTTTGTTTGACACACACTCAGGCACTAAAACTTCTAGATATTCTGAAAATGAGTCTGGAACTCATCTGGAACTACTCCTGCTGTATCGTTGGCACCTGGCCGTATACTAAAAGGATAGAGACAAGATCAAAGTACAGGGGAATATTTGGGATAACTGCAGAATAGATATAAAGCTAGGGTAAGCAATGTTGGAGAAACTATCAAAGAAACAACTAGATTCTGAGAGTATCCGACTCCCTCCCTGCAGACCTCCCTCGAAAGCCACTACCTCAAAACACATGTTCATGCGCAGTGAGTGCACAGGCAGAGTGTGTGCAGTTAGGTAGGCCAACCAATCACTTCTTTTGGACAGAATTAAATGATTGGCCCTGCTTATTACAGTGCATTTCAATTATTGTTCAAGTTCAACAAATATAACAAAAATGCTTCTGAAATAAATTGCCTACCCCAGCTTTAAGTTGAACGTGACAAGGTGGAGATTCTTTCTTACATGTTTTCATTGCGGGAGTCATAACGTGGTGTGGGGTCATGGTCATTCCCATTGACATCATAACTTGCTAGGTGGTCCTACAGAAATGATAGGACAACAGAGAAAATGGCAACAAATTGGTGAGGCATGGACAGAGAAACAGCAAAGTTTATTTAAAAAAAAGCTGTGTATTCTATCACAGTTCTCTTTGTGTGGGGCAATAACCTAAGATGTTACATGTGAAAATGAAATTCACAAGGATTTATGTTGATTTTGAACTGTATCCATATTTGGAGATGGTTGGATAGCACATACATAGTTCTGGGCCAGATCAGGGTGGTTCCTCTCTATGCCATCATCCAATATGGTGACCACCACATTCTTGCCGGTATAGCCCCTCTGCCAGGCTGCCAGAATGTTCATATCTGCGCTACAGTGGCTGCTCTTATTATTGCAGTGCTGAAGACAAAAATAGACAACAAACATCAGACATCTTGTCTTGTCAAAATGAAAATGGTAGGAATAATGATTCAGTGTTCTGTACTTACAATGTACCACATGTTGGTCCATTTAGGGTCATTGAAATGAATGGTCGCGTGACTTTGGGCGTGCCTCTTTACTCTTGGTTTTACTACCTGCTGCTGGGCCCAGTCCACCTAAAGATGGAAATGGAAAGAACACTATAAATCAGTTTCAGGTGTAAAAAGATCCACACTCTTCTCTGTAGAAGCCCTTGTACAATACCTATACAATTACATAGAAAAACCTTTTTGTGCAGAAAAAAGTTAATAACTTTGATTTTTCTAAATTAAATCAATTAATTCCAGACAGATTTTGAAGAATTGGTCAGTATAGATTTAATCTATGTAAGGATACTGGAATTACTGTAATATCTGTAAGCATCCTACACCAGTGTAGAATCCTTACCCTGACTTTTGCCGTTACATGAGTGACCCACGTAGACATCAGATTTGAGGGGGAAACTAGCCTCAATGGGGCCACTGACTCTGCAACCACAGAGTAATAGAAAACTGGACTGAAGTAACAAAAGCATTCCCTAAAACAAGTGTGGAAAAGGTTTGGTTTGACCATGTCATTTTTTGATCATATCATACTGTCAAATACTGTATATAGACTTTAGAAATACAAAAATACCAACACATTCTGCAGTGCTCTACCACCCACCAGGCCCTCTTTAAAATTCTTGATGCAATTAGAATTTGAGCCCTCAGGGCGTCATATACCGACGATTTGAGAAAGAGTGACAAAGAGTAGTTATTTGTGAGACGCACCGGAAGCGTCTCTATGAGACGCTCTGGGCGTCCCGTACAGACCGGAAGTGCTAGCTAGCGTTTTCAATTTTATGGTCACTTTTGGATCTTTACACACTCCGTACTTTAACGAACTCCTCCTAGAGAATTAGTCCTACCGACGTCAGATTTACCCTGTCTACTCTAAAGCCATTGACGATTAAAAGTTGTACAAACGGTGAGTTTTCGTGGAACGGCGTGCCCGTGGCGTGGCATCCAAAATCGATGATTCTTCATGAAAGAGGAAGTTGTTGTAACCTCAGTGTACATGCTCACATCTGCATCAAACTCACCAAATCTACATGCTAATATTCAGTTATAGTCATAGCACCAAGTGCTATGTAGCGCCGCAAAGGGAACACAGGAAGTGACAATTAACACTTTTGTGCAGCGTCCGAAGTGCATGTCGTAACGTTACTCGCAGCCGCACCAGCAGAGCTCCAGAATCTGAAACGCGGCCGCCTCACACCTCGACGCACTACATGTGCGAAGGCCTGCCCAACGCTGCTTGCAGCTTTAATTATAGATTTTGATTTGTCACCTGCCACCTGAATTTTTGTGTTTCCCTTTACAAAATAAAAACATTTGCACCCTAAATTGATGTAGGAAAGGCAGAATAGAAAATTCACCAGAATGCTCAAAGTTTTCTGGGGGAGGACCACCGGACCCCCCATCTCATATATTTCAACAATGATGATTTCTATAAAATAGCGTTAAATTATCATCACATTTTGTTCTCGTGACAGCAGTATGGTGTATCGCCATGTCTCGTGAGCTAAGTGTATCATCACATCCCTAATCTGAGTCGTTATCCCCACTAATTTTCAACACAAAGTGACGCCCTTGCGTGTTGCTTTCTCTTGTTGCAGTAGACAAATGCACGTTTTCTATACAACAGGTACACTTAAAACAGACGCCTCTTACACTGTCTCTGTACGTTTCTCTGCTTGCGTATCCTTCTCACCTTTTTTACCCTGGACCAGTTTGCATGCCTGATCTAGACTACGTCAACTCACTCCTGTCTGGTCTGTCTGCATGTGCCATCCGACCACTGCAGGTCATCCAGAATGCAGCAGCTCAGCTGTTCTTCAACCAACCCATGTTCTCTCACACTACACCTCTCCTCCACACAACACACTGGCTACTGGTGGCTGCTCAAATCCAACTCAAGTTACTTGAGGTACTTGTACTACTGGTACTGTGCTGCAAATGGCTCAGGTCCATCCTACATCCAGGACATGGTCAAACCATACACCCCACCAAGTCCACAACACTTTACTACTGTTAATTAACTTGCTAGTCCTTTACTACAATGGGGGGAAATCAAAATTTCCCTCCCATTGACATCAGGACAGCAGAAACTCTCACTCATCTTATGTTGCAGACTGAAAACTCATCTGTTCAGACGGCCCCTTTGCCCATGAAAATAAAATACATTTTTTTTAAAAACAAAGAAAAGAGCATAGAAAAGAACTCTTTCTAAATGTAGCTTTTGAAGCTGTTCAGCATTTTTTATTAAGTTGATGTACTTGCATGATTCTTGTCATTTTTCGCTCTGGATAAAAGTATCAGCTAAATATGTACTGTAATGTCACGTGGACCACGCTGCACATCTCGTTTTTGTTTTGTTTTTCTTCCAACTGCATCTCAGTCTAAGAGGGGTGAACTTCAACCCGATTATGAAATTTGTTAACTAATTTTTATTTGAATGTTGGGTATAACCTTACAGTCCATCGTTTTACACCACAAGAGGTGTACAGCATTTTCATACCACTGTATAAACCACTGAAATGGAAAATATACAGTCATGACAGAAATATGTGATCTTCTGCCAATGTGGTACTATGTCCGGGGTTGGAAAGGCAACTTGAAAGGCTTTAGAGAGGAGGAAAAAATGTGTTTATGTGACTATATCTCCTCTGTTGTACTTTTTGATTCCGCTTGAAAGAAATTGATCCAAGTCTCACCTCGGGATCCAAATGGATGAAGCTATGGGGGCCCTTCAAAGGGTACGCAGCTCTGCGAACCACTCTGCTTTGGTGGAAATGGTAATGGTCCTCCAGACGTCCTATCTGACCAAACACATCCAACAGTGACAACAAGAAAATTACAACAATTACACTGAAACTTAGACGGTTGGCTAAATGCTAAATATTCTATCTGTCTGAGCTCTTGTTATCTAAATGGCCACTAATCTGGTCTGACTCTTTAAAATAAAAAAACATTAACTTGATTTTACAAAGCTTTTTCTTTTCCAAACACATTGGAGCCATCTGTATAGCATATGATGTCACTTAATACGCATGTTCTCTCTTGACTTGGCACCAGAACTGTGAGCAGGATTCTCAGGACATGTGAACAGCTGGCACACTGAAGTCTATTCCTCAGACTCAAATCTACTCTGACTGGAACCATTCCTTTAACTACATCTCTCTTCATCCTGCCACACCTCCTTTAACCACAGATATCTTCTATCCTCCTTTACAGACTGTAGGCCTATCAAGTAGCCTACCTAAAAAATGTAAAAGTTTGTTGTCCACACACACAATTTTGCATGTTCCCAAAATTTTAATGATGCAACGATTTTGACCAGGTTATTTTGTGCCCTGTAATATCCTAATTGTAGGTGGAGTGACAGTCATTTCGTTTTGTCTGTCTGTCTAACCAAGTTTTTGTCATCCATTTAAGCCATTAATTAGTTTTAATATCACATCAGAAGACTATCAACCAGTTCTCTCTGTCAAGAAAATGTACACTGCTTTGAAAGTTTCTACTTTCACAGAAAATTTAAAACAAGATTTAGCTTCAGCTTGAAGTGAATCTTCCTCTTTAATGGGTTAAAGTTTACAGGAAATCCATGTGATGTCATTTGTGGGTTAATTCACAACAGCAGTAGTCTAATAACAAATCAACGGAAATTAAGTGTGTCATTACCTGTCCCAAGTTTATGTATCCGTATTTTGCAGCGATTTTATCAGCTTGTTCCTGACCACCTGTAATCCGCACTGCCCAGTGGTTTGTAAAAACGTCTCCGTGTCCGGAGGCCACTGATTGGCTAGTTTTCATAGTTAATAAAATGAAAAGCAAGAAAAAAGCCATCCTGGCTTCAAAGTTGGAAAATCAAAGTCGGTTTAAGAGATAAGTGTTGGATGTTTGGCTCAGCAGCGCAGCTCTGGGTGAAGTCAGTCATTAGTCCATCATGTTGTGGTCACGTCCCGGTGAAATTAGCTCTCCGGTTGAAAACGAGTCCCCCATGCGATATGAACTGACAGCAGCAGCCAATGGCACAGAGAGGCTAGAGTCCGCGCTTCATCAGACAGCTGATCAGATCAGCTGTCTGATGACGCTCTGTAACTCACTAGATGCTGCTGCCAATGATTGTATAATTACACCACATTCTGTTCGAAAACAAATATGGCTTCCTACAATCAGGCTACCTGATGCATTTATCAGAATTATATTGCTATTACATAACAATTATTAGCTGCCTGAAAGATGCTCTTCAAAGATGTTTGAAGACACACCACAGCGTCTGAAAATGTTTTCCCAGAAAGTTCAATAAACCTTACTGAAAAATCTGTAGAATCCAGAATCTATAAATAAGCACATATATGTTCATTTCAAACATTTAATGGATGGAAAAAATATATCTCCCACTTCAAGTCTGTTCTTAGTGTTTGTGAGCTGGAGGCTTCAAGTTTCTGTCACACCTGTGTAAGTTTCATACTGGACCGTGATTGGCTTGCATCGCTGTGTTAAACTCAGATTTAAGGTGAGCTCACAGAAACTTTCCCCCTCAGTAGATGAATGTGAAAACAAACTCTGCACAAACATCATTCTGCACAGTAAAGCTCAAACATCACAGTGAAAGAACAATAAACAAAATACAGTTTTGACTGGAGTGGGACTCTTTAAAACGAAGTAAATAAATGAACCTATTGAAACTTAAATTATATCTGTTAAGATCATATGTTAAGATCAAATGCATTCTATATATACTAATAAGACATAATAATAAAACAACTGGACAAACCATGCATCATATTTGTATTTTTCCAATTTGGGGCCCCCTGGTGCCATCTCGTTCTTGAGGTAGATTGATTTAGTGTCAGTTGGCTGTGATTACAGCATTCATCTGCTGGCAGTTTCTGAATGCTGAATCCAATTTCCAGTGTTACGTCACCACTGCTGCCAGCCCTGTCTTTCTACATTGAGTTTGCCTTTGATAAAAACAATTTGATAAAAGCCTTGTTTACAAATGAAGAGATTCTGTCCACAGAAAAGCTAGAGGGCTTTCAACCTGAAATGGATACAGGATGTGTTGAGTTAAAAAAAAGTTCCTTGTCTGTGACATATTCTACAGATACAGTCATTGAACCTGTAGCTAAACTGTACTTAAATGTGTAATGTTGGTATGGTGTCCATATGGCTATGAACAGATTATTTTTACTGTGGTATTTTTAAAGTTTACATTGAGTCTATTAATCACTATGTAATTTGAACAGGGTCACTGTGAGAGGAAACCCCCTGAGAACTAATATCAAATTCTGCTTCTAGACACCCTTAGCTCATTGTTTCGGTTCTGCATGCAGACTGTACAGTTGCTTCCCAACTGCCTCCCCATATGGAACCATAGACAGTTGTTTCTAGCAAACAAGCAAATCTCAATCCAAAGACCAGAAGATGTCAGATTGGACTGCTTTCTATGTGGGTTAAACATGTTTTGGGTGGGTTGTGATCATTTAGGCTACTTTTTGTACCATTTGGAGTTTCCACCACCAAAAGTTAGGCTATATAGGTAGGTAGGTAGATTTATTTTGTCACAATATAACATGTTATATTGTGAAATTGAGTTTGTAACTCCCTTCTGCTACGTAGTATGATGAGTTAGTCCAAACGCTCTCTGGCAGGTCTTTGCCCTGGCAGAGGCCCTGCTGTGCTGGCAGACTGGCAGGGTTGTGTTTGAAGTTCTCATGTAGGGTATGTGTCACTTACCAATAAATTACTTATTTCTACAAACAAACTGAGATTTTTAAGTACTGTTATTGGACCAATGTGAACAAATGTTGTGTGAGTTTTTCCATTGTCTTTTGGGGATTTTTAAAAGATGTCTCACCTTTTGTCTGCTGACTATGTGATAGAATGAATGGAAGTATGACATTTTCAGATTTTATAACCCTCTTTATCCACCTAAAGTGGCTGAAGTAATGCCACGCTGCAAACACTGGTGTTGTCTTGACACTGCTACCATCTACTGAAGAAAACATGTAAAGACAGAGTGAGAGAGAAGACAGTGTTGAAGATTATTTATAAAACCCATCTCCACCTTGGTAGTTCCATCAAAATTGCTCAACACTTAATAAACACAACAATGCTGTACTCACAAACCTTTGCCAACCTGGTTAATAGTCCAGCTCCGATTGCATTATTATGTAAATGTGTATGTAATACATCATGAACATCAATGTAAAACTACTTTAATGAATCCCAATACTGCAGACCTGCAATAAATCCTACTAAATTAAGAACTAATAACTGCAACATTATTAGGAAGACCTTCAATACCTTCAATAGTTAATGACCATAAAGTTGAGTCAACATATCTAAAACAGTGTCATTGTTTCACATAGCTGGTTTTTATAACAGATCCGGCCTTTTGGATTGCCTTATTTTCATCTTAATGTTAAACCACACAATGTGGATAATAGCCTAAATTGTCATAAAGAAGAAAATGTACACTGTTTTTCATTTAATTCCTTTTGACTTGACATGCCAAAAGAAGTACATTTGAATGTACTCTAAGTTCAATTTTTTTTAAAAAGCATGCGCAATTTGTTACATCTAGAGTATGTTACATAGGGTTGTGGTTCTCCAAATGAACTGCTTACGTATTGTTACCCTCTTCACATAATTTATTTCAGGAGACAAACATTTTCTGCATTTGGGAATGGAGCTTCATGCTTGGTTAGCAACCACATCAAGCTGCTGAATTTAATTTTGAAAACGTCTCATTTCCACAGAATAAATGGCAAATGAACACAGGTGGGTAAACTTAAAATTGTACTCAAGTAAAAGTACTGTTACTTTGCAAAAACAAGTATACGTGGTCATCAAAAAAACTACTTTAGTAAGAATACAAAAGTATTTACTAAAAAAATGCTTGAGTAGTGAGTAGCTTAAGAAATAAAAAAAAGTCTTTGATTTGATGTGGTTGTGACTGGACTGATTTCACCTACTGATGGTCTTCCTCTGGTAAAGGTAAGAAAAAATCTGTTATTTATCATAATCTATCCATCTATCTGAAGTTTGACTATTAGTTAGATCCAGCATAGTCAAAGTCTAATACCCCTAAAGATTCTTTCCCTCCTCATTACTCACTCCACAACATTGTTAGAAAAACGCTATTACGAGTCATGTTTGGCTTTTTTTGTCATTTAGTGCCACTGGGCAGCAGGTGTAACTGATTGTTACCATGGTAGATAGCTTCTAAGAGCAAAATTAAGACTGGCCCAACACTACTAAAATATCTTGTGAAAGTGGCCCCTGGACTGGTTCTCTCTCTGTTCCCCACATGGAAATTCAGCTCAACCTGGTCTGGTAACAATGCTAAGCTCACATAAGCTTTTGGCAGTCAGCCAGTCTCTCTCTCTTCCATGGTTCCCACCCTCTTAGTATGGCTGTGTTTGGTTTGTCTTTCCATTTCTCTTTCAGTAAAATCAGTCTACATAATTGAGAACCTGTCTCACACAGAAACAAATTAAAGATACCTCCAGAGGCCTGTTAAGTTGGTTAGGAGTAGCCTGTTTGGGTGCTTGACATGTCACAGTAAGAAATGCACAGGTGTAAATAATAAAGTGAATGATGGTTGAATTCCATTTAGCTGCTTACTTAACACAATTGTACCTATTGGTCAAATCAAAACCATGATTACAAACTAGTCTTGATTGTAACTGTTTTACCTGTGCAGAACTACAGAAATCTAGTGTTTCATGAGAGCATTAGGAAGTACTAAAGTTATGCTTTATCTTACAATATGTACAGTGGAGTTACAATATGCAAATATTATATGTGAATATATTAAAATTGTATAGAGGAGAAATTGACAGAGTTAAAAAATGGAGAGTGAAATGTACAGTAAGAACAGCATCTGTGTACCTGGTAAGTATGCAGAGTATAATAACGTATATCCAGTTGGTTATATGTACAGTAACATTATTAAACAGTGCAGGGGTTTAGTCTGTGCAAAACTAACATGTCTGTTAAAGTACTGTGAGCTGTGCAGTATGAGTCCATGGTTAAGCGACATCCTTGATGATGTTTCTTGTCCTGCCCAGGCAGTGCTTGTGAGAAATGTTCTCACTGGTGTGTAACTGGGTGATCTGTTGGACTGTTTTCCCCACCTGCTGGAATGCTTTATGGTCTGATGCAGTTGCCATACCACACTGAGATAGTTTGTGAGTGTGCACTCACTGGAACAGCGGTAGAAGTCCAGCAGGCTCCTGGGACACAGAGGAACTTTCTTAATGCTCCATAGGAAGTAAAGGCACTGCTGTGCCACTTTGACTAGGGTGGAGGAGTTAAGGGACCAGGTGGGAGATCATCAGAGATGTGGGTGCCAAGAAACTTGAAGCTTGACACATGCTCTACCACAGCTATGCACATGAATTACTATTCTTGGTAATTATACATATCTGCCAGTGCAACTCATGTATCTTCCCCTTAAGAAACTGTATTAAGGGGTCCTATTGTTACTTAGATGAATTTTGTTTGTTTCACAGTAAGCACGGTATGAACATTTTTCTAATGTCATACATGATCCACTTACCTATGGACCTATGGAAAAATACACACAATATAAAGATCCTTAAGGTATCGATTTATGATAAATAACGGTTCAAATGGGAGGTACAACTGATGTTCCTCTCAGAATCTCCTTACCAACCTACATTCCCACAGACAATGGAAGAGTGTTCCTTTGACATCATCATATTTAGTGCAAGTATAAGGGATTTTACTGTGAAATATGTGCACTGTGGGAACAACAATTTTTGACTTGGCACAGTGGGGGGAGCTGTTTTCTGCCTTTTCAGTGACTCGTGTCTCCAACTGTGTCTTCTGTCATGTATAGAGCTAAACAACTTTTTCTGAATGAGTCAGCAAACAATTGCCTATTTATACATCTAGAAGGCACAGAGCCGAGAATTAATTTGTATTTAATGTGTGTTCATCACTATGATTCATATATGTAATGTATTTCTAAATGTCATTGCACCACTATTTAAACAGTCAAAACAGGAAGTACTACAGGATTGCTACAAGGCCTCATAGAAACATGAACAGCAAGGCAGAAGTGACTTGCTGACATGTTCACCTTAGCGAATTTGGTACTTTAGAGCACGAAAACTGACAATTTCACACATATACTGCATGCCACCTCTGAGTATGATGCACAGTACTGCCTACCTACCATCTGTATTACTCTTTAACAGGTACAGTGCAATACACTGCCACATCCAACTACACATGACAACTATGAACATGCACACACAGGTGACCTGCACAATTCACAGCAACTTGATGACAAGATGATTTCAGTGAGTCCAACTCAGATCAGCCCATCTGATCCAAGAGCAACTTTTTAACTTTTAATTTTAACTGTCTACTTTCCAGAGCCTTCTCTGCTCCTCATATACCATGACTCCTGGTACAACGTGGTCACTCTAGTTCACCACAGATCTGTTCCAAATGCAGCTGTTGATGGAAATAATTCAGGCTGTAAATATAGTTTTGCCTCCATGGGGACATGACTTGGACACGCACCATCTGTAATTTCACTCACAAAGGAAATTATAACAATTTATACCTGAATTGGCATGTTTTTCATTAAGTAAAAGGTTCAAGTACAGGTTGATTTAAGAGTGAGAGGACATGACAAAGCTCCTCCAGGGCGACAGAAAATATCTTACAACTGTTCACAGACTGAGTAACACTCTCCATGACAAGTAAACTGACCTTCCTGTGTAAAATCAGTGGAATGCCTCTTTAATGAGGGTGAATATCATAAAAACCTTGAGTGCTGGATGAACAACACTGTCACGCAATCTGTGGAAATAAACTACAGTCTGATTTCTCTGCCACTGCTTTTATCAGATCCAGATCATTTTCCAATTGTAAATATTCTTTTTACAAATGACTAAGTGTGTCCAGCCTTTTTATCACTTGAGAAAAACTACAAGAAAGAAGCAAAACAATGAAATAAAGGAATTTTTCTGGAGCAAGATTAATGGTTCATTTCCTTAGAAAAGCAGTTGGTATAAAGAGGAACTATTTTACTCTCAGAAAAGTTGACCACAATTCTTTTAGAATTACGCACTCTTCATTTCCTTCTCATTAATCTGAAATCTTGGTGGTTTAAATGAATTGAGTACTGGCTTTCCCCATGGTTTGCATTTTCTTTTATACACTCTGCGTTCATGTTTGTGTTCATATAAATATATATATAGTATTATATTACGTTATATATTATTGTTAATGTATTAACATGTAAGCAGCATTTTAAAGTTGTAGCTGGTAGAGGGTGAATATTTTGTGAGTAAAATCATCATCTGCAAAGTAAATAAGAATATCTGTAAAATGAATGTAGTGAATACTGTAAATGTTAAAATATTTTTTCTTATTCACTCATAAATACAGTGGAGTAGCATAACACGGAAATACTCAAATAAAGCACAGGTACCTTCAAATTGTACGTAAGTAGAGTACTCCGCCACTACTAACAGTAGGCATTACAGGAATGAATATAAAACCACATCTTATACTATTTATGTTATTAAATGAATGAATGAATGAAGCCTTTATTTGTCCCACAGTGGGGAAATTGCAAGAAATTGGAGCAAGCCTCTGGGCTGCAGCTATGTTCAGTGCCGCCACTCGCTTCCCAGAAAAGAATTAATGCAGACAGCAACATAGTATACATGACATAATAACATACAATACATAATAATACACAAGACAACACACATTACATGCGGTCACATGTAATAAAGGCTTCACTCAAATATGCTATAACAGTATGAATGTAAATGTGTGGGAATAATTAATATGCATTAAATATTGTCTTTTTTAACAAAAAAATATGAACATATTCAAACATGAATTGCCATGTGCTGTATTACAGATATTTTTCATTTGTTTGTGGCCCATGTTCATTGGTACACCGCATGAGATTTTTTTTTTACTCACATCCGATGCATTATTCAGGAAAAATAAGAAACAAGAGGCTGTTGTACATTCCCCAACTCTGCTGGACCCTCTGTTGGCTTTTACTAAATACATCTGTGTTGGCCAAACATTTTTCAAACAACCGACCCTTTCTTTTAAAATTTAAAAAATCCAAACATTATACTTGTCTGTATCTTCACAATAGAACAAGGGGAACTCTCTGTTCAGTTGATTCTGTACACCTGCTCAAAAGAGTCATCTTCCAGAAACATGTCAACATTTCCTTGTTTCACGTAGCCACCTTGCCTGGAGGCAGATAAGACAAACAGATGTGACAACACAATCACAGCCAGGCTTACTGCTGCGGGCGGCCTTTCCCACCTGTGGAAAAAAACAGTGAAACAATAGTTCTGTCAGAGTGTTGTTGGTGTGAAACACTGACGTCTGCTGTATGGATGGATACGTGTTTAATTACAATATTACACTAGAGTATTGTTCAAGTGAAAATGTCACACTATTCTACTGTAAACCACCACACCCCTCTGTTAGTGACAAACCCACAGCTAAGACAGACAGTGTAACCCCTGTCAGCTTAGCACTCCACACCTAAATAAACACACAGTCAAATTTGCCTCCCTCACACGCTCACCATTAAGCGTCAAATCAAAGTTACTGATTGGTATGTACATGTATGTATATGTGCATTTGTGCACAGATGAGCTACTATACTATTCTTAATATACAGTGTACACAAGAAATAAAACAGTTTATTCCGCAGAACTAAAACAGTTTACTTTTTTGCTGGAAGACATTGAAATAATGAAAAGACTTTAAAGGACCCTTTTGCATTGTCAGAGTATCTGGACAAGCATGATCTAAGAAAATGTGTTGTATACATGTTCTATTGTATTTCCATTCTGTGTCAAACATGTTTTACTTTTCTATACTTTGTTTCAACAACCATGTACAGCATGTGGTTTGCAGCAATAATAATTTATCTGGTAATGTGAATGTCAGCTACCAAAGTCTTTATTTATATGTTTTATTTTTTATTTTATTCATATTATCGTGTGTCATTTCAATGGAATGACACAAAAATAAAGTATAAAATAAAATCATTCATTCATTTAGTATGACAAGTCAGCCTCAACCTACTGACAGTTACTATAATAGTATCAAGCACTCAGTCATCAGTGCACACTTGTTCACATCAATCATAAAACCACATTCAACTAAATATACCCAAAAGATAGAGAATTAATGAATGGAGAAACCAGGATGACAATGCTACATCTCCAGGACATGAGCATGAAAATTATTTGAATCCTATGATATGGCATGGCCTTCGCAGTCACCAGATGTCAACCTAACTGAACAACTATGGGAGATTTTTGGCTTCTAACATATGTTCACAATATTCACCTGCTGCCTAATATATCCCACCCACTGACAGGTGCCATGGTAATTAAATGACCTATGTTATTTACTTCACCTGTCAGGGGTCATAAAGGCATGGCTGATCACTGTATATACATTGCAAAGGATCCATGTGTGGTACAATGACTGATCTGACCATGAATAAATTCAAGTTTTTATAGTAAAATTCTATAAGGCTTTGCTTTATACTGTGTGGATTATTACCTCACAGACATTTGTCAAGTACTTCTTGAAATATCATGCCAGACAGACCAACTCGACCGATAACATAACCCACTGAGTTGGTAACACCCAATCATCACAGACAAATCTTTTAACTATTTTGTATCTGCTTTATTTTTCATGAAAAGACATTACATGCAAGTCAAAATCCTTCCATGTACACAAACACGGCCATATACACATATGACTGAAATCAGACTTCAATAAATATCTAGAAAGGCAGACTGAAGCCTTCCTCAAGTGTCCTACTCAAAATCCTTTGACAATAAATACAGGACATAATCAGAGAAATAAAGTGACTTCTTCACAGCAGTAGTGTTTCTACAAAAAGCATGAGGTAAAACAAACAGTTGACATCAATAAATACAGTATGTACAAAATTGTTTTACTTTCTATATTATTGTCTTGTAGTCATGACAGGGACTGAGTTAAGTTGCTTCTACAGCACAGAGCTCTCTCAGCATTGTCAAATCCATGTCTTAAAGCAAGTCTCAAAGTCCAGTGAAAAGTTATTTCAGTGTGACTGCAGCACTCTTGATATGCTCATGTTTAGGGCCTCATATGCTCTGGTTTGAGGTAGACATAGGGGGACCAGGAGTCCATCCACCCACTGGGGTCATGGTCCTCCATTTGCTCCTCTACCTCCTCTTCTTCACTGGACCCCTCCACTTCATCTTCATCCGAGCCTATCTTCCCGGTGCTGTTTCCTCTCAGGCGAGACACCTCTTGGTCCTCTGCCTGCGACCTCGAAAGACTCGAGTGACACGTGGCACAGACCCTCACACGCTTAGTCGGGTGAATATGTCTGATCACCGCCCGCTTCTTGGAGCAAGAACCACAAACCAAAAAGCCACATTTTCGGCAGTGGTGTCGACGCTGGGTCATGGTGAACTTGTCAGAGCAGCGCATGCAGACGGCGGAGGCCTGGTCGGGGATCCAGGTAACGGCAAAGTAGGACCCGGGCTTGCAGCCACTGCTCTGCAGCAGTCTGGACTGGGAGTCTTCAATGTGTTCGATCCAGGCTCGCTTCTCCTCGTATGAGTCGGCTGACACGTAGAAGGACTTGCGTGGTGTGCGTATCAACCACTGGTTTCTCATGCTCATACTGTCTTCTAAGTCCTCCAGCTGGATGTTCTCTGAAAGAATAAAAAAAATGGTATGTTATCACAGGATTACAAATGTATGGTACAGTCAGCATGCAAACAAACATTATTCATGAATTCACTTTTATAAAACTTCCCAGTTCTTTGCAGCTCATTTTGAAGACTACAGGCATTTGTTTCAGTCTGGTTGTAAGCAGCTGGAGTTGACAGTTAGCTCTTTATCATTTTAACCATAATTTTATGTTTCATTAGTGTTGGAGTAATGCTGGCAGACTTAACCAAGGCATCTAAACACTGTAGCTGTCACTGCCTGTAGCTGCAAGCGAATGTGTTTCATAATTAAGTCCTCAGGCGAGGTTTTGTCTAGTTGCATCAAGTGTTCTGGAGAAGGCTGAGTTGCTCACCTAGAGGGATGATCTGCTGGTTTTTGTACCAATGGCCGTTCAGTATGATGCTGCCGTACACCAGCACGTCGTTGAAGAGGAAGAAGACTTTAGGCTGTGGCCCCCGGCGGCTCTGCTTCCTCAGCCGGCCCTCTCCGATAAGAACCCGACCCGGCTTGGACAGGGGCTTCCCAGCTGGCCCAAATGAGCTCTCAACAGCATGGATCCGCTCCTGGTTCTCCTGTGCAAACGATAGCTGGTCCACCATGGTGGTTTTGTATCTAGTTGACAAGTCAACAAAAGTCCTGTGCAGCAATCTGAGTGTTTTACACTGACAGTTCCACGCCTCTTTAGGTGTGGGATGTTGTCATGTGTTCGTCTTGTCTCTCTAATAAGACAAGCAGCCGAGCAGGGCACTTATAGCCTTAGTTGTTGGTGACGCAATGGGTTTTTCCAAAGTAAGTTCAGCTTTATGACAAACACATCTTGTAAGAAGTAGGGGGAGGGAGCTTTCAGAAAAACTGACAAAAGCAATTCTAAAGAAGGAAATGTCAGCATTTACAGAAAACCAACATTTTCATGGTATATTCTCTGCTCATGAATGTATATTTGTATTTCACCATGCATTCCATCACCATCAATTTAAATTAAAGATGCATTCTGCAATATCTGAGCCACCAATACAAAAACTGTATACATGATAACATGTTTAAAGGGCCACAAAATCCACTTAGATGACACAAAAGGAAAAACTGGAAAAACAAAGCAGCTATCTACTACACCAATAGCGTGTTAAGTCTTTACCACTGTGAGCAGAAACTATAAACACAGTAAAACTGACTTGACGAGAGATCATGTTTCACAAACTGATAAAGGGCTGTCAAACTGGTCGAGCAGCTCATTTGTCGTAATTATGCCAGTTGTTGTTTGTTATCTCTCATCAGGACATTTTGCTGCTTTAAATGCAAGTTCATTATGACAACACTTATCACAGCCACTTATTTGCACTATTTTATTCCTGCACTGTGCAATTACACAAATATAATTTCTTATACACACTGTATTATTACCAGTATTGTATATAATACTGCAGTATATATTCTATCTTGTTTAATTATATTTATCTCTACACTGTGCAGCTACCTCCTGCTGCGACCCATGCAATGTTCCATATCAATACCTATATATCAGTACCTGTATATAGGAGGTGTATAGAGTGAATACATTACTCTTATTCTTATCTTTCCATTTCTTTTGCATTTTTCTATTGAATTTTTATTTAATGTGTATTTTCTAATCTGTCGTGTTGTATCTGGAGCTGATGCGACAGGGGGGGACTTCCCCAGTGGGGGATCAATAAAGTCTATCTCTTGACTATATTATCTATTATACTACTCTTCCTTCCACTAGCTGGGTGTGGGAAAACCACAAATAGCTTTTTGTCATCACACCAAGGTGACATCTCCGTCAGCCAGGTTACAGTAAGTGACGAACACATGCATGGCAAGAACACAAGGGAGACTCCAACAACCAGGTAGAAGAGCTTTGGAATGTTTTTCACCTTACCCACAAGAATAACTTAAAGCAAAAAACACAACATATACCATTGACTGAGTCCAAACTCCCTCCTCTGATCACAGTATTCCCTAAACGATGAACACTACAGAGTCTAAACACCACAGAGCGAAGTAAACTCATACTTTTGAGTTACTTTTAAGTTTGCAGACGACACCACCATCATCGGCCCGATCTCAAACAACAACATATCGGGAGGAAACTGATAATCTTGCTTAATCTGAATGGTGCACAGTGAACAACCTACTGCTCAACGTCAGCAAAACCAAAGAGCTGATCTATGATTTAAGAAGAAATGAGACAGACACAATTCCTGTCTACATCAGTGGTTCTTCAGGATTCAGAGAATCAGCATCACAGGGAGAGCCATTGGGGACGGCCTGACCTCAATCCGCCTCTCCCTCCCTCTCCCAGTTGTGTCTCACTACACACACCCTTAGGACTCTTTATATATACTTTATATTGTCTGCTATGTAGCAGAAGGGAGTTACAAACCACATTTAATTTTACTGCCCTGTATTAAACCTACCTTGTCCCTTGATTTATTTGCAGGCACTATATAGCAAATATGAAGTGATTTGGGGTGGTGATGGGGCAGTGGATAAGACACTTTCTTTGGTGTGAGACCCAGGTTCGAATCCACTGCAAGACACCAATGTGTCCCTGAGCAAGACACTTAACCCCTCGTTGCTCCAGAGGCGTGCGACCTCTGACATATAAAGCAATTGTAAGTTGCTTTGGATAAAAGCGTCAGCTAAATTAATAAATGTTTATTCTGAGGCCATTATCGCACATATTTGCATTAATTTGGCCATTTCTGGTCTCCTGACAAATGTACAATAAGTCTAATATTCACTTTTTTTGGGACGACCTGGGTACTGAATCCTGATACTTTTTTGCTATCAATATTTTTCACATGCCAAGAGCTGCCAACAAGCCTTGGTTTACTTACGGTTTGATCAGACAGTCCTTGATTTCAATTAAAATGTTGAATGAAAATAAATTTCTTGTACAACTGCTAAATTTAACATTTGGCAACTTTTGCTTCTTTTCTTAAAGCTTTAATCAAGCTAGAATTCTCAAGTTAACCATGTTATGGCCTTGTAGAGCTGACTTAACTAACGTGTTAGCAACCCATTGCCTGTTTACACACCCAGCAGACACAGAGCAACATTAGCATTCATTTTGATACTTGTTTGTGTCATCAGATGAATATAAATGTACCCACTCCTGAGAAAAATATCTTGCTCTTTAGCTTGCCAGATGCTACCCACTAACTCTGTATGAAGGAAGTTTTTGCCAAACAAGTGCGATCCATTTTAACCTTGCAGGTGGTTAACGTGAGGTAGTATCAAATGTTCCCTTGCATGTCTTCACACTAATTTCCTCAAAAGATCCATTGATTGTATCATATCCTATTACAGAGACTGGAACATTTCATTGGCATTAAAGGAACCGCTCTAAGCTGGTTTAAGTCCTATTTATCAGATCGATTTCAGTTTGTACATGTTAACGATGAGTCCTCCATGCATGCCAAAGTTAGTCATGGAGTTCCTCAAGGATCTGTGCTCGGATCAGTCCTCTTCACTTTATATATGCTTCCTTTAGGCAATATTATCAGGAAATATTCCATAAACTTTCATTGTTATGCAGATGATACTCAGTTATATCTATCGATCAAACCAGATGAAACTCATCAGTTAGCTAAACATCAAATGTGCCTTCAGGATGTTAAAACCTGGATGACCTGTAATTTTCTAATGTTAAACTCAGAAAAAACTGAAGTTATTGTTATGGGGCCTAAGCACCTCCATGACGCATTACCTAAAGATATAGTTTCCCTTGATGGGATCGCTCTGGCCTCCAGCACCACTGTGAGGAATCTTGGAGTTATCTTTGATCAGGACATGTCGTTTAAGTCTCACATTAAGCAAATTTCAAGGATTGCCTTTTTTCTCCTATGTAATATTGCAAAAATCAGGAACATCCTGTCTAAAAATGATGCAGAAAAACTAGTCCATGCATTTGTTACTTCTAGGCTGGATTACTGCAATTCTTTATTATCAGGCTGCTCGAAAAAGTCTGTTAAGACTCTTCAGCTGATCCAGAATGCTGCAGCACGTGTTCTGACAGGAACCAGGAAAAGAGATCATATTTCTCCTGTCTTAGCTTCTCTGCATTGGCTTCCAGTAAAATCCAGAATAGAATTTAAAATCATTCTTCTCACCTACAAAGCTCTTAATGGTCAGGCACCATCTTATCTTAAAGAGCTCATAGTACCTTACTACCCCACCAGAGCACTGCGCTCCCAGAATGCAGGGTTACTTGTGGTTCCTAGAGTCTCCAAAAGTAGACTAGGAGCCAGAGCGTTCAGCTATCAAGCTCCTCTCCTGTGGAACCAGGTTCCAGTTTGGGTTCAGGAGGCAGACACCATCTCCACATTTAAGAGTAGGCTTAAGACTTTCCTCTTTGATAAAGCTTATAGTTAGGGCTGGCTCAGGTGAGTCCTGAACCATCCCTTAGTTATGCTGCTATAGGCCTAGACTGCCGGGGGACTTCCCATGATGCACTGAGCTCCTCTCTCCTCTACTTTCTCTCCCTCTGTATGCAACCTCATCCCATTAATGCATGTTACTAACTCGACTTCTCCCCTTTCTGGTAGTCTTGTGCTTTCTCGTCCCTCTCCTCTCTCCTCCTATCACTTCCTGCAGGTGTTTCTGGCTCTGGAGCTGTGGAGTCTGGATCTGTGGCTGCGGGTCACCTGCTGCCCCCGTGTTCCTGCTCGACACCCTCTGCTACAATTATTGTTACTAGTCCTATTGTTATTATCGTTATTATAATCATTAACACTACTATAAATATCTGTACCATTTTTCATTTAGTCTATAGCAACATCACCTTTACTGTCTGTACCTCTGTTTGGATATTGTGTAGGCTGCCTCCCTCCCTCTTTCTCCCTGTTCCTCTCTCTCTCTCTCCCTCCCCCAACCGGTCGAGGCAGATGGCTGCCCACCCTGAGCCATGGTTCTGCTCGAGGTTTCTGCCTCTTAAAAGGAAGTTTTTCCTTGCCTCTGTCACCTAGTGCTGCTCTTGGTTGGAACTGTTGGGTTTCTGTAAATAACATCACAGAGTACGGTCTAGACCTGCTCTTTTATGAAAAGTGCTCAGAGATAACTGTTGTTGTGATTTGGCGCTATATAAATAAAATTGAATTGAAAAATTAAATGTACTTCCTAAGGGCCAGTTTTGCGCTACAGGGTACAGATCAAATCCAGGTGAACGCTGGCTTCACAATGGGGATTTCTGAAATGTATTTTAAATGTGAATGAGCTACTTGTTGACTATAAAGTCATAGACCAAGCTTAATGTCTTCATTAACGAGAGTACTGTGCAGTATGTGCATACAGCATGCATATATTTTTGGCATTGGCATGATGTGAGGTTCAGATACAAACCTGTAAGTCTGGCTTGTGCAGTCTTGATAGTGATCAGTGATCTGATATGAGTGAAACCTCTGCTAAAGCTGGGAATCAAGTGTCAAGGGAAAAAAGTACAATTCCACACTGTCAAAACAGAGACACCTCCAGCTCAGAAGTGGTTAGACAGCTTCTGTAAATAGGTGAATTATATAAGTCACTCAACCGGCACTCAGGCGCTTAGACATGAGCAGGAGCATGTGATGGTTTTCAACAGAGTACACTACGTGTTGTATTTGTGTTCAGTTAGAAACAGATTAAAGCCCACCATGTTTCACAATCTTTGTTAGAAGAGGAATGTCCTCCATGTTTTCTAATGACAAAAAGGAAGGGTGCAGACAGATACTTGTGTGCTTACACCAAATGTTTGTGCCGTCTAAACTGTACAAGGTTCTGTATGTTACATTACAACAAATTAAGCTTAACAAACTATTTGTTAAAACAAACTAAACACAGCTGTCTGACAGCGGCTATTCTCTCCATCTGGCTGCTTAGATGAGCTATTTTCTTTTATTCTAAATGTTATCACTTTCCATCAAAGGGATGGTAAGTGATTCTGCAGAAGGACTGTTGATATTTGAACTCAACTGCCAAACAAATACACCCCTCCCTCCAGTACTCCCTCAGAGGATCTGCCCTCCATATTTCAAATCTCTGAAGTTTCTCCAGTGTTGAGTATAGAAAAACAGAAATATCTTTTCAGAGCACACACAAAACAGACAACTTGCATTGGATTAAAATCACTTACTATCCCTTTAATGAAAGCTAAATAAAATGATGCAATAAAGTAACTGTAATGTAAAGGTTTCCTCGCTTGAGTACATTTGCTGCAAGAAGGCGATTAGAACCTAGTTGGCCCCTACACTGGGTAGCTGTGGCTCAGGAGGTAGAGCGGGTTGCCCGTTAATTGATGGTGATGGAATGTATGGTGAAATACAAATATACATTCATGAGCAGAGAATATACCATGAAAATGTTGGTTTTCTGTAAATGCTGACATTTCCTTCTTTAGAATTGCTTTTGTCAGTTTTTCTGAAAGCTCCCTCCCCCTACTTCTTACAAGATGTATTTGTCATAAAGCTGAACTTACTTTGGAAAAACCCATTGCGTTGGCGGTTCAATTCCCGGCTCCTCCAGGCCCAAGTTTCCCCCGGTTCACAGGTTCTAATTGCCTTCTTGTATTGTGTGTGAACACTTGCAGCAAATGTACTCACGTGAGGAAAGGGTCGCGAAGATTAAATTCACGTTTGGTCTGAAAGCACCGTTAGGCTCAGTGCATTGAATGTGTGGATGTAGTGTAAAAGCGCAGACTTCCCGTGATGCACTCTCCTCTTCTTTCTCTCCCTCTGTATGCAACCTCATCCCATTAATGCATGTTACTAACTCGACTTCTCCCCTTTCCCGTGTTCCTGCTCGACACCCTCTGCTACAACTATTGTTACTAGTCCTATTGATATTATTATTATAATCATTAACATTACGCTTGTTATCATTAACACTACTATACATATCAATACCATTTTTCATTTAGTCTATAGCAACATCATCTTTACTGTCTGTACCTCTGTGTGTATATTGTGTAGGCTGATATGAGCATATTTTAATGGATTAGCATTGAATTAAAGACAAACACGATCAAATTCCAATCCTTTCTTTACTGCAGCGCTGCTCACCTGGATGATAGCTGTGCATTTTACGTGCATGCCAGTCAAATTTAGAGTGTGAAAGTATTTGTCCACACCGATGTGTGTGTGGTTCTGAATCCTGCACTGGCAAAATAGTTAACATTAATTCCTTGTATAATTTATTGATAAACCAAAATGAAACTTGATGTCTGGTCTGTGTGCTCTCTGCAGCCGGCGTCTAATAGTGTTTGTGAGGGAAGAAGCTCCACTCTGCAACACCACTGTACAATCCCAAGTGGGCCGAGTACCTCTGTAGTTCTGACAAGTCAAACAGAGTTAGCGACTGTCTCTCTAGCTGATCCCGTCACGACAGTCTCAGGAGTTGCTTTCTCAGTTAAACATTCGTCCACAGCATATGAATAGTTTAATCTTGTCAACTTTAAAGATTTTAATGAGGACCTCCTTTGGATCACGTTGTTTGTGAGAACTAAGGTGTGTCAGATTTAGAAGCTTCAGCTGTGCCAGATTTATATTTAATCAACATTTAGGTTAATATAAGTATCTGATTGGACTCACTATGAGAGGGATCAGGGCCAAAAAGACTTGACAGGGGCCTCCCATGTCCAAGCCCAAGCTGCGATAAGGGTCATTTTCTCAGACTGGACAAAGCCCCTCCCACAGTTTTCACTGGCTGTTTAGTACTCCCCATGAAAATAAAAATTCCTCCTTTAAAAGGGAATACCTCTGTGAGAAAGTCACCCCTATGCAAAAAACTGAACCAAGAACTGAAGTATAATTTTACAGTGAATGACCACAATCCATCAGCAGAACACTGGTCATCGTTGCTGCAGTTCCTAGAGGTGAGTAGAAGTCTGAGTTTGTAATGTCTCTCGTAGTGACATCTGTCGACATCACAAGTCGATGGTTCCTTTCACTTTAAACTTCTTGGCGGAGCGTTCACTGGCTCGCTGCTCAAACTTGCTTCCATAGATGTGGGACACAAAGCCATTGATCTCCACTGCAAACACACTGTTCCTCTTAGGGATCACTGCCACACAACAAGCGGAGGGTGAGAAAAAACAGAGGAACAAATGTGTTACCCTGGTGAGAAGTGACTATTTCATAACATATGATGCTTTTACAATACATTTTCTCTCGATCAATGACTTGTTAATGACGTCGAGAGTAGCAAATAATTACTATACACAACGATCCTGTTTACATTCCAGATGTGCCCTAACTTTACAATCATAGACGTTGCATCGTTCATGGCAGTGTTTAACGTTACATCTGGAAAACATGTTGCTGCCGAGTGCACAAGATAAGAAAAACACCGGACAATTTCATACTTTTTCAACAACAGAAACATTCATTAAAAGAGGTCTTTTTGAATGCAGTATTGTTAATTAGCACATGCCTAAAACAACCTCAATTTAAAAATAAAAAAAACTCCTCCACCTGGCGGTCCAAAGTTCCACTGCCAGTGGTGTAAACACCAACATACCCCCGGTGTTCAAGCCCTGGTCTGGGCAGAGTCAGCTAAGCTAATAGGGTCAATAGCTGCACTGCTAACTGAGCTAACTTTACAGTAAGTGGTTACTTTAAAGCTTTCCGTCCATCTAGAAACTCCATAAAATATGGTCCAGTTTTAACAAAATCGGTGACTAAAGTTATAAAAGCTTTGCATTTCTTTACAGTATTCAGTACGGCTCTAAGCAGATCAAGCATTTCTGGTTAGGCAGCAACATTCTGATTAGCTGTTTTGTGAAATAGTGTTGTAGTGCAGTGTTGCATTGATGAAATCATTATATTTGTATTATGTTAAATAAACAAATTTATTAATAAATTAATCAATGCAATTAACAGACCCTTTTCACAGAAGACATTTTGACTTGTATCCAACGTCTGTTGTGTTCCACTGTGTATCTCTTAAAAAATGTAAAACAAAACTAACTATTATTAGTTTGTAATAACACCTTGGTCACAATCAGTCTGGACAACATCATTTTGAGAAAATGCTAACCCAGTTATCTGGCTTTGTTTGACAGACCCAGAGCAAAACAGGACCCATTAAGGTGAGTTTCAGAGAGACACATGTCCATCTGGCTAACCTTTCAGTTTGTCTTCTTTTGTGATGATTTTGAAGACATGTTTGAACTCTTGGACTAGAATCCCTGTTGTCCCCACATATGATGGGCATTTAGACCGGACCACTGTGAGAGTAAAGACAAAAAAAATAAAAAAACTATTAGTAAAATACTGTCGTAGCCACATAGCTCGCAGAAACGAATCCAGATGATGGTCTTGAAGTAGTCAGCAGTTGCAACATTCAACATATATAAAAAACAAAGCATAGGCGATCAACATGATAGATACAAGACCCACCATTCATGACATTACCAGTGTAAATACCACACTGTCTTGGCATATCTGAAACAGGCTGTTTGAATGAAACATGATAATTCTCTCCTTCACCTGAATGAACAAATACACCCCCCCCCTCCCTCCAGCTCTATAATAACACTTATGTTTTGGTCAACATTAGACAGCTCTGCAAACACATTTTTCCACAAACTTTTTAATCAAGTCTAAAATGTTTCAAATGTGTCACAGGCTACATATGTGATTTAATCATTCACACATGATTTCACACGCGGAGAGCGTGGACGCACTAAAGTGTTCTTTTCCCGCTACAATAAGCTGTTCTGTTTCGCTGCAATTCATATTCAAAGCTGCGAGGATGGGGTGCTAGCATGCTAGTTCGGAGGGTTGCTGCAAAGTCTAGGGACAATCTGTCTCAAGGGGGCGCCACATACTCACCTCAACTTTTTGAAATCACTGGACATGATCTGTGGTCATATCCAAGTCAGCACCTATTAATCAGTCACCATTTGGTTGATTGGTCGATTAATAGGTGATGAGTTTCTGATAATAAAAAAAAACCAACAATTTTAGCAATACTTGCTAAAAAACTTGCAACAAACCATTGTTGGACTGTAACTTATGGTCAATTATGATCAAAATTTGTTCAATCAATAAAAACTGGATTGTTCAAAAGCTACAGAATACATTCTGTGGATGGATTGTTCAGATTCTGTGGTAACAAAAATATTGAAATATGCTCCAAATACACGATGTAGTGCCAAAAAAATGTCGTAGCATAAAATGTAGTATACAGAAAACATGTCCTAACATTCCAAATGATTAAAGTTCATGATAATATGTGTGTGGATGTATAAAATCAATATACATCTGTATTTATATAAATGTATCTATAAACTTGAAGTTTTGGTGAATATCCAAACTTTCCACTTTATCAGTTCTCATAGGCCTCCGTTTACAGAAAACAAAAGACAAACAAGTTCAGAGGACGTCATGGCAGCCTAGGGTTTAAGAAAACACAGAGTCACTGTCATGTTCATTTTAAAGAAACCTAATCTACCTGTGATGATGGCACCATGGAAGTCTGCCTTCAGAAGCTTTTGCTGCACAAACTGTGGATTGCTGCAAATAAAACACAACATGAGACTGAATACACAGTGAGAGTAAGGAGGACTTATGAAATTACTTCATTTGGCAATTAATGATGAAAATCAGGGTCTGATTTACCTTTTTGGTTTCAATCCACTGCACAGGTCAATAATGTACTGTCTCCAGAGTTCATGCAGAGGCAGAAAAAGCTCGTATCTACAACAATAATGATCAAGACAGTGATGCTGGCGAGAGAGGAGGGGCTAGGAAACAACTGGGGAAATGCAGAATACTTTGATGCAGTACATGTACATCACAGTTTTAAAGCACAATAACTGTCCCATCTTTCAGATTCCAGACCAACCTCTGGTGCTCTGGCTTGATCTGGAAAACGTTCATGGCCCTCTTCTGCCGAGCGTTCAGCCCTTTGGCTCTCTTGTTGTTCCTCCTGGACTTGTCCTTCTTAGGCCTGGTGTAGCCCAGTATCACGGCCTTGTGAGTCAACATGCTTTTCAGATCATGCCGTGTGTTTGGCTGAATGCTGTTCTTCAGGAACGCCTGGGTGAAGGCCTCTGCTTTAGAGTTGGTCTGAGACTGGAAAGGAGACATTTACAAAGGTTATGTGAAGTGTCGTTTTTCCAGTAATCCTGTAACACACACACACACACACACACACACACACACACACACGGTCCAGTCTGTACGGTTAGCGAAAACCTTTCAAACAAACGTTTATGGGTTTAGTAGAGCCTGTCTGAAGGGATTTATTTATTTATTTATTTTTTAGGTCAAACTGATAATTAGAGTGAAAAAATGTAGCAGTATATCAACCGATTTCCAATTCTCATTTATTACAATAATCCCTAATGTGAGTAGTAAAGAGTTGTGACAGATGTATGGGCTGAGGCTGGGTATTATAATATCAAACACAAACATCAACATTCTTCAAGAGACTAAATCACCGTAAATTGGTTTCATCTTGAATTTAAAAGCCAAACCAGAGATGGGGGCTGCAAACTGTGTTCATCTAGACGCTCTATCTACATTATCAAAACAAATACAAAATACATTTTAAACATAAACTGTATTGCAAAGCCTTGGTGGTCGATAATATCAGTCTGCTAAGCTCTAGTATGCAGACACAAACATTTATTATTAAGCAGCAACTAATGATTATTTTTTTATTATTATTGATAAGGCAATAATCTTTTCCTAAATTAATTTCTTGATTGTTTTGTCTATAAAATGTCAGCATTGAACAGTGAAAAATTCCAGTTAAGTGTTTTCAGTCAGTCAACCCAAAGATATTCATTTTACCATCATTACTATAATCACTGACTCATAAAAGTAAAGCATTAAATCCACATATTTGAGAAGGTGGAGGCAGCTTTTTGTTTTTTTCTTTTTTGCTAGAAAAATGACAAAAACAATGAACTGATTAATAAAATAGTTGCAGATATATTTGCTGTTGCCTAAATCGATTCTCAGCCCTAGAGCTCATGTTTTCGGCAGGGAAGTCTTGGGATCATTTGCATAAGACTGAAAATGAAAATCTCATGAGACTACGCACTTCATAATAACACTATACAGCACATCATGTGCACTGCCCGCACATATCTGCTTACCTCAACACCAAGAACCTTCTCCAGATCACGAGGGATCGTGGCACGAACAAGTGCTTCTGTTGAAAGGACACAAACAAAACCAGTATTACACATCTGTGATCTGTGGCACTGGACCAGAACAACGTCTACTTTATTGCCACTAGTAAGATACTATTTTTGATTATTCTATTTATTTTCTATTAATAGATAAACTATGGAGTCACCATGGAAAAAATCCAATTCACAAGTTCACAGAACCTAAAGCGAAATCTTCATAAAGATATTCAGTTTACTACAATGATCATCATACTATCAACAAGCTCTCTATTGTTGTCCTATTCAACTAAAATTCAGCTGTTGTGGGCAGATCTGAATTTTGTGACAGTTCATATTACATTATGATGCTGCAAATTCAAAACCTCCTGAGAAGTCCTTGGTATCCATTTTATAATTGTGCAGGACTTGAAAGCTACATTACAAAAATGTCAGCTTTTCCTGAGTGTGAGAATGAAGATGATAATGAGGAGCTATCAATGTGCTCACATCACTGAAACACCAGTGTACTATTTTAAGATAAACGATGAATGGAAAGCACACTACACATTGATAATGAACATAATACCTACATGTCAAAACGTCAGGTGGCAGTACAGGCTGGAGATAAAATGTTTTGTGCTGGCTGACAACAGCTTTACAAAAGAAAAAGTGTGTTCCTTTTTTTGGACAATGGACAATGACTTTCCTGTGACATTGACAAATATCCCACCTGAACTGTGAGCATAACCATTACACAGTACTAAACGTACACAAGAGAGGATTAGTTTCACATTTTGCAGTTGCTGTTTAAGAATAGCGATGAGAGGAGACTGCAAGAAGGACAAAGGAGTAGTACACAACACTGAGTAATAGCTGCTAAGGAGTACACAGACCTGTCTGTCTCACTACCGCAGTACTGTTCTCACAGACTGTTTCCACAGATAACAGTAGCCCCTGTCCCAGACAACAAAATGTTCAGACACTGGCTGTTGAGTCACATGATGCCTTAAAGGACTTTCATGTTCCAGACAAAGGTTTTTCCATTTAACATTTGATCGCACCAGAATATTGAGATATTGCACTCTGAGAAATCTTAGAGTGCAATATCTCAAAATCCTCCACCTGAAGTTTGTGTATGTGTTACACTAACTCACAAAAGTGAGTACACCCCTCACAATTTTGATTATATCTTTTCATGTGACAACACTGAAGAAATGACACTTTGCTCCAATATAAAGTAGTGAGTGTGCAGCTTGTATAACAGTGTAAATTTGTCCCCTCAAAATAACACATCACACAGCCATTAATGTCTAAACCACTGGCAACAAAAGTGAGAACACCCCTAAGTGAAAATGTCCTAATTGGGCCCAAAGTGTCAATATTTTGTGTGGCCACCATTATTTTCCAGCACTGCCTTAACCCTCTTGGGCCTGGAGTTCACCAGAGCTTCACAGGTTGCCACTGGAGTCCTCTTCCTCTCCTCCATGACGACATCACTGGTGGAGCTGGTGGATGTTAGAGACCCTGCGTGTCATTTCTTCAATGTTGTCACATGAAAAGATATAATCAACTATTTACAAAAATGTGAGGGGTGTACTCACTTTTGAGAGATACTGTAGGTCTTTTATAGAATGTACAGAATTACAGGAATGATTTGGACAATGTTGTACAATCAGGTGTATAATAAAGTAACTAGCATAGCTAGCATGGAGTTTCAAATTTTATGTTAATTCCTTTAAAATAAGAAACTTTACACGCATACAATGCATTAAAGCCACCAACTGACTGGACTGACTGGAACTCTGGATGCAAACTGGAAGACTTTCAAACAGACACACTGCTGTCTCTCAGCTGGGGGAGGGGCAGATGACAGATGACAGAAAAGCACCGGCTGTGCCCAGAAGCAAGTCTTCCACTCTCTTTGCTCAGCCAGATGACAAAGACAAGTTTGATGAGGTCTTAAAAGAAGTTCAACGAGCACTGCCTGTCGAAGACAAATGAAACTTCCGTCATTTGCCCGTGCACGCTGCACCAAAGAGTCATTTCTCCCTGACCTCTAGCAGAACGCACAGCTGTGTAATTTCAGTGATGTGAGAGACTATGCTCCAGGATCAGCTAGTGTTTGGAACTAAAGACAAGAAGATCAGATAGAACTTACTGAGAGAAATAATGTGCTGTAAAAACAGTCACAATAATTACATCATCAACAGACATGACCTCCATACTGCCTGTTGTGTTTGTTTACATAAGAATGTCAGCAACTTTTTTGCCAACAGAAACCACAACAAGCAGCAGGGTGTTCCCGCAGAAAAACAACACAGACATGTTTTGCTCTCATTTGTGGTTGCACTGCTTCTGTCATCTCCAGAGTTTCAGCAGCGTACCCACCCACCCCCCCACACACACACACACACACACACACACACACTTACACACACTTGTTCCCCTATCTCCGTGGGGACATTTCCTTGACATAACGCATTGTCAAGCCCCTTACCCTAACCATAACCAAAGTGTAACCTGAAGCCTAAAATCACCCTCAAAAGCGTCTCCACCTGTGGGTGATAGTGTGCGTTCATGTTAAAGTCCCCACCAGGATATAAAAACATGGACTCACAAACGCACAGTGTTTCCAACTTGGTGACTTTCTCACTAGATTTTTATTATTATTATTAATTATTATTCAGGCCATCATGGGAAAGGTGAGAAATATATATTTAAATAGGTTTTAATTCATTCCTATGCATTCTGCTCTGAGTAATGGCAGTCCTCTGCTCTTCACCCCACAGCCCCGGTTCACCCCTGTCCTCTTGGCCAAGTGCAGGGCAGATCTGAGTTTCTCGCTTCCTCCTTCTCTACAGATTTCTGGATTAGCGTGTTCTCACAGCTTGTAAATATGGTAATAGTTTGTTTGAGCTTATCCCCCCCCCCCCACAACTTTTTTACCTTCATATACACGATGTCCCTGTAGTGAGTTTGGGATTATTTGGCTACAGATTTCTCTACCTTATCTCTTCTTTGCTGCAACCGACAACCCACGTTTTATGCAAACGAATGGTCCTCAAATGATAACAGCGCAGTTATTTCTGGGAAAAGCAGTTATTGTGACAGCCCCAGTCATCCTGCATGCATGCTTCACGCACCACATACCTAAAGAAAACAGCAGCAAAGAACTGATGAATAAGAGGGTAAGACTCGAGCACCAACAGAAAATAAGCTACGACAAAGCAGCCGGGACACTGGAACCTCTTCAGGAAACAGAGGCCGTGACAATCGATGATCCTGAATCCTGGACCACAAAGACAACTGTCCTCAGAGAAGTGGGTCCCAGGTCATTCAATGCAGAGAGACCAGACAAGTGCATAGGAGAAACAGAACCAGTCTGTTGAAGACACGGGAGGACTTTGAGGAACATGCTCAGCGTGAGACACCACTTCACTCGCTGAGATGTGGTTAAAACAGATAGGCCAGTTTACTGATGGGTGTAATTATGCTACATGTGGGTGGCAGTATTATGTTGATGTAGTTCATACAGGGAGTGCAGCCTAGCTAGCGATTTGTATTCTAAGAAACATGAACGTGACACTCTAAATGGTTTTCATAGAGACTAACGTTATTTCTTAGAAAGTAGTTCCAGTGACAACGTTTCTGCAGATTATTCAAAGAGCTACTGTGTGTGGAGAGAGATGCAGGCTAACGGTTGAACTTCTTCCACGCATTTTGTTTTTGGCTTTACTCGGGGGGGGGGGGCAAAAAAGTAACTTTAGCATCAACACTCATGAACTTGTCCGTTCAACCGGAACTTCACTTCCCTCGAAAATTAAACTCACCGTCCATTTCCACGTTAGCGCGGACTGAAGTCAACAACCTCTCTGGCGCCAGACAGACAGTACAACCTCAGATGCAGTGCACATGAGTCCAAAGCATGTGTTTTGAACCCAACCAGAGACGTTTAACTTCCTGTCCCTTCTTCTTCTTCTTTTTCTGAAGGGTTTCCGGCAGACCGTCAGGCGCAATGTGCCCTCTACCGTCAGCACCTCGCATCACAAGCCATTTCTAGCTCCTCTTCACAGTAAAGACACTAATAATTATCCCCCGACACAGAGGTCAATCTTTTCGTAAGAAAGCAATGTATTAAAGTAAAAAAATGATATATTTTGATTTAATCAAGCTGTACTGCTGCTGTTATTCTCCCATGCTGTGAACCATGTGTTTCTCATACTTTTTATTCTGCCTTCTCTTTAACATGCGCTGTTTGCTCCATTTTACTCGCTGTTGCATAATCCAGTTAGCTGGTGCAACCACAGGGATCAGTGAAACAAAACGAATGAACTACACCATACAAGCTAAAAAAAGTCACATTGCATAAGTTCCTGTTCAACCACATAATTTCACTCAATCTTTGTCACTTGTTGGTAGATACTGCAATGGAACATTTAGAGTGAATGGTACTTTTTAAAATGTTTTTAGCCATAAACAAAAGAACTTACAAGGCTCATTCTTTGGAAGGGCAGCCTCGTGTCTTAGTGGGCAGGAGAAGCAGCGCCATAAGAGGCCAATATAAATGAGTAGATTGACAAAACAATCCCAACTCACAACTTTGTGACTATACAGACACTAAACTTGAGAACAAGATAAGTGTTGTTTTTTTTTTTGTTTTTTTTTTGCTGGATCATCAGTTCTTCTCTTCCCTGTCACAAATCTGCCCATCATGTTCTTAACATCTGGATCTTGGTAGACTAGCTGGCATGAGAACTTTTGCATGTTTCCTCATTCAACTTTAGTTGTTCTCCACATTTCCCCCCTGACATCCACACCCCTCCACTCTACGGCCCCCACAAGCCACTGCTTTAGTAGATGATTGTACATTCTTGGATGTCGTCATAACATCACACCTATGTAGTCACAATATTATATTCATAATTCATATATATTGTTATATATTGTTATGTATAGTTAGGGCTGGCTCAGGTGAGTCCTGAACCATCCCTTAGTTATGCTGCTATAGGCCTAGACTGCCGGGGGATTTCCCATGATGCACTGAGCTCCTCTCTCCTCTACTTTCTCTCTCTCTGTATGCAACCTCATCCCATTATTGCATGTTACTAACACAACTTCTCCCCTTTCTGGTAGTCTTGTGCTTTCTCGTCCCTCTCCTCTCTCCTCCTATCACTTCCTGCAGGTTTTCTGGCTCTGGAGCTGTGGAGTCTGGATCTGTGGTTGCGGGTCACCTGCTGCCCCCGTGTTCCTGCTCGACACCCTCTGCTACAACAATTACTGTTACTAGTCCTATTGTTATTATTGTTATTATAATCATTAACACTACTATAAATATCTGTACCATTTTTCATTTAGTCTATAGCAACATCACCTTTACTGTCTGTACCTCTGTGTGTATATTGTGTAGGCTGCCTCCCTCCCCTCTCTCTCTCCTTCCATCCCTCTCTTTTTCTCTGTTCCTCTCCTGCCCTCTCCCTCTCTCTCTCTCTCTCTCCCTCTCTCTCCTTCACCCCAACCGGTCGAGGCAGATGGCCGCCCACCCTGAGCCATGGTTCTGCTCGAGGTTTCTTGCCTCTGTCGCCTAGTGCTGCTCTTGGTGGGAATTGTTGGGCTTCTGTAAATAGCATCACAGAGTATGGTCTAGACCTGCTCTTTATGAAAAGCCCTATGAGATAGCTGTTGTTGTGATTTGGCGCTATATAAATAAAATTGAATTGAATTGAATTGAATATATTCATTTCTAAAGTGATACTGAATGACTTTTACTCAGTTGCTACAATATCTCTCCATGTTCAAGGCAGCTGCCCGGCATGTTCTTTGACATCAACCTGCATTTGACTGGCTAAAAACACTTACTGTGATGAATTTGAAAATGAAAGTATTTCACACATTGGTATTACAAAGATAAAAATCTTTGAGGCCAGGAGAGATCAATATCATGTGTACAGCGGTAGTGTGTGCGCGTTGGTTTGTGAGGGACCTCTCGCTCTCTCCCTCTCTCGCTCCTGGCTGTCGGTGCCTCTCTCCAGATGTTTTGGATCTGGATCTTCGTCCTCCAGGAGATTCAGCTTCTCTTGTTGTCTCTCTCTCGCTCTGTGTCTGTTCCTTTCTGCTATCTGTGTGAACGGTGGTCTTGAGTTCTGCCTCTTGTGATTCTGTGTGGTCTGCCTTTCTGGCAGAAGGACCCATCCTCTGTAGCTTTTCCTGAGTTTTTTTCTTATCTGGATGGAAGCTCTAAGGACAGAGGGTGTCATATACTGTACACAATGCAAAGGCCCCTGAGGCAAATTTGTGATTTGTGATATAGCGCTATATAAATAAAACTGACTTGAGGGAAAAGAGGTATGTGATAAGATATAGAAAATGGCTGCACATTTAACAGTTAATCACAAAATAAGTCTTTCAATTGTTGCAAAATATTTATTTAAAATCTGGTTTTGGATCTAGTTCACAAAATGCAGACTGAAATACAAGCTGTATCTCATGTTAATTCAAATATCAGAAAATTGCATTCCAACTTTCCTATAAATATGAACCTCCTTCAATAAAACTTTTCCACAAATAAAAAAACTGCATCTGAACTGTATTTATATAAATACTAAGGCACACTATCTAGAAACAAATTCCATTTCAAACAACACAAGGAGTGAGCTTATCCCTTTTTACCCTTTTAGTTAAAAACAATCTGAATACACTGGCTTTATGGCAGGTACCACTCAGCAAAGACATTTGTTCATATTTACTGAGCCTTTGATAGCTTCTCTTGTAGACGGATCCAGCATGCAGTTTCCAGCCTCACCAGCAGCACAAATACTCTCAGAATATATTCACCTTTCACACATCCACGACATACTGATGTCTCAGGTGTGATTATAAAGCAGTCTCATAACAGGTACAGGAGGCTGCATGTTCTCAGACATACACATGTATGTTCAAAAACATTTTAGTGCGATAAACCCTAAATTTACTTCTATGAAAGAGCTTTTGTTTTTGGTTCCAATTTTTAGCAGGCTTCCTCAATGAAATGTGTGTGTGTGTGTGTGTGTGTGTGTGTGTGTGCTACGTTGGTGATGGTTTTTGGTGTGGAGCCAGGAAAAAAGTAAATCTCTTCATTGTGAGAAACGAACATTTTGAACATTTCCTTATGATCTGCTGCACTTGCACAGATGGAATATAATCTGGCACATGTATCTGATGACTGTGTTTCACTGTGTGCGGATATCCTCTTAAAGACAAGGGGCAATTATGACAAAGGGGCCCTTCCTCTGAGTGCAGGAATACCTTGTTGGAATATGCTCTCTAAGGGCTTTCTAATAATTAATAAATGTCTTAGCCACTGCACCATCGCAAGCCCTTTCTATTTAAGGGTGTGCTTCCTGGTTCCTGGTGGATGTTTTTCATGCAGTGTGCATCAAACTGCTGCCATAGCACGCTCCTCTTCTGTGACCTTATTATTTTCTAACTCACTGCTGTTTTGCTGACTGAATCGTCAAGCATGGTCCATCATGTGTAAATAGAGACAACTCAAACATGTTCCACATTGGAGAAATGTTGTAGGTTCCCTGAGTGAAAGGGGCTTAAGTCACTGGGGGCCACATAAAAAAGCCTCCATATCATTTTTTATGATTTTAGTGCTGCAACGGCTGCATATAGGTTAAGATAAATCTGCTAATTCTTTGTAAAGAAGCACAATAAAAGTTATTCCCATTTTACAGCAGCAGGAAATATCCAGTACTTTGATATTTAAGCCTGGACAACTGCAAAGCAAAACCCAAAATTTCAAAGAATACTTTAATGAGAAAGTTTGTTCTGGAGGCTCTTCGTAACACTTTATACTGATTTCATCCAGGGGGTTTTTCACTCTAGTGACTTGGAGCTTTCTCTATGTGCAGTTTTGAAATTAGAATTGTTTTCGTCACAGTTTGATTAATTTCTTGTACACTTGTTTCTACAAGACTTGTGGTTCTTTAGCTTCACCCACTCATGTTCATGACGTCTACCCCCAGAGAGCCTCTAGATTCTTCTGAGGAATCAGAAACTGCAGCGGTTTCACTCGTGAAAATCATGACAAATAATAAAAAACTATACTGGTTTCAGTAGTAGTAATCACATATTACAATAATACAAATTAAAATAAACTAGTAGTAGAATGTTTTCATTTTGACCTCTCAGTGCTTCTACCACACAGTAGACTCATTTAGTAGCAGTCTCCTGACTCACTACTGCAGGTAAGTGCTGGTGCCAGTGTAGGTGTAGGTGGGGGTGTTGATGTAGTTGACAAAGTAGTTCCTCTTCAGTTGGCTCCTGGATGTGCTCTCTGCAGAGAAAGAGGAATAAGTCATTGAGAAAAGACGAGGAATTTGATGAAGAGGTATTTATGGCTTGGAGCTAGATTTTTGAGTTATATAACATACATCAAAGAAACACTGTCAACCTACTTGAACATGAGCTGAACAGAGGTTTCATAGCTGATCCTCTCCACATCTGTAACAGAGCAGCTGTGACTGCGGTCCCACTTATAGATGAAGTTCTGTTAGAAAATAATTGTGTTATTAGCATGTTTATTATGAAGTTTATATATAAACATGGTTCATTAGTGCCTCCTACAAAATTTAAGCAGAGTAGCCCTTGTCCTACGTTTCACCTATGTACAATATTTGGGATGTATAGTTGAAGGATTTTGAAAATGTCTTCGGAAAACTTCTGTAAATCAGAGATAATAACCAGGTTCATCAGTGATGACAGACCTGTAACCTGTTATTAAGGTTGGAGGGACACAGTTATCCTGTCATGCATTAGGAGACAATAGAGCTCGATGATTTGACATGCTCAGGTTGTACAGCGCCATCTTGTGGCAACAGTTGTCAAAGCAGCTTCATTCTGAATTTCATACCTGTGAGATAATTACTACATGACTTGGTAAAAGACTATAGTGACCAATCCAAGTTGCAGTGTGTTGCCCTTGTCGCCCACCGTAAAGAGAGGCTTTCAATACAAAGAAAAATGTGATCTGTCAACAGTTATTCACTCTTTGCAACACCTTGCCTTTATAAGCCAATATATATATATATATATATATATAGCAAAAGCAGCTGTCGCAGCAGCAGCCTCAGTCGTCCATCAGTGGATCTACACTGGATGTGTTCAGCCACAGCTACTACAGGCCTAAAAATATGCTGCTGGTTGTTATGCATGTAAAACCTAAGTGAAACGTGAACTGTCATGTGGTCTGTTAGACAGTTGTCTTAATTCAAATAAAAGCCTTTCTGTTCACTCGCAGCATGTGGATGGCTGAAAAAAGTGGCACTGAAGAACCCCTTGATGTTTAGCAGCGTGTTTGCAGTCAGTTTAATCCATAGGTATGTTAATTAAATGCATTATGAAGTTCTGTCTGTATAGCAACATGCAGTTAATAATGTTTTACTTCTTTTTCTGTAGCCATGTTATGAATGAATGCGTCCATCTGTGTTGTCTGAGAGAACTGACCTCTAGGATGAGCGCCACAAACAAGTTGACCCACATGACAGAGGAGGTGAGCCACCAACACACAAAGTAGATCTTGGCCCAGCTGGGTAAAAGAAAAAATCGTTATCAACATCATCCTCATCATCATCATCATCATCATCAGGTGCTGTGCATGTTTCTTACTCTGTGGTGTATCTGCTGTATGCATCCATGAAGGCCTGCCAGTTGTTGACTACCATGACATCGTAGAGCAACATGATGGCCGCCTGAGAGAGAGGGAGGCCAAGACTGCACTTTTACTCAGAGTATATCACAGCAGTGTTCAGTACAGTTAAAAAATATTCAATTTCAGCGTTGCAGCTTATTTCGTTATTATTGCTGTCCCTAACCCATCACAAAAGAACCTGCGAACCACTGTTGGCAGTTAAAACTCAAAATCTTCATCAAATATCAAACAGGAATAAGGAATAAAGTATAGACTGTTTATTGTGAAGATGAAACTTTCATATTATCATCTGGTTGCTGCTGTTTACATTCACCCCAGATGCAAATTCAACAAAATTAATTTACTTCATATGTTACCATATTTTAATACAGGCCTACACTTAATTATATGTTGTGTGTGTGTAGCACGAACTACAAATTTTGTTTCGTTATGCAGCCTTATGCTGAATAACGACTAATAAACATCCTTGTATATTTCAGGCCAAGATTGATTTATGTTTTATCAGCTCTTGTTATAAGGAGGAAACAAATAAGTGAAGCAAAACACCTCCATAAAGATCAGAGTGTTCTTGTTACTCACAGCAAAGTCGTCAAAGTTATTTGGCCAGTAGCCCAGCTGTTCATAGGTGCCACACTCCATGCTAAAGTTAGAGGTGATGTTCTCCGTGGAAGTATTGGAGTGCACACTGGAGCACACACACACACACACACACACACACACACACACACAGACAATCAGGGGTGACTCAACTGGGTAAAACAGTGAAAACAATTTAGTGATCTCTAGGTCTTTCAGTCAGTAGGCGCCCAGTCCTACTGTAACTATATGTAATGTAGCCTCATGATATCTGTAACATATAGTCCAGCCCAGTCTGTGGTCCAGCCCAACAACAGAGCAGGTAGTTCTGTTTACAGGTGACTTAACTGTGAGTACAATTTCACTTTTCTTGCACGTCTGCTGTATTACAGAACACAGGACGCCTGTGGCAAGCCACTCTAACATTTATTCCTTAAACCTTAATAGTCACTATTTAAAAGCTACTAATACTTATTTATTTGTTACTAGTAACTAATGGAATAGATACTAGTAACTACTCCCATTTTACTAGTAACAATTGATTAGATACTAGTCCTTAATGTTTGGTTACTGGTCACTATTCCATTAGTTACTAGCAACTATTTTTTGGTTACTAGTAAACTAATTGCACATTTTTGCCATTGAAATCAATGGAGCTCCACCTTTTCATTAGTTACTAGTAACCTTTTCAAAATATTCTAGTAACAGTAAATTTTCTTTGGTTACTAATCATTCATTAATGACTATTAAAATGGCTTGTTGTAACATTTTAATTCTTGCTAGTAAGAATGGAATAGTTACTAGTAACTAAAACATTTGCACTAGTATCTAAATAATAGTGACTAGTAAAATGGAAATGGTTAGTAGTAACTATTCAATGAGTTACCAGTAATTAACAAAAGGGTGATATCTACACTACAGAGCTCCATAGATTTCAATGGCAAAATGTGTAATTAGTCACTAGTAACTAAGAAAATAGTTACTAGTGACTAATAAATAAGTACTAGTAGAAAGAAACACCACTACAGTAGTGAGTGGAAGTAGTAGTAGAACAGGTTATTTACTCAGAGTACAGATGTCAGTGAACCCAGCAGCAGTTCATCTGATTTGCATAAAGTGTCATTAAATGAGTCCATGTCTGGAGAGCAGTGGAGCACAAAAACAGCATGGTTTGGTTCCATGTTGGTCAATGAAAGACTGGGATTGAATGACTATGGCAGATTTGAAGTCATACTGCACTGCACTGGCCCTGCTGTGCTGCAGATTCTACACCTGCTTTTCTTGGATGTTACATTTCAGATGCAATTTCTTCTTCCTCAGTGCTCAGCCTGCCATGACAGATAAGGTGCAGCACATATCTGTATTCATTTCCATTGACTCATTCATATTTTGCACCTGAGATTCACTTGTATGGGACAAACAGAGTTTCAGCAGTGTTATTCTGTGCAAAACCTCAGAGTATATTTGGATCAAGTGGTTTGTACCGCTGTTTTTTAAGCTATACTGAGAGGAAGCCTTTCTTTTGCACTGCCCCCTATGTTATTCTGTTAGGTGAGATTCAAATGTTAGCTGCTCATTGCATTTTCAGGTTGTAGGTACAGGCTCTGAAGCTGACACTCTTGCCAACAAAAAGGTAGAAAAGAGCTTTCTGTCACGAGTCTTGTCCAGTTTTGACCGTTTCTTTCATCTGTTAGTGACGATGACTTCATACCTCATCTCTGGAGGAGGTGTTATGGCTCCCTCAAACAGCCAGATCCCAAACACCGCAAACACGTAGTACACCACCTGCACAGAGAGCACGACGAAAACATCAACCGCTCCGCTTGTTAGACTTACTCTATTTACAACTGCTCTGGACATTATTGTTGACAAGTGAAAACCTTGTATCTCCACCACTTACGTTTTGGAACTGTGGACAACAAGCAGCCTTGTTTAAAGTTTGGAAAGGTTTTTCAACCAGAGACAATAATCTCCATAAACATGCATTTCATCATTCAGCTTATTTCAAAGCAAGAACATGACCACAATAGAAGATAAAAGGTTTTCACCCAACATTGTAAAGTAGAGGCCATTTAGAAATACATGAAACAATGAAAAAATTATGAATACTAATACTAACACTGATGTTTGGGATTGTTTTCTACTTGAGTTTAATAACTAATAATTATTAGAAAATGTATCTGTGATGGACTGAAAAGTTATTTTTTATATATCGTGTATTTATAGCAACCAGTAAATGTAGATCAGCTGGTTGACTGAAGTATGCTGATGTCACTCACCACCAGTATCCCCGCAAAGGCTCTGAGGTTTTTCACCAGGTCCATCAGTGTACTTGCAACCAAAGCCATGAGCTGGACAACAAGACGGAGCGAATGAGAGACAAAAAGGGACATAAAGACACAGGAATGTTTTTGTGATGAGGCTGCAGTGTCTGAAAATGAAGATTTGTGTTGCAAGAGAGGACATAAGGCTGAAATCCTGGCTGTACACAACAATGTTTCACATACATGTTAGTGTTTTACCTGCAGTGTTGGGCAAGTAATTCAGGAATTGTAAGAAGTTACTTTTTACTTATTAAAGTTATTAAAAGTAATGATATTACTTTACTTATCGCTGTGTATTAAAAGTTACTAGTTCCGTTACTTGTTATGTCACTTTATTACTTTAACTACTTTAACTCTGCCTCTTACCACTGCTACCAAATTTTTGATATTGATATAAACATTTCTATAATACATATTAGTGCTGGGCAATGATTAAAAAAATTATTTTCTGCTATTAAACGCAATTAATCGCACTGTAAAGTAGTGTATTGCGCACTTTTAATTTAAATGTACTAACATTTAAGTGTAATAACATGTAAACATGCAAACACTTTAAACAAATAAGTTGCTTTTTACCAGCAGTATTCCCTTTACACAGTAGCAATAAAATATTTCTTACATTAATGTAATCAAATCAAATATTAAACCAAAGCTATTTGCCACTGCCAGGGCATTACCTTTTATCTAGCTTGTTAAAACAGGTTAGAGTCCAGAGCCACGATCAGGCACCTTCTGAGCAACAGGTTAACATATATAAATCTGTTTTTTTCTGAACAGGTATCAGTAGAAACAGTAGCAAGTTGCCCATGTTAGAGTGAGGTGATGTGGTCCAGCACAAGGCGCTGCGACAAGCGGGTGTGTTCCAGTGAAACTGTCGCGGTTGTGCTCGACAAATCATTGGGAGAGAGACTGATCCTCGCTGTTTGTGAGTTTTACCAATCAGCCTGCAGTGTGTAGCTCTCCACTTCTCTCTGGCGTCTGATCGCTTGTCTTGCTTTTGTTTATCTACTTCTCCCACACGCTGCATCCAGCGTAGTCTGTTGAAGCCTCCCTCCACTGCTTGTTTGGGTGGCTGATTTGCAGGCTGATCAACATCCCGCCCCTCCTGTGACCCATGGTTTGACTGTATGTTTATTCAGATCCAGTGAGCAACGGACTTTCAAACTAACAGTAATAAAATAAAAACTGCAATAACATGAGACAAAATAATTGTCGGCGTTAATTAATTAATTAATGCGTTAACGCGATAATAACGTGTTAACTTGCCCAGCCCTAATAAATATATATAATTTAATTACTGATTTAATATTGAACACTTGGGGATTCCACATATCACCATATACGCCACCTGTACCTTGATATCTGGGATGATGCGCAGGAAGCGGAATACAATCAGCATGTTGACCAAACGAACCATTTCCCACAGAGAGAGTACACCATGAGAGGATGGTTCCCTGTGGTGACACACACACACACACACACATGCACGCACACGCACACACACACACAAACCGAGAGTGAGACATTTAACACAGCTTACTTGTTTTATAGAGACATGTCAACAATTCTGAAAGACTCTTGTCCTGCCACTACAAATATATTGTTGTGTTCAGAAACACTTTGAGTGTTTCATAGGCAGCATCTTCATTCCTAAATCCAAACAAAAAATGGCAACTGCACAGTTACAGGTAAGGTTTAGAGTGTTAGACATGTCTTTATAAATGTCAGAAAGTTTGGTTAAACGATTAAGCAATGTGTATTTGTTGTACACTGTAATCTGGAATATGTTTGAGCCAAGAATGTGTAACTGCTCATGTAGAGATGGGAAGAACGTCAGTGACTCCACAGCTATGTGTCTTTTTTCTTAGCTGATTGTTTTTATTTCTGTTTGTTCTGACTGTTTGTTTAGGCATATTTTTTCAATTCAGTCTGTCTCTCCCGTGTAAAAGGTGAGTACTCAATTGGACCTTGTTACATAAAGGTTACATTTGGAATGTAGAACTTCATTCTCCATTCTAGATGATTTTGATAAATTTCTGCAACTCACATGTCAACCATCACTGCAGAATGTCCTATTTGAAAACAATGCCAAAGTGAGAACAAACATTCACTTTAAAATGAACAGAAGAAAATACAAACCTACCACTGAGAATAAGGGAGTCTGTAGGTCACATATATCATGATCTGTAGGGCCTGATGGGAAAAAACACACATAGGATCAGAGATGAGGATTAAAGTGGTAAAATTTGCAACAGATCAATTGTTCATGAGACATTTTACTTACTGAATGTTTATGGCCATTTTGGGGCAGCGGAAACAAGTTGGGAACACAACATTAACATATCATAGGGTTGTTGCCTAACAGCTGCATATTTCACATCCAGCAGTTGCAGAGCAACATGATCATTCATGTGGAGAGGTGTTTGTGTCACCTGATGAATCTGAGTCATATATTCTCTCTCTGTTAGCTCTGTTAGTTGCTAACTGCTCCACTATGTTCACAAGCTCGTCTCTAACTGTGTCTGCCTGTTGTTTGCTGCTGAGCAGGTAGTGTACACTGGCTTTTTACAGATGTTTCTCTGAAAACAGCTTCAGTAGAGAGAGTGACTAAACAGTAAAGTTGCAGCTGGACAGGTAAGCAGCGAGCTGAAACTCACTATAAAGCTGCAGATTGAAGTGATAATGCTCTGTAGGTTCATCACTACCAGAGACACATTTCACACTATCACACTGTAATTTGATAAATTATCATTGTTTGTAAAAAAAAATATTGATATCTGCTTTAACTAAATTTGCATGTCAGTAGATTGTTCACTTAGGTGCTGATCGGCATCTAGGATTATCCACAATAAGAAATCTGATGACTGATTATGAAGCCTCAGATTTCAGAAGAACTTTAAAGCAGTTTGTAGTTAATATAGGTAGATTTAATTGTGGAACTATTTCAGGGTAGCAACTATGCATTCAACCTGCATGCTGATTTTAACTGTGCACAGACTCCAATCACCCACCACCATCACTTCCTACAGCATGTACAAAATAAGCATAGTGTAGATTCTGCATGTTCAAAACAGCATTATGTTTGTTTCATATGCTGCAAGTCCATTAAGACTCTTCAGCTGATCCAGAATGCTGCAGCACGTGTTCTGACAGGAACCAGGAAAAGAGATCACATTTCTCCTGTTTTAGCTTCTCTGCATTGGCTTCCAGTAAAATCCAGAATAGAATTTAAAATCATTCTTCTTACCTACAAAGCTCTTAATGGTCAGGCACCATCTTATCTTAAAGAGCTCATAGTACCTTACTACCCCACCAGAGCACTGCGCTCCCAGAATGCAGGGTTACTTGAGTCTCCAAAAGTAGACTAGGAGCCTATGGAGCGCTATGAGATAACTGTTATTGTGATTTGGTGCTATCTAAATAAAATTGAATTGAATGGAAATACTGTATGTGACATTAATACCTGTATTCTCATTACTTAGCAGGTAGGTCGGTATGTTGACCAACAGTGTGTGGGTTAGAGCAGTGTTACCAATAGCAGGATGGTGAGGAAGCCGTCAAAGATGTTGTTTCTGTAGGACAGGTACCCCCTCCAGCCAAAGGCAAAGATCTTCACGCACATTTCAAACAGGTAATAGAGGATGAAGCACAGGTTGATGATCTGACAGTTGGACAGTGAAAAAGTGAAATCAATTAAGTTCTGAAGTAGGTTCTGTTCACAATTCAACAAGGCTGCAATGTTCATTTTACCCAACAAAAACTACTGATGATTTTTCTGCTTTTAAAGATTTGCTTAAGGGGGCGCTAGAGGAGAGGCACTCCCTATTTTAGACGTTCAAAACATCAGCTTTGAGCTGGGGGGAAATCTTTGAGATTGTGTGCTTAAAACCCCCCATGTAAACGTGATAAGCAACTTCAAGGCAACTTTAGTTCAATTTTAGATATTTTTGTGTAAAAATGGAACGTTTGACCTGATGGGTCAGTAAAAACATCAGGACTCAATATGCACATTACATTTCACGAGCAAGACATTTCCTTTTAAGATACCTTATCTTGGACCAAAGTGTTGGTTAAGGTTTATTTTGACCTGATGGTGGTGCCAGACCAGAACATCCATAAAACATTTTATGACTGTGTTCACCTCCATGATGAAGTTGTCTCTCTCAACTGTGGACTTTTCAGAGTTCAAAACCAGGAGAGTCTGTAACACACAAAAGTAATATTGTCATTTTGTAGACAGCTTGGTCAGCTTGTGAGGGAGTATGAGTATGTGCATGTATGCGAACCGTATGCACGTGCAACTTACACATATGCACATGACATTGACCAGCGCCACAGCGTTGCCGAGTATGGTGAGATAGTAGTGGCTGAAGATCACCTGGAGTTTCTGCAGGACTGGAGAGTTGTACTGGGGCAAAGGAGGGTGCTGGGAGGAACACACATTCAGTCAGAGACATAAAACAAAGTGAAATGTATTATTGAATGAAGGGGCACAGCTCTACCTCCTTAATGAGATCTTTATCCAGTTCATCAAATATCCTCCTGAACTGCTCACGATCCATGTAGCCGACGTCTGCATATTGCCGCATCTCCTGAAGTCCACATGGTGTAGAGGTAAACAGTCATGGTGAAGAACCAGAGGATGCAACTTCTCATTTGTCTTTTAAATTGAAATATTCTTGAGGTCTAACCCAGCTTTAATTATGGTATGATTCATGCTAAAATATTTACTGTCTATCATCTGATATCAGTAAATATTAAAAACCTTTTTGTTATAAAGTTGTTATGCTTGCAAACAGTTGCCTATTTACAGACCCAGCAGACACAGAGCAGCATTAGCATCTATTTATTTCTAAATTAAAACACAAGATAAAAATGTCTGAATTATGTGCACTATATGCATTTAAGGGATTGTAAGAAAAATATTTAGAAAATAAAAAATGTACTCAGAAGACAGATTTGAATGTATAATGAAAGTAAGCATAATGTGCATTATATCATGGTGACAGAGGCCCTTTGAGTGTTTGTGGTTGTGTGTGTGGAGGCTTGTTGTCTGCTCTGACCGTAGTGATGGCCGCTCTGTAGTAGCTCTTCATCTGGACCCTGGACATCACCTCCAGCAGCGCATCAACATGCACCCGCTCCCTGACAGAGAACATAATACAACTCTCTCCATTTTATTCTCATTCCCATATTTAATATCAGGGGAAGAATATTCTGAGCTGTCGTCATCACCACAGGAGTCACTTTAATGTAAAGTGGGCTGAACACTCCTCGGCAACAGCAAACATTACAAGAAGATGTTTTAAAATAAAACCTTGGTTGAAAGTAAGTTTGAAGTGTTCTGCTCCTTTTATAAGAATTTAAAATAAAAAAAATCAAGTTGTTAAAACATCAGTTACAATTTGTCACTAAGAAGTATTGTCGCATTGACCTGTAAATAAACGCAAATATTGATACCTACTGCTGAACACGTGCATGTTTGTGAAGAGTCAGAGTGACGATATGATGCCCTGTGTGTGTGTGTGTGTGTGTGTGTGTGTGTCTCTTACTCAGTAGCCTGTCGAGCTCCCTGGCAGCTAAGGACTTGGAAAGCAGCTCGGATCCCCAGTCGTCTCCTGATGACGGACGTTTGGACTGACATCTGGACCAAAACATGAACAGAAAGATTCCCTAACTACAGACCTTCATTTCTAATCTGTGGAATGTATGTTGTCTTTCTATGGACTGTATATTTCCCAAAATATTTTATCTGTTCTCATGACTTTCCATTTTGTTTAATTTTATGGTTTTTCAATGAATAAATTGTCTGCCCATTTGTTTCTTTCCAAGAGTGAGATCAAAAGATGGATTTCAGCGTCTGTCTGTTAAGCACAAAGCAACAGTCTGGACGTGGTTAGCCTAGCTTAGCTATTTTTGCACAGAGAGCCTGGCTCTGTGCTAATCATCTTCCCAATCCCATGCATTTACACCCAATCATGGTATTTCCCACGCTGATTGTTACAGAGTTTGTGCTGGAAAGTGGTTTACAAGACAGAAGTTGCTTTTAAGGGAGACCTCCACCAAATGTACACAGAAAGTGATCAGTATCCTGATGACCTAACAGCATCATGGTTATCGCAGCTTGGTCTTGCTGTTGGTTGCATCATGAGAATTGTAGGATCTAGCAGTTTGGGAGCTTGACCCATACTCTAACTGGATAAAAGCATACCTCTGCCTGATGCTTCAGTTTCAACCATTCTTTTAATTAATGTGTCTCTTGTGAATCAACAACTTTAAAGAAGTGGAGTTGCACTGGAGTTCACCTTTGAATGCATTAATGCTGAGGCTCAATACAATAATAACATATAATGCTGACTCTATTAATTGACTCTGTTATTATATTGTCTGCGACGTAGCAAAAGGAAGTTACAAAACACAATTTTACTCTATCATTTTTTATATTGTGACAATAAACCTACCTATCTACCAATAAGGATAACAGGTCAATGATTTTCAGAATTTAGGTTAAGCACAAAATCATACATCATCACCCCATGTTGGGCGTATGCTGTGGCCTTCTAAATTCCTCCTGACTACCTTCCACTGCCAAGGCTTGGTTTTTCCCAGTGACACACCCGCTTTCCCAGCTGGGAACAATTTAGCAGTCAGTTTAGTAAAAATAAAAAACCCTCTCGCATCACAAGCTCACGTCTCATCATCTGTCATATGTCTGCCACATATAATCCAAACTGCATTCAACCATAGTGCTTGCTGGTCCCCAGTAGAATACTGTGCATGTGTGGAGCTGTAAGTGCAAGATAATCCCCAGGACAATGAAATGCTTCTCAGCAGCATTACGTCATCCTGTGTGACTCACCAGTAAATATCCTCTGAACTGGTTGTAGATGATTGCTGTCAGTAAGTTCATCAGACAGTAGGTTCCTGCCAGAAAGCAAAACAAATTCCCTCTAAAACATTTCAATCAAACACATTTATATTATAACATATAATATAATATAACAGCCACAGAATAATCTACGTTCAAGTAACCTAAATCTGCTGCACTGACAGACAATACTAATCAGAGCTTACCAATTACGCTGAAGGTGACAAAGAAGATGGAATATCCTCTATTTAGGGAGTAGGCAGGGATCATCACTGTGGCAGGACAGAAGAAATGTTGAAAAGACGATCAGACTCTTGTACAGAAACAATCACCATTCAACGGCAACCATGGCTTGTTTAGCATGTAACTGATCGTGTACCATCTGGGTTGTTGGCCGTTGTGAGAAGCACCAGCAGAGAGGTAAGGGAATTAGGTAGGTTTCTGAAATGCAACTCCCACTCCCCATTCTTATTTGGATCCTGAACAGAAACACAGAGGCAGAGAGATGAACAGAAACGAGGAGAGGCAGAGTGAACTTACACCTGCTGTACTCTATACACAGGGTTTAATGTTGTACTGACATTTTAAAAAATATCAAACATTTGATTCCTGCCTCTTAATAAAAAGACCTGCTTGTTTGTTCTGTTTCTGTTTTGAGTTTCTGGACTGTTGTCTAGAATAAACACTCTAACGACCTTACTTTACCTTGTGACAGGCATTTATCATTAGTTTTGATAGACATATGACATATTAATATATAAATATACATAAAAAAACATTGCTTGAGCACACTATCAGTATCATTAAATAAATGAGCATCCACTACAGCACTTAAAATTAGAATTTAAACCATTCATTGATGATTGCTGAGTGATCAGTTTTATCAGTGTTAAACAACTATTGGTGACATTCCTGCTGAGAAAGAGTTTGTGGAAAATGATTTAAAGATAAGGCTGACGATATTCTATATTTTTTATTGCGAAATAATCCCATGGAAAAGATAAAACCAACAATATGTTAGTCCGTCTTTCAATACTGTTTGCCTTTCCTACCCTGTCTGTGGCTCTCAGCTCCGAGCCGAATGGTTCCCTCTAAATTTATAAATCTGTAAATCTCACAGATTTATAAAATCATTACAAAACATGGCTCAGTAATTTCTTAAAACAGCCAGCCACAGCAGTTTTTAGCAAACATTAGTCACAGGAGGAAATAGTGCATGCATGAGTATTTTCAGCTAAATCAATACCCCCTATGTGTTGTAAACCTGCTTTTTTGGAACTACAGTACGCATAAGGCTTTGGTTGTCATGGTTTTGGTTGTCTATTTGTTGCTGTTTATCCTTGTTTAGGATGTTGGTTTGGTCATTGGATCACTCTGCTCTTTTTGGATTTCCCTTTGTTTGGACTCTTGCCTGCTGTGCTCTGACGTATGCCTGTTTAGTTTTGTTAATAAAATCTCTGGAACTGCATCCGTCTCTTCCATGTCTGCATTTGGGTCCACATCTCCTTTACCTGCATCAGCACTCAGTCTTCCTGACAATGCATGCATGGAGTTTAGATGTTGCCATTGAGTCAGTGGGTGCGTTCCAACCATACTACTATACTATTTAGAATGCCTGAAAAACATTTTGTATCTCCAGTATGTCAAATGCAGCATACCATAAATACAAAGATGTCCAAGTGCATCTGGTCACATTTTGCAGTATGCAAGCCATCATGCTATTCTGACCCACAATCCTCTGTGCAGCGTAGTATGAGCAAGAGGGTCAAAGTTGAAGGGGCAATGTTATGATGAAATAATATGTCCCAATTGTATGGATACTGCCTGCAGCAGTGTGTACTTTGTAAGGTCAGCTGCAGTGCATACTAAAAGTAAAAAGAGAAAGCATTTGATTTGGAACACAGCAAGTGAGTTCACTGTGGGCTGCACCTACACAGTGACACCTGTTAAGTCTATATTTATTTACACTGGTGAATTTGAATTAGGTAAACTCATGCTAAATTATGTATATTAGCATCGACTGTTTGTACTAAACAGAAACAAGTGGATGTACTGACAGCAGTCATCAGATTACTGCTGATTAGGCAGAACATTTCCAACCATGATGATTACTGTAGGAGCTAAAATCGTAGGATGTCTTAGCTGATTAGCAAACATTTATCTTTAACGTGTAATTCAAGCTGTGTGTGAGTGTGTGTAGCTTGTCTCTATGTTCAGATGTGACTAAGACTATGACTCCTCTCATGTGCGCTGATCTCACCTGTATCTCCTGTTGATAAAAAGAAAACTATGAGGCAACAACACGTTTTTTAAAAACATTTTACTATCCCTATCGGGGAGTGAATCACATGACATACTGCTGAGTAAGGTTGTGTTCCAGGGATCCATTTCTTGTCTTTTGCTTTATTACAAATGGTGAAATTTCCATAGAAGTTTTCTGACTTCTGCAACAGAACCCAGAAGTTACAGTTTCACTTCACAATTTAAGGCATCTCTGCCAAAAAAAACAACATGTTTTTATGAACTTTATTACTGTAATGAATTTACTGTTTTGACATTTTCTACTCATTATGATTTATACATATAAATCAGTCTCACCATAATGGATTAAATGTAGCACGTACTGTTTGCATTCTCAACAGTATTTGGTTTTTAATGCTGTACATTAAATCTGTCATGTCATTTTTTAAATTTGTATATTTATTTTTGCAAGAAAGTCGTGGGTTCGAACCCCTTTCTGTGTGGAGTTTGCATGTTCTCCCCGTGTCTGCGTGGGTTCTCTCCGGGTGCTCCGGCTTCCTCCCACCATCCAAAGACACGCGGACCAGGTTGTTAATTGGTGACTCTAAATTGTCCTTAGGTGTGCATGTGCGTGACTGACTGGTTGTTTGTCTATGTGTGGCCCTGTGGTGGACTGGCGACCTGTCCAGGGTGTACCCCGCCTTTCGCCCAGACACACACACACACACACACACACACACACACACACACACACACACACACACACACACACATGCCGACACAAGTGTCAGCAGTACAGTATATTACTGTGTATTTAACGGGACGTTACCACAAAGACATGAACTTACCTCAGTTTTAGCAAACAGCAGCATGCCGATCATAGTGAAGAGGCAGAGGTGGAGTGCCAGCAGCAGGATGACGCTGCACAGACAGGAGAACACACAGATTCAGGGTGGGGGGCGGAAAAGTTTGGGGAGTCAGTGAAGAATCTAAATCTTTCTCTATTTTTTAAAGATACACTCCATACAAGAATATACAGTATACTCTCACAAAAGAGAGTACACCCCTCTCGTAAATATTTGCTTACGAGTTTGCAGCTTGTATAACAGTGTAAATTTGCTGTCCCCTCAAAATAACACATCACACAGCCATTAATGTCTAAACAAAAGTGAGAGAGGGTGTACTCACTTTTGTTGCCATCGGTTTAGACATTAATGGCATTAATGGCAATTACACTGTTATACACGCTGTACACTCACTACTTTACATTGTAGCAAAGTGTCATTTCGTCAGTGTTGTCACATGAAAAGATATAATCAAATATTTACCAAAATGTGAGGGGTGTACTCACTTTTGTGAGATTCTTTATCTCTTTTAAATCAGTTAAAAAACTGTAGGTTTACACATTGATCACAAGTTTTACTTATTTCAACTTCAGTTGTTTAGGTATGGTGGATGGCTCTAAATATGACAATACCCATGAGGTGCTGTGTTGCCACATCTCGGAACAAAACACTGCACCGCAGATATTGTGCACTATACTGTATTTTTATAGCGCCTTTCTAGTTTTTTCGACCATTCAAAGCACTTTTACACTACATCTGCATTCACACACATTCATACACTGGCGAACAGCCACCAGGGGCAATTCGGGGCCCAAGGACACTTCGACATGCAGCCTGGAGGAGCCAGGGATTGAATCGACCTTCCAATTAACGGGCAACCCCCTCTACCTCCTGAGCCACAGCCGCCCCTATTGGTGACAGTGCTGATCTGATCCAGAATCTGAAAGTGAAAATCTGTGGTGTGAAACTGATCCAAACTGCAGACTGTTTTATTAGTTTTCTTTAGTGTCTGCTAACAGTTAGAGGTTAACACCACAGATTCTAAAGCTCTGTGAGTGGACGATTCTTACTGAAATTCTCCTTGGGAGTTCTAGTTTTATATTTTTAGGTATGTGCCTTGTACCTTCTGACTTTTCATCAAAGAACCAGATGAGTTTCTCATCTTTTGTACTGATGATTGAACTGGGAGAGTTTCATGTACATCTGAACATCCACCTAACCCCATCTTTACACAACTGATGCCTGAAATAACTACTCCAACTGTACAAATCTACTGCGCACATTTTTAAATTCATACATTTACATTTAGCTGACGCTTTTAACCAAAGCGACTTACAATTGCTATACATGTCAGAGGTCGCACGCCTCTGGAGCAACTAGGGGTTAAGTGTCTTGCTCAGGGACACAATGGTGGATGTCTCACAGTGGGAATCAAACACAGGTCTCCCACACCAAAGGCAAGCATCTTATCTATGCGCCATCACCACACCCTTCAACAGATTAATGCATGTGCTACCGGACACTAAAACACAGTCAGCTGCCCCCTTTTTGTTTGAAGCATATGGCTAGGAAACACACAATGTACCTTTAAATTAGAAAACATAAAGTTAAAAATACTTAAATACTTCTATAGATGCATAAATAAATAGACCTTAGATAGTCCAGTGAAAAAGAGTCCGATACCTGGCAATCTCTGGCAGAGTCCTCTTGATGCACTTCAGTGTCTTTTTCATCAGGGAGGAGTTCTGCAGGAGGAAGAATGGTCGGAGGAGTCGCCGTACTCTCAGTCTCTGATTAACAGAGAAAAGACAAGATCCCTTTTTAAATGCATGGTGGCATGTTGATTTGCATGGATTCACTAGGCCTGTCTCAACACAGAGTAGGCCACGTTCAAAGTTGTTGCACACACATTTTATACTGTGTGTGTATGTATGTGTGTGTGTGTTTGTGTATATATATATATATATATATATATATATATATATATATATATATATATATATATATATATATATATATATATATATATATATATAAAAAAGTTAAATATTCTTAATGTGGTTCATCAACAGTGATAAATTATCCGAAAGTCTCGCGAGGTGAGGACAACTCGGAACAACACCAGTGAAGCTGGGGCTCTGTCTCTTCAGCAAGTGTTCCTCATCTGCCACTGCACACATACACGCTACGCTTACACATGATGACCCAGGGTTAGGGTTACAATTTTGGATTTATTCACGCAACATTTATTGAAAGTTATATCCTTTTTACATATTTATTTACAGCATTAAACGTTGAAATGTATGTTGCAATACATTGTATATTAACTTATAGGGAGAAAACTGGAAGTTCTTTGTAAAATCAGACGTTGAGAACCCCCATATCGCCAAAATGGCATGATCCTTGTTTCGCTGCAAAGCTTCGACTGTTTGATTGACAGCCGAATTAGATTCTGCCCATCGAAGCATTAAATCTTCGACTATGCAGGGTCAGCCCTAATATATATATACACTACTCAAAAAAATAAAGGGATCACTAAAATAACACATCCTAGATCTGAATGAATGAAATCCATCCATCCATCGCTTATCAACCGCTTATCCTGCGTACAGGGTGGAGCCAATCCCAGCTGGCATTGGGTGAAAGGCGGGGTACACACTGAGCAGGTCGCCAGTCCATCACAGGGCTGAATGAATGAAATAATCTCCTTAAATACTCCTTTCTTTACAAAGTTGAATGTGCTAACAACAAAATCACACAAATCAAATTTATCAACCCATGGAGGTCTGGATGTAAATGCTCCGTACTTGTATAGCGCCTTTCTAGTCTTTTCGACCACTCAAAGCGCTTTTACACTACATCTGCATTCACACACTGAGCCTAAGTGCTCAAACAGAAACTAACATTCACACTCATTCATACACTGGCGGAATAGCCGCCAGGGGAAATTCGGGGTTCAGTATCTTGCCCAAGGACACTTCGACACGCAACCAGGGGGAGCCAGGGATTGAACCGCCGACCTTCCGATTAACGGCCAACCCGCTCTACCTCCTGAGCCACAGCTGTAGAAGTTACACTCAAAATGAAAGTGGAAAACCACACTACAGGCCGATCCAACTTTGATGTAATGTCCTTAAAACAAGTCAAAATAAGGCTCAGTAGTGTGTGTGGCCTCCACGTGCCTGTATGACCTCCCTACAACGCCTGGGCATGCTCCTGATGAGGTGGCGGATGGTCTCCTGAGGGATCTCCTCCCAGACCTGAACTAAAGCATCCGCCAACTCCTGGACAGTCTGTGGTGCAACGTGGCATTGGTGGATGGAGCGAGTGATGATGTCCCGGATGTGCTCAATTGGATTCAGGTCTGGGGAACGGGCGGGCCGGTCCATAGCATCAATTCCTTCCTCTTGCAGGAACTGCTGACACACTCCAGCCACATGAGGTCTGGCATTGTCTTGCATTAGGAGGAACCCAGGGCCAACCGCACCAGCATATGGTCTCACAAGGGGTCTGAGGATCTCATCTCGGTACCTAATGGCAGTCAGGCTACCTCTGGCGAGCACATGGAGGGCTGTGCGGCACCCCAAAGACATGCCACCTCACACCATTACTGACCCACCGCCAAACCGGTCATGCTGGAGGATGTTGCAGGCAGCAGAACGTTCTCCACGGCGTCTCCAGACTCTGTCACGTCTGTCACATGTGCTCAGTGTGAACCTGCTTTCATCTGTGAAGAGCACAGGGCGCCAGTGGCGAATTTGCCAATCTTGGTGTTCTCTGGCAAATGCCAAACGTCCTGCACGGTGTTGGGCTGTAAGCACAACCCCCACCTGTGGACGTCGGGCCCTCATACCACCCTCATAGAGTCTGTTTCTGACCGTTTGAGCAGACACATGCACATTTGTGGCCTGCTGGAGGTCATTTTGCAGGGCTCTGGCAGTGCTCCTCCTGCTCCTCCTTGCACAAAGGCGGAGGTAGCGGTCCTGCTGCTGGGTTGTTGCCCTCCTACGGCCTCCTCCACATCTCCTGATGTACTGGCCTGTCTCCTGGTAGCGCCTCCGTGCTCTGGACACTACGCTGACAGACACAGCAAACCTTCTTGCCACAGCTCGCATTGATGTGCCATCCTGGATGAGCTGCACTACCTGAGCCACTTGTGTGGGTTGTAGACTCCGTCTCATACTACCACTAGAGTGAAAGCACCGCCAGCATTCAAAAGTGACCAAAACATCCGCCAGGAAGCATAGGAACTGAGAAGTGGTCTGTGGTCACCACATGCAGAACCACTCCTTTATTGGAGGTGTCTTGCTAATTGCCTATAATTTCCACCTGTTGTCTATTCCAGCATGTGAAATTGATTGTCAATCAGTGGTGCTTCCTAAGTGGACAGTTTGATTTCACAGGAGTGTGACTGACTTGGAATTACATTGTGTTGTTTAAGTGTTCCCTTTATTTTTTTGAGCAGTGTATATATGTATATACATATATATATTATACACAGTACTATATATCTCCAGGGCCAGCAGGGTATTCCAGACATCTTTCCAAGGCATTCCCAGGCCAGATGAGAAAAGAAAGGCACCCTGGATGCATCCTTATCAGATGCTTCAACCACCTCAAGTGGCTCCTTTGGAAGCGAAAGAGAGGCAGCTCTACTCAAAGCTCCTTCCAGATCTCAGAGCTCCTCCTCAGATCTCTAAGGCTGAGCCCAGTCATCCTATGGCGGAAATTAATTTTAGCCGTTTGCATCGACAATCTGATTTTTTCGGTCACTATCCACAGCTCATGACCCTAAATGAGAGTTGGAACATAGATCAAGCGGTAAATCGAAAGCTTTGTCTTCTGGCTACGCTCCCTCCTCACCGAAACAGTCAGGTACAATGGCCACATTTCTGCTGACGCTTTCTGATAAAGCCAACAGAACCACATCATCTGCAAAAAGCAGAGACTCAATTCTGAGGTTCCCAAACTGGACACTCTCCTCACCTCGTAGAAATGGCCTCGGGACCCTATACTCCCATAGTACCCCCACAGGATTCCCCAGGGGACACGGTTGTAAGCCTTCTCAAAGTCCACAAAGCACATGTTAGACCCCTCTTTATCCAAGTTTCCAATACATAAGGCTGCAGATTGATGATACAACCACACAGTTGATCATTGATCTTACTGAGTACTGAGTACATTTATGAATGGCCTTATGTTCGAGCATGGTGTTTGTTATGACCAATCCATAACACCATAGAAGTCCAATAACAAAACACCACTTTGGTTTAGATCAGGCAGACCATTCCTCCCAGTCACCTCCCTCCAGGTTTCTCCATCATTACCCACATGGCCGTTTAAGTCTCCCAGCAAAGCTGTCCCCAGCTGGAATCCCTTCCAGGACAGCATCCAGAGACTCCAAGAAGGCAGGAAGGTCTTGAGCTGTTATCCAGTGCATATGCACACACAAAAGTCAGAACCTTGCATAGAGCCAACCCTCTCATTCTCCAGGGAGCGGTCCTGACTTGACCAGTCAGAGACCAGACCAGCGGAGATGACCAGCTGGTAAAACTTTCAGGTAGGAATCATTTTGATAAATTTACAAAATATTTTAAATTTAAATAGTTCTTAATTTTATTAAGAAATTTGATGACAATTATAACAGCTTTAGGACAAAAATTATAAGAATTGTGAAAGTGGCTCATATTCTCCGATAACACTGTTACTTGTTGAAATGCATGCTGGGACACTTTTCAACTTGAAACTATTATTCAACTATTAATTTTATTTGGACTGTCCTTGTCTTGGACTGTCCAAACTTTGAATTGGGCCATGACTGAGGATGCTTCACAGTTACAAGAACAGACAAGAATGAAATGTTGGTTTATCCCACTGACTTTTCTACAGCTATGAACATGCTGTATATCTAAAGCTTTTCTTTGTCTGCAAGCTAAAGATGTTTTTGACTAACGTCTGTATGAGCACTAATTCTCTTTAATGGATACTGGTGTTTGATGCACTACACTCCTCTAAGCACAACATGCATAGACAAGCGTGACAGAAGGCAGCCTCACCTCATCACACACCATGCTGACAGACAACACCCAGTCGATGATGGAGGCTGAAATCACTACTGTGTAGCCAATCAGCCATTTGCTCTTTCTGAATTCCTCCCAGCCAATCAAGTAGCTCTGAGGACAAAGGGAAGCAGTGATTCAAATGGACAAATAAGTAGGCAATAACTTTAAAAAGAGGCAAGATTATTTGGAATCATCCAATGTAGTAAATTCCACGTCGAAACCAGACAGCTGCTAATGTCCTGGGAGCAAATGTTTTCCACCCTAGCTGTACTTACCTTGACAGCAAGATCAAGAGAGAAGATGAGGAGGCAGACCATCTCAATGCTCTCGGTGAGTCCACAGGGAGGATTCCAAGGCGGAGAGCGATGCCGTGGGTCGGAAGACACAGACAGGGAGGATGGGCGCTCCACAAACGCCAGCAGCAAAACCACCGCAATGGTTAGGCCCAAGCCCCTGGGGGAGAGAAAGATGGGTGAATCGTTGGACAAATGGAAGTAGAAATATGGCTTAGACAAAAGAAAACTGTCATTCAACTCCATGTGTTGATGAGTTAGATGACTTAGAAGTTAGTTAGAAGACTGATACCACTGTCATATCGTTATGCTAGAGTCAGGAGAAAGTTAGTTTAGCTTAGCATAAAGACTGAAGACAGGGGAAACAGCTAGCCTGGCTCTGTCCAAAAGTTAACCTACCAGCACTTTATGCTAAGCTAGGCTATCTTGGCTCCAGCATCAGATGTAATGGAAAGATATGAAAGAGATATTGATGGTCTCATCTAACTCTTGGCAAGAAAGCAAACGTTTCCCAAATGTTGAACTACCCCTTAAAGAACACTGACACACTGTGTGCTTCTAAATTCCCTTATTTGTCGTTTCCTCGCTCCTTGATTCCTAGTTTGAACTGGAAGCTGTTCTGCACCGCCATATTGCAGACTGTCCCAAAGCTCTTATTTGTGCTCTGAGGAGAGAGGAGTGAGTAGCGATCTCTGAGGAGCTAAGATGCACGAGTCTTTTACTGACCGACCCCCTTATTGGATAGATGCTATATTTATTGGACACTGCAGCTGATCAGACTGATCTGATAAATCACATCACTACAGTTTCATAAAGAGTGAAGATCGACAACAGATTAAAAGTATATCACGGCCAAGTTCTATATTTGATTTGTATATTATATTTAATTTGTTTTATATGAAGCCACTGAAGATTCACAAGTTATTATCTTGCGCGCACAAGATAATAACTTGTTCCCACAAGATACAAAATATAATCTTAAGGGACTTCAGGGGCTCCATAGTTTTATGATTCACCATCTAGTGAAAATCTGTGTTTACTGTTTACTGATCAAGTGAGCAAAAGCCCCACACGCAAATTTCTTCTAGAGCCCGACCGATACATCGGCCGGCCGACATTATCTGCCCATATGAGCAGAAATATCTTTATTTATATGAAGGAAAACTAAATTAAGGTGGCAGGTGGAAATTCAAAATATAAAAATAAAATGGAATAAAATTCAGTAATCAGCTTTTGGACAATGCATTTCTTTCTTCTATATTTCAGTTGCATTGCATGTGTTCTTATTGTACATTGTTTCTCGTGTTATTCAACATTTATTGTTGCAAGCTGTTTTTCAGCATTTTTAACAAAAGCTTTCAAAAAGTGATGGACATTCTGATTCTGACATGTCCCCAGCATCCCCAGTTTAAACGACACCTATCTGTCAAAATTTTTGAATGTCCTGCCCCATCCAGGCTGTGATTGGTCGGTTCACGAAAAGTGACATTGACAAGCTACTGTCTGCACACAGCTGCTTGAAAGGCACCCAAGCTTCTCTTCTCCCTCGTCTCTCACCGCCAACAGAGATTAGCAGGCAGGCAAGAACACGTAGCGCCCAGAGAACCTGAAATGGAGAGGGCAGAGGAGAGTACCGGCAGCATGGGAGAAGTCCCGGTACGCCAAAGAGTAAAACGTCGAGGTGCCCGTACTGCGTACCGTTGTGTACTGGTACCAATGATCTTCTGAGCAGTTTCAGTCACCCGTTGCAGATCCCTGTGGTCCTGGGCCGTCCACATCCCATGCTAGTTAGTGATGTTTCCAGTCAGGATGCTTTCTATTGCTCCTCTGTAAAGTTTACAAGAACTTTGCCTTCTTTCTTCTTCTACCCCTGAACTTTTCCTACTGTGACATTATAGACTGACTTCAGTAATTCTCATGATGATGGCTTGGATGTGACTTAAAAATGCAAACGCTGTGCTGGACTGTGGCGCACCTCTCCGTGAAGAACATGGAAACTCTTTTTCCACTGTCCAATCCCCTGATGTATCGGTCGGGCTCTAGAAGAAAGTTGCTTGTGGGGCTTTTGCTCACTTGATCAGTAAACAGTAAACACAGATTTTCACTAGATGGTGAATCATAAAACTTTGCCTTCTTTCTTCTTCTAGCCCTGCACTTTTCCTACTGTGACATTACAGATTGACTTCAGTGAAAAATTCATTGGCAATAACAAGCAACAAGTTTCTCACCCTGCAGAAATGTGGCCCTAAAACATATTGCAAACATAAACTCAGGTCCAGTTTTATTCACACATGACTTGGCCTGAGCAACTTACCACTGGCATATCCTGGAGTAGTACCATCGATATAGGCGAAGTGAGCTGCCATCCACACGGTGGTTGATGGACCGGTACTATAAGCAAGCAAACAAACTTAAATCACAACAAAAATGCTTTGCAGGAAAGACAAAACAGAAAGGGACAAATTTGTCCTAATGCACAAACAAAGAAAAGCCAAGGACAATACAGATCGCTTAAAATATCTGGATTGATTTGGCTTCTCTGAGACTTTACATGAGGCTGTATAAAATTCCCAAATCTGACTTTTCCCTCCCACTACTGATTACAAAATCTCAACACAGGTTATCTTCTGACACAGAGATGGTTGCAGTGCTGCATTCCTCTGCATGGGAATAACTAAGCAGCCCTTTGTGATTGGATGAAAGTAACTGATAACTGCTGGAAAACCTGTATCTAATGTGGATCGCCCACTGGCATTGGATCAGTGTGCCCCTCTTCCAGACTTGAGGAGCAACCACAGCAAAAGCATGAGAACCTTTAGTGTTCAGCCTTGACCTTGGAAGAGCTAGAGGTCCCTGCCCATATAATGCCTTGTATGTCCAGAGCAAAACTTTAGTGACAGGGAGCTAGTGTTTTTTAATCTAGTTCTAGAATCTAATTCATTTTTGTAAATAGCTGGTAGACTTCAGGACAGAGATCCAGATAGGTGTAGATCGAGTAGCAGGACTGGATGTTACAATCCCTTAGGTATCACACTGCAGATGACTTGAATGGGAATGTTCTTGAAGATGACCACTAGTTGGTGTTGCTACCATTATGACACATCTTCAGCTGTGTACCTCGACATCACTGGGTGTTCTGTACTTTATCACAAGACACCCTCAGCCAGGATAGGCCCACCGCAGGCTGATCAGACCTGGGTGTGTGTCTCATGGTTAGCATGTATGGTCACTTGGCAGCACAGCTTCTTTCAGCCGCATCGGCCGGTGCTTTAATTACCTTCCTATGGACCTGCCCTCTGGCTCTTACTTCCTTCAGGAGCCTGGCGGTGCAGCTGGCTACACAGCCCCTGCACCAAACCTCAACTGGAAGAAAGGTCTGACTTTTGCAGTGTTCCTTAGTTGGAAAAGGCAGGACTGAAGCAGAACTTTCACATAAAGCTTAAAGTGTATATAAATGTACCAATGTAATTTCAAAAGAGACATAAAATTAGACAATACAGTTTATACCGATATAGTTTGATTTTAATTAATTTGTGTTTCAGTAAAGTCCTGCCAGCGTTTGCTCATCTCTCTCCCTCACCGCGCAGCTCCACCCCTCCCTCTGTGTCTGCACTCAGCCCATCTAGCTCACAAACTCCATCCTGTACATTTTAATGTCTTTCTATGTTTATTTATCATTTATCATTTACAAAAAGAGAAATAAGTAAGGAAAGTCATTGCAATTACCTGTATGGCATCCTCGATGAATACGACAGCCTGTTGGATGTAGAGGTTCTCATCATCTGTGGACAGAGAGACAAGTTCAAGTGGCAGGACCATCGGAACAGTTCCTTTGTCTCAGAAGCAGAATTAATCTCACCGTGTGTACCTTCACTCAGTGAAAAACTTAACATAGTTCCTGTACAACAGAATGTACAGAACATGTTTTCTGACTAACACAGACAAGAGAAACTGTCACTGAGATGATGTTCACTGTAGAACTGGTTGGATTGGGACATGGGGTTTGTTTTTTCTTGAGTCAAAATTGGGAAAACCCGGGAATCAACTGAGTGCAAGTGAAAGGTGTGGCTTACTTTTCAAGCTGTGGCGTATCTCTACTCAAACAGCAAAGGTTTTTCAGTTTTTAAAGGGACACTGTCGCAATTTTATAGCTCAACAGGCTGAGTAGTACTCTATATGAACATTAAACTGACTTTGTGTGTAAGATCGGTGGAGTTCCCCTTTAAGAACTCATCATGAATCACAGTGTAATGCATGCCCTTAGTAGTACAGTAAAAGTGAAAATGCTTTTTATATTTTGTGTAAAAATTGAGCTTTCCTGTGATTCCTGTAATATTGCAGTCAGGGATGATAATTTGTCCTAATTTAGGCCTGTCGGGTAAAAACGTTCTACAAGGCACTCCCAACAAAGGATGGTTAGTTTGGGGTATTAGGTCAGAGATGGTTGGACAGAAATTTGAAGTTTTTTTTTAACTCAAATTATGTCACATTTTCAAGATAAGGACCGGAACACATTTTATTATCACTATTTTATAATATTTGTTTATAGTTATTGATTGGAGTGTAGCACAGAAGATAATATGCACTAAAATAAAATACATCCAGCAGGTGTTAACTGACAAATCAGTGGAGAAAGGACAGACATGCTTAACAGTAGCAGCCAATGAAGAGTTCATCATTATTCAGTCAATACTGCAAACGTGAGACTCAGGATTAGCCCAGTCACGGGAAATCAGGGACAGCTGTGCCCTCATCCTTCCTGAGACCTGGCTCCACAACATCTCAGATGAAGCTACTGACCCTGACGCGCTAACTGGCAAATGTACCACAGAATTATGACTTTCTGTGTATACACACACACACACACACACACAGTGTACATACACTCACTGGCCACTTTGTAAGGTATACCTTTCTAGTACCGGATTGGACTTCAGAACTGCCTTAATTCTTCATGGCGTACTTTTAACAAGGTGTTGGAAACCTTCCTCAGAGACTTTGGTCCATATTGACATGACAGCATCACACAGTTCCTGCAGATTTGTCGGCTGCACATCCATGATGAGAATCTCCCGTTCCACCACATCCCAAAGGGGCTCTATTGGATTGAGATCTGGTGACTGTGGAGGCCACTGGAGTAAAGTGAACTCACTGTCATGTTCAAGAAACCAGTTTGAGATGATTTGAGCTTTGTGACATGGTGCTTTATCCTGCTGGAAGGAGCCATCAGCAGATGGTACACTGCGGTCAGAAAGGGATGGACATGGTCAGCAGCAATACTCAGGTAGGCTGTCGCATTTAAACCATGCTCAGTTGGTACCAAGGGGCCCAAAGTGTGCCAAGAAAATATCCCCCACACCATTACACCACCGGCAGCAGCCTGAACCGTTGGTACAAGGCAGGATGGATCCATGCTTTCATGTTGTTTACACCAGATTCTGACCCTACCATCTGAATGTCTCAGCTGAAATCGAGACTCATCAGACCAGGCAACGTTTTTCCAGTCTTCTGTTGTAGCAGTTTCCTGTTCTTAGCTGACAGGAGTGGGACCCTGTGTGGTGCTGCTGTAGCCCATCTGCTTCAAGGTTAGATGTGTTGTGCGTTCAGAAATGGTATTCTGCAGACCTTGGTTGTAACGGGTTGTAACGATTATTTGTGTTACTGTTTCCCTTCTGTCATCTGGAACCAGTCTGCCCATTCTCCCCTGACCTCTGACGTCAACAAGGCATTTTCGTCCACACAACTGCCGCTCACTGAGTATTTTCTCTTTTTCGGACCATTCTCTGTAGAACCTGGAGATGGCTGTGCCTGAAAATTGCTGTAGATCACTAGTTTCTGAAAAATTCGTCTAAAATGATTTTAAAATTGTACAGCAGTGTAGACAATGCTAACATCAAAATAAAATATCGGTAAAAAAATCTGAGTTAACAATTTGAACCATTAATTGCAATATTTTGTGGAGCTGCATAAATAAGTCATTCAATTGCTAAGTGCAGCAGAAAATTAATTGGCAACCATTTTGATAATCAATTGTTTGAGTAATTTTTCACATAAAATTCCTGATATTTACTAGTTCCACCTTGTCAAAGATGGATGTTGGATGCTTTTCCTTATGATTTATGTTGATTTATGTTAAGAAAAGAGAATTTATTTTATTTTGGGTTTTGGACTGTTGCTCAAATACAAAAGGCAATTTAAATACGTCACCTTGGGCTCTGCAAAATGTGATGCATCTTACTATGTTTCTAAAATGTTATACAACAGTTAAATCAAGATATACCAATCAAGTGTGCAGCCAGACTCAACACTGGTACAGTGATGATGTATTATCTGGTCCATAGTCTTCAGCATATGTGCTGTGTTATGTTATTATATATTTTATAGGGTGTTGCTGTTGAAACATTTGGAAGCACAATTCAGATGTGACTATTTTTAACAATTTTTACAATTTTTGGACAAAACGGTAAGCACTCACAAATGATGACGGGGAAGGTTGAATGTGTGTTAAAACAGAATACAGTCATATAACAGTAAGTAGAGTAGAAGGTATCAGAGATAGAGGCTATCACACAGCAAAGCCTTGTACCACATGCTGACTGGTGATCATGTTCACTGACTATGTAACTGCTGAATGGAAAAGTTATAGACAGTTTGTGATGACTCAGTTGTGACCACACACACCCGCACCCTCACACACACACACACATTTGGTGCTGCTGACTCGACGCGCCACAGCAGGATGGGTCATAGTCGTTGTGGTGGTTGCCACTGACAGGGCAACACTTTAAACGGCTGCAACACTCCTGAAACACACCTAGCCAACACACACCACAGAGACAAACAAGTGTGCGCTGCACTTCTCACACTTTGTAGCAGCAATAATGAAATAATCTCCCCCGAGAGACACTGTCAGAGAAATCCTCTAGTCTGACCAACAACACTGACATGAACTATCCATATAATGAACAATATCAATATGATTGATTCACATTTTGTTGTATGTAAATATGGTATATGACTGCCGATATGACAGAAATAGCTAAAGAGATTCAGATTCATCTCCTACGACCTCAAGTGGGAGCTGAACATCACCTCCCTCACCAAGAAGGCACAGCAGAGGATGTACTTCCTTCGGCAGCTGAAGAAGTTCAGCCTGCCAAAGACAATGATGGTGCACTTCTACACCGCCATCATCACCATCTGGTACGCTGCTGCCACTGCCAGGGACAAGGGCAGGCTGCAGCGCATCATTTGCTCTGCAGAGAAGGTGATTGGCTGCAATCTTCCATCACTTCTGTCACTAAATACTGTTTCATCTCGTGTCGTGCACAGACCTGGCATGTTGCGCATATTTGTTGTTGATTGTTGATATTTCTTGTTGTATATTTTTATGTTGTCAGTTTATATTTATATGTACACTATATTCTCTTCCGTTGCGTGACTTCTGCACGGCACAGACCCAGAATAATGCACATGTATATATCTGCAACGTTCTTCAATTCCATATTTATATATTTCTACATTTATTTACCTTGACTGTATGTTTGTCTACGTGTAGCACCTTATCACCACAGCAAATTCCTCGTATGCGTAAAACACTACTTGGCAATAAAGCTCCTTCTGATTCTGATTCTTCTGATTCATGGAGCATAATTAACACTGCTGGATTCACTTATCTGTTCAAATAATGGCTTTTTGCCAATTATCAATCTATAATGTAAATTTTCTTTAAAGGCTTTATTCAGACATGCCAGGAAAGAGCTACAATGCTTGCACTATATTTGGCACCTGGTGTGTGAAAGGAAGCGACTTCACCGCTTAAACACAGCGGTATCTTTAATAAAAGTGAAGAGCGGGGGTCTCAGTTCTCTCACAGGTTTGTGGTTTAACAGACTTTCATCAGTATCATTTGTTATAGAACTCAAGCAGTAAATGTCAAGGTGGGGATCTACATTCATTCCTATTTGCCCACATGCTGTATGTAAAGCATTTTGCTTTAATTAATCATTTATTCATCCAAGCAGTTGTATGGATAAAAACTGAAAATCTACAGAGGAATTGCTCGTCTGATTATTATTGTCATTGTAAAACATTGTTTTTTGCTCTGCACCTCGAGGAGAAAAAAAATACATTTATAGACTGATCTGAAAAGAAAAGAATCTCATTTATATAAATTGTGTTTCCTGGTCAATCAAACTTATTGACAGTCTTTGTGCTTTCTGATGATAATTAAAACAATCTTAATAAGACAGAGCAATGTGTGCATTTAATATCTCTCTATATCAAGATGTTGTGCAGCAGTCTTTACAGTAATTTTACAACATTCAATTCAGATTGATATGCAGAGTCAGAAACGTTACTAGGTCTACCTAGGAAGATTCCTTTAGTGATTTTTACATAAAAGGGCTATGGGCATGAATTCAGACATTAGACCATATTAAACGTGTCATATAGTTAAAACACAGAAATTGTTAAACATTTAAAAAAGACATAAACTTCTGAGCTGTCTGCCACAGTGGTTTAGCCTTTTAGGCCTGATTAAAAACATAAAATTATGTGAAAGCATTTTTTATGGTCTATGACTGAAATTGTCAGCAGCCTACAATGTTAGGTTACGTCACAGTAAGACAGAGTTATAAGTTGTATGCTGTACATTCATATATACCGGCAGCACTTTAAATAAAGTACCAAGAATTAGCACATGAGTAGAATTTCTGTAATTATAAACTCCTATTACACTTTAGTGGCAGTGGTTACTGCTACTCAATACTCGTTAATGATCAACTATTGTTATTATCAGCTATTGGAAGAAAGCATACACTTTCCATACTGTGAATCAATGATAACAGCAGCCTATCACCAGCCTGTCCTCATGAAGAGGTTACCAGATTTACACATCGTCAAACCCAGGTGACTCAGGATGTATTTGTCTAGATTGCGAGCTAAAAGGTTCAAATATCCCAAATGGCCTTGTAGTTGTTAAGTTTTTCACTTTTGATGGAGCTATACTAACAGTTTCCCCTTACTTCTAGTCTTTGTGCTTTGTGCATGTATTCTACATATATACATAAAATGGAGTTAGTTGTCAGAGAATGACAATGAAACCTTTCATTTCAATGCCCCAAGTCACAGGACACATCACTGCTGCTTAAATTCTATTAGCTTTAAAGAGCATAATAAAGAGGGATACTCTGTTCACTTCAGAACAGTAGCCTATACTGTTTGTGCATCATAATACGTGGAATGAAACTGATCAAAGCTATAGGAAATATATGTTGTAATTAAAATAATATTATCTGCTTTTCTCATAGAATAATTGTAATTTTCTTACCGCCTGTTCTACACAAACAAATAATATTTCAGCTACCTGACAGAGCTGAAGAAATGCTAAGAAAATTAGAGCAAATACTTTAACACCAACATGATTTTGCTCTGACCTTACAATCAGCTGCACTGTTTGGACATCTGATATGCCATGCATCACAGGGAGGAGGCCAAATCACCTTCCAGTGTGTAGCTCATAAAGTAACTCAACTTTCCCATGAGAAGTGTGAGTGTTTACTGAATACAGGCTATATATCACAACTGAAACAATTAGCTAGTTTACAACAACAACAGCGTTGATAAGTGATTTATTACAAAGATGTCATTCTGTGGTTCTCAACTCAATAGACATGTTAGTCAGACAAACCAGGATATTAGAAAACATCACCTTCCATATTTTAACTATTTTATAACATTTTACAGACTAAACTATTAATTCAATAATCAAACAATAATCAACACATTTACATAGAATGAAAATAGTTTTAGTTCAACAACAAAATGCTTCTTACACATGAATGCATCAGAAATAACAATCCAGTATAAACCAGAACACAGACAATGGTACAAGCAAGACTGGATTTCCAAGCGGGAAAAGCAGAAGACTGACCCTGACTCTCAGGGGCCCTAAAAGCTTTCTGCTGGTAGTAATGTGATGGTTTGTGGTAATTTGATTATTTGAACATCACACATCACAACATTCGTGACTATGTCCCAATGAATTACAGTGTTAATTAACAGGTCCTGTATCAACATCTTAACTTGAGGCCCTGTCTTATAGTCTTTGTTTAGGCTTGTCCTGTATGTTTCCATGATGCACAGGCCTGATACAGATCTGTTTAACTTGTAACCCTGTTGAAGGTAACAGGATACAGGACCAAGAATGATTTGATCTAGGACTTTTGCTTGTAATGGAGGGCAGTGTTGGTATTTTAATATTTATTCCACTTCTGGCTTTTGTACAGAAGAACAAAAGTCACAGTCATCCGACCTGTCCCTACACATTTCTCTCATGATGTCAGACTATAGCCTATTATAATCCAGCCCACTCACCTGCGGCCCCCTCGAAACTGCACCCTGCGACAGAGTACGACATCCGTCTGCTGCCCGGGGCCCCTCCGTGCTCCGTGCCCGACGAGGAGCCGTAATCCCCGGAGGCTCCGTTCACACTCCTGGTTAGCAGACTGTCCGTTTCCATCCAGAAACTCTAACAAGTTGTCCCGAAATTTACCCGCTCCTCAGCTGTGAAAGTGAAAGTAGCAGGTCCGGTAGGAAACGAGAGGCCGAATTTAATCGCTCAGCTCAGAAGTAGGCTACAAAGACTAAAACAGCACAACACGGCTCAGGCAGAAGGCAGGGGAATGTGTTTTTAGGAAGTCGCTTCTCTGCTGCTCCTCCCTCCCCTCCTGTCCCGTCCTCAAGAATCACTTTACACTGACTTTAAAAACACCAACTCCACCTACAGCAGGCGAGAGGAAGTTTAAATGCTACAGTCAACAAAGTGGGCGGCTGCAACAGCAAGGCTGTGAAGAAAAGAATTATAGTGTAGTAATAAATATCCTTTTAGAAGGAACAAGTTGAAAGCAACTCCCATTAGGTAGGCCTAAACAGCGGGGTCGCTTCAGGGGCCCAGAACTGGACAGGCCAGCCATCCAGCTCTCCTAGCAGTGCTGGAAGCCCATTTTCACAGAAAAAGAAAATAAACATTTGGGATGATAAAAAATAAAAATAGCCAACTCATGTTAAATAAAATATACTGAAACTGTGTAAGCCAACATTTGGATTCATGCCATCTATTTGACTTATTAGTAAGCTATGAGGATTTCTTTATAAGAGGAAGGAAAAAGCAATAACAAGGATGAAACATGTTAATAACTAAGTCATTATGCTCTGTCACTTTTTACTTTCTCTCTAGACTGTTTGGTGCTTTCAATATATCTTTCACCCAGAATACTTTATTTTGACATTAACTTTCCATGTGAAGCAACAACACGCTAAATCTGATTAAATACATCTTTTGGAATCACTTTATTTCCAGCCAGCCAGCCAACCCACCTCACCCAACCCTTTCCATACAGCGTCTCAACATATAATAACATTAAAACTGCAAGTGTAATCCAATTACCTGTCCCAGACTTTGGATGTATTAGGGTAAACCTATTGCTTCAGATAAATGATTGAAAATCTGTGGTAAAATATACAACCATGGTTTTGACAGGCACTCATGTTTCAGTAACAAATGTAGAAACTGATATATATATATATACCAGGCACAATATTTATTTGAAATACAATTCTGTGGTTGTACTTCAGCATATTAAACATTGTATTGTTTGAAGATCTTTTTGTTAAAGATAAAATATCTAAATACATCACTATCACACACAGGATAAATAAGGCGTCAACTTTGAAAACCCCAGCAGTGGCTTTATTTTTCAAGGTGAGGCTTCAAGAAAGAGCTACCAAATATATTGATTCCAGCTGGTATTGATCACGACACGTGCAAGGTTCAAAGTGGTGGAACAGCCGCTTCTTACACTGTGATTAAATATGTAGCATATTTGGCCACAAATTACTTCATTACTGCATTTCACATGAGGAAATACTTAAAATGATCCCATGCTTCTTTGCAACTTCTGGGAATGATGGCATGTAATCAGAGGTCACAAATGTTGAAGGTGGAAGGACAAAGGTTATGTAGGGTCCCAGAAAATGATTGGCTGTGCTTGCAAGAACAGTACAAACGTATTGACGTTACTGAAAAGTGTACACAACCACCAAACAATATTTCAGCTCTGTTCAGCAGTTCTGATGGATTTTCACTGGACACTGAAGACCTCAGCATCTTATTGCTTCGGGGTGTTTGCTGCCATCTGAGACACCTGTGGAAAAGGAAATTAGAATTAAACTTCTTAAACATGTTATTTAGTTTATACGATAAAAGTCACTATTGTTTGTTACTAGCTCTACCAATTATTAGAGTTATAGAGTTTTGGGATGGATCATGTTGGCCATCCTTGTGTGCTGTGTGTTTATAGAAAAACTAAAGCATTCAAGTAAACTCTGAGAAGTTATTTTATCTATTTTCTTAAAGGAGACACTGCTTTTCCAGTCCTATATTGTAGGCAGCTTTGGATGATTCAAATTTTTTTCTTATACTGATTCTTCATTTAGGTCTTCATTTCAGCCTCTGTCTGAAACAAGCTATAGATGCTCCTGTCTCTTTAAGCCCCCCCCCCCTCTCAAAGCCCCTTGTTTTCTGATTGGCCAAGACCTGAAGCATGTTACAGGCTGCTGGTGTTGCTGGGAGGAACAGGCAGACTGAGCGTCGCTGTGCCATTCGTGTGGGAGCACATGACCATATATGGAACACCGGCTCCATTTGGCTTGGTATTATGTAGCCAATGGTAGAAAAAGCAGTTCAAAACAGAGGTTCAGAACAGGAGGAAATCTGAGGTTTTTGCTCATAGGGATTTCTTATAAATAGTTTAAAGAGGTGGTATTATGCTCATTTTCAGGTTCAAAATCTTAATTAGGGGTTGAACCAGAAGAGGTTTACATGGTTTAATTTTCAACACCATATTTTTCCTCATACTGCACATTGCTGCAGCTCCTCTTTTCACCCTGTCTGTTTTACGCTCGGTTCTTGAGCTACAGAGTGATGCATCTTGTACAAAATCTTTGTTGGGAGTTGCACATGGAAGTTCCCAGGTAAGGACTACTAGCCAATCAGAAGCAGAGAAGGGCGGGTTGTAAGAAACAAGGTAGTGTGATCCAAATCAAAGCTGCTTCAGACTGCGACCGTAACCTAGCAGATGGTATAAGTTACTCTCAAGTCTACAACCACACAACATCATTGTTCCACATCTTACCATCAGGACTAAACGTTGAACTGTTGCCGGTGTTCTGACGATCTATGCTGCCTTGCCGAAAAATGCTACCATAGCGCAAATCGATAGACTCGACTCTACTCGGCCCTGCTCCGTTTTCCATTGCAGATAGTACCCAGAGATAGTAGCTTGTCGTCATAGTGACGCCACACATAACTGCCGCGACGTAATGTTCAATGCGACACACACACCAGCGATCCACACAGCTTTCTCTTTTTTTAAGTTAAAGCGTTTCAACCTTCCTCAGAATGTAAAGACAGATAAGCGGTATGAAAACCTTCCAGCTGTGTTTTCCTCTGCCGTTGTTGCTGCAGCGGTCTGTGTGACGGCGGGAGCAGAGGGCTCTGTGAGCGGGCGGCTGGCCGGCCTCACACGCTCCTCCCGCGGGTCACAGCAGGCTTCCCCCGCAGCCACTGCTGCTCCTCAACTCCGAAAATCTTCAAGCACATTTTTGTTCCGCCATCACTTCTAGTAGAACAGTAAATATTTGAAATCTACACAGCTGATTTCTCACCTCAAAACTTCTCAGAAGTGGATTTAGTGATGAAATTCCATACAGAAACTGTAAAATATAAAACTTTCTGTTGCTGGCCTCTGTCTGGTGCAGCAATGATGATGCAGTGAATAGTGAATATTCTCTCTGACCAATCAGCAGTCTGTTGTGTTTTTATGTTACATTTTAGTATCCCTAAGCTCGCTTGGAACCTCGACGGAGGTGAGGTGATACGATAAAAAGTACCTGGAAGCAGGTACAGGTACAACATTTCTACAATGGAAAAACCAAACAAAGGCGAGTCGCACCAAAGGGCTCAGACTAGCTTGGTTTGAGGGCGTGCCTGACCCCGCTAGCCGCTTGGCAAGCTTCATGACGCGTTTTCATTGTGAGGTCACAAGTAAAGGAAGTGAAGGGCAGGACTACAAACAAGCTGTTTTCAAGCGGTTCAGAGCAGAGTTTTCTGTGGGAGATGGGAACTCCCTTTGGGCTTTTTCACTTTGCAAACCTGTTACATGCACAAAAAAGATATATAACTCGATAAAGGAGAGGGGAAAAGCCAAAAAGCATAATACCACCTCTTTAACCATTTTTGAAGCTTTGGCCAAGTTTAACATGAACATCCAACATAACATTATAGATAAGTCATAAAATGTGGAAAAGCATAAAAGGTCTCCTTTAACACAACGCTGTCAATGTTGGAGACCCACCTTTAAAAAAGTTATGAGTATAGCTATGTTAACATTAGAATACAGCTGGGTTGTCGAGGTTAGTACGCTGTACATAAGTAGCTGCTTTTCAATATCGATTGCACGACCCACCCTTACGCGGCGCCAGAGTTACACGGTAACACTGCACTGTGCATTTACAAATGTTTCTGGTGGTTTCTCTTAAAGCTAATAAGCCTGTTTCTTCCATGCTGGCATTTCACTGGCATGCTGCAACGTAACACCGCCCCCTGGCGATCAGATCGCCTATCTGTGATCTCAAGTAGCCATGATTAGACGATATGAAAACAGAGAAGATCGCCTAGCCCTAGTTAGCGGTGGGGTTTCTATGTTCCACTGCTCCATTGAGTTTCTTCTTCTTCGTTGGTGTAGGCCTCTACAAACAATAGCGACTGAAAGTGAGCGGATCATGTTGGAGCCGATTGATGTCGAACAGCAGATACTTTTAGTGAACTTACAAAAACGCTAAAACGAGAGAAGGCGTCGGAGGAGATGGTATTTACAGTACGACCCTGGTATTTACAGTAGGACAAGCTGGTAATATGTAGGAGGAAATATGATGCTACCAAGGCAACCAATCACAGTTCTTGAGGTCGGCATGTAGTTATATTACATGATGTACCTACAGCATAGATTTGACACAGAAGTATTTATTATAGTAAAGTATAAATAAATTTTACTTTACTTTTCTGTCCAGCTCACAATACTAACAAGAGGATGAAGTGAAACAGAATTACTGCATTATGCATTGATTGCTACCTGGTTGTCGATGCACCTGAACTGCCAGGTCCAGCGTGTATTATAGAGGAAAGGTCGGAGGTCAAAGCGGTTGTCATCAGGACTGTAGCTGTCCGCGTGGTAGGACGGCGTCACTGTGGTCATCTTGTGGCGGTTCACGGAGTACATCCGGAAGAAGTGCTTCACCTTCTGGGCCACCTGAAGAAACACAACAATACACTGTCTTTTTCATTGAAGGTTTTGATTGCAGCTGCTAATTGCACAATATTCATATCAGTGTTCAACAGACACATTTTCAATGATAGACACCAATTTGACAAACTGTGGAAAATGCCCAAGTACGGCTGTGCAATATGACGATATCTATGGTTTACAATTATGCCCTATCGTTGATTTCTTTGTGTCACCGTAATATTTTGGTGAGGGACGGCGCTATGCACCACGGTGAAGTTAGTTTTCCACGTGTTGCTGAGAAGAAATTTATTAAATATAATGGACGAGCCACACAACACTATCCAGCAGTGCCAGCCATGATGTGTGTGTCAGTCAGGTAACGTTAAATAACTTGCCCACAGACATACAGGTTACTTTATAGTTCAACAAGACATGCTGTTGTTG